ATCAAAATGTGGCATTTTTATGGGCTATTACCATAAAACTGAACTGATTTTCTTTTTTTTTTTTGTTAAAAAAAAAGCTAGCTAATACTATGAAATAGCACTGACAGGTTTACGAGTGAACAGTACATTGAGGTCACTAATACAATACACAGAGTGCATGGAACTTTAAGAAGGACTGTCATCACTTGGGAGTTAAAACTGATATTTAATTAAAAACTTCACTCAACTGTCAACTTCAGCATAATGAAAATCATTTTACTTTGCACTCCTAATTATAAAGCTTTTAATTTTTTGAGAGATCGGGACCTTGCTGTCTAATCCCGTGTTTTTAATTAACAACGACTTGTGACTCCTGTTGCTTTGAAAGTACTCACTCTGAAGCCCCAAAGTCATTCTTTTATTGACAATCCAGCATTAACAAAATTAAGGAATCCTAGTCCACTTTCTCCGATTAAAAGACAGATAATATATTTTTAAAGGCACTGTCGTTACGGTAGGAGAATTAAAGCAAGAAAACAAATATAAATTCTGTTCTTTCTATAATCTTTAAATTAAAAAAAAACAAAAAAACTAGTTTATAGTTGGTGGTTTTATTATGGCTTCATAATATAGATGAAAAAAAAAGGTTTACAAGGAGTTGTTTTTTTTGTTTTTTTTAAATTCCTGAACTACGGATATTTATGTTATTCACAAAAACCACCCTCCATCACTCTGCTAACACATGTGGTCAGAAATCAATCCAATGAATTAAGAGCTGTGTAAAATGTACCAAATGGGCTTTTTTAAAGTCTTCTGCTACCTTTTGTTTGAAAGCATATTGTCCTTTAATAATGTAAGCTCACTGGCATTCTTATATAGCACTAAGTGCGACAAGTGTCAGATGCTTCAAGGAGTGTCCTCGAGCAGTTTTTGTTCAAATATGTCTAATTATATATCCCTCTGTCTGAAACCCAGCCTATGAGTAACTAGTGTGAGTAATGAGTTATTGTGCTTTTTATTCAATATTTTCTGTTTACTGTGTGTGTTGGTTTGTGATAATTATTGTAAGTTGCTTTCTTTTACGTAGTATTAGGTTTTTGTTCTCCCTCTGTCAAATCAAACTGATTGTTACATAAAGGCATACACCAAGTACCATAACCACTACAACGGTGCCCTCCCAGGGTAACCAGTGAAACCGTTCAAAAACAGTTTTCAACAGTAGAGTATACCATAGTTCATTCAGTACAGTATTATAACATGGAACATTGTGAAGTGTATTTGCTATGTAGAAGTTTAAGTTAACCAATCAGACCTGTAGACCAATCCAATCTACACATTACCAGTCCATAAAGAATGACTGATGCTGATTCAAACATTGTTGCTTTGTAACAGATAGCTGGATATGTTTGCTGCACGGGTATTTGAAGAAGCTGTCTCAAGATTACATTAGATTTGATCCTGAATGGAGTGAAGAAATGAATTACTAAAGAAAATTCACTGATTAAGGAAAAGTGTTTGCCCCCTTACATTGGGATACAAGAACACTAATGCCACAAGGGAAAGATTTTAAAGACTGATTATCCAGCTATTACTTGGTGATCTTTCTGTAGACTTAACAGACTTTCAACTCACACTTAAAGGGTTACTCCAACAAATTTAAGGTGGGTGACCATTATTGTGTAATATGCCCTATTGTGCTCTATGGATAAAGTCCCTCCCCCCCCTCGATTTGCAGTAAAACTCAACTTGAATCCAGCATTGGGCAAAACTCACATGCTGACTTCCACGCCCACTCCAACGTCACAGGAGCTTCACACAGTGCAATCACAGGCTTCTCATATACATGCCTGTGATTGGACCAATTTGCCAGCTCGGAGCGCCTAAGTGCACACCGGGCCAGAGAGGGGAGGGAGTTTTTTTTTAATTATTATTATTATTATTTAAATGCTCTGCCTGCAAGGGGAAGATTTTTATGCACAGAATTGGCATTAGGCAGCCAGGAACAGAGCAAATAGGCCCCAGCAAACACTTAACAATAAATCAGTATGTGCAGTGTTTAAAGCAGAAACACTATCTGCACATACAAACCCATACCGCGATGACCATTTCATCTCACTGAAGTGGTCATGGTGGTTGGAGTAACCCTTTAGCGGCTTCAGCTTGCAATTTGTATATGTATAACTGTATTGTTTATCGGCATTAACATAGTTGTTATACATTCCCAAACACATATGTCGTGCTATAGTAGCTAGGCTCATTCTTAGTTTTCCTAGATTATCAGATCTTTCTGCTTGCAAGGCCACAGGAGGTTTTCTGTAGCTATGCTGAACATATCTTGCAAGGGAAGATTATAGAAAATGTGTACTGCAATATAGCATTGAATTAAACGCTGTACAGCCTGCTGGATCTAACTTTTATAAACATCCCTAGTTAAAAACATGGTATTGTGGCCACATATATAAATTCAAAAATCATGCTGTTAACTTGAGGATTAAAACCAGTAAGTACTTGCGCTAACAGCCGTAAAATGGATAAAAGCATAGAAGTCAGTTGTAGACAGACCTGAAGTAGCTCTATTACAGCTGTGGTGACTTTATTTATGGTTTGATGGTGCGCAGATGTGAGATGATGGTTTCACATACTGGGAAAATTTATCAATATCCTGCTAATTAAAAAGTGAATTTCTATTAAAAAAAAAACTGGAATCAGTAAGGACATTTTTTTTGTTTCTTTGGTGGTTTCTCCACTTTGAAAACATTGCACATTTTCTTTCTTTTTTTTCTTTTACTTACAACACACTTGTAAAGTATCCCTCAGTTTATCTCATTACTCATCCTTATCATGTTGACTCATATGGGTGAAAGCTGTTTTAATGAATTCACAGAAAATAAATATGCCACTAACTTTTAGCAAAAGAAAATATCACGATTACTGCTAAAATAAGGAATATCGCAAGCCCCCTCAACTACTTAGAAACAGATTTGTACAAGAGCAGGGAGGCAGAGACACAAATCAGAATTTTCACCTGTCAAAAAATAAGTATTTCTCACCATCTTACAAATATACATTTATTTTAAAGTAATGGAGCCTTTTCACTAAACCATGAATTTTTAGTTAGTTGTAAATGGAATTGCAATACTTAAAGGACCACTATAGTGCCAGGAAAACATACTCGTTTTCCTGGCACTATAGTGCCCTGAGGGTGCCCCCACCCTCAGGGACCCCCTCCCGCCCGGCTCTGGAAGAGGGAAAGGGGTTAAAACTTACCTTTTTCCAGCGCTGGGCGGGGAGCTCTCCTCCTCCGATCCTCCTCTTCTCCTCCCATGCGGCTGAATGCGCACGCGCGGCAAGAGCTGCGCGCGCATTCAGCCGGTCACATAGGAAAGCATTCATAATGCTTTCCTATGGACGCTAGCGTGCTCTCACTGTGAAAATCACAGTGAGAAGCACGCAAGCGCCTCTAGTGGCTGTCAATGAGACAGCCACTAGAGGATTAGGGGGAAGGCTTAACCCATTCATAATTATAGCAGTTTCTCTGAAACTGCTATAATTATGAAAAAATGGGTTAACCCTAGAAGGACCTGGCACCCAGACCACTTCATTAAGCTGAAGTGGTCTGGGTGCCTAGAGTGGTCCTTTAAGCCGAAATAGTTGGTTTGGTGAGATTTGACAATTCAGCTGTAGTAGTCACTGCTGGGCTCTTCTAGTCTGAATTTTGTAATCTACTCCAATTTTCCTGTTTAGTGCATAACCCCTAAATTATGTACATCAGAACAATCATGATCATTTTTGTGTAAAAACTCTAAAAGGGACATTGTATAAACTATAGACATTCATTTCACTTTTAAACAATTTTCAAGCAGTCCTTGCCCACAGCCTGCCCCCTACTGGAAGTATTGCTAAGGCAGAGATTACACACTTTAATTTAGCCATACCAATTCATATCATCACTGGGCACTGTGATAGGCTGAAAGCAGTCAGCTGACACTCTCAGCTAGTCACAGCCATTGATTGCAGCTCAGGCTAATGCTTCCTCATTAGTGCAAGCAGCACTGGGCTACTGGGGACTCTTGCTTAACGTTGAAACATCAAAAACTGTTTAATACTGAATGGAATGGTGGGGCCAAAGGACTCCAGATACTATAACCACTTCAATTAAATTGAGCAGTTATAGTGCCTACAGTGTCCCTTTTAAGAATAAATCCTTCGATAGATACACAGGCACAGCAATACTTGCTTTTGTTATATATTCAAGATTTAAAAAGCATGCCTATTTTATCCTGTAAATCTACAGCATAATGAGTTTGTAGACAGTTTGAATAAACTGTTAATCTTCACCCATTTGCTTAAGATACCATGCAATGCAATAAACATACTGCCAATATTTAAAGGAACACTATAGGGTCTGGAACACAAACATGTATTCCTGACCATATAGTGTTAAAACCAGCATCTAGTAAAATCTTACTTCCATTTAAGTCTGCTGCTGGCTCTGCCCCTGATCTGCCTGCTTGGTTGACTGCATCAGAAGTGTTGATCAAGAGCCAATAGGATTGGCTGAGACTCTAAAAGAACCCATAGGATTGGCTGAGACTCTCAAAGAGGCAGATATGGGGCAGAGCCAGCACAAGTCAAACACAGCCCTGGCCAACCAGTGTCTGCATGCAGAGGGTAGAGACACTGAATGGCAGTGCAGCTTACTGTGCAGCACTGCCCCAGGAAGCACCTCAAGTAGCCATCTGAGGAGTGGCCAGTGGAGTTATCACTAGGCTGTAATGTAAACACTGCATTTTCTCTGAAAAGACAGTGTTTACTGTAAAAGCCTGAAGGGGATGATTCTACTCACCAGAACAAATGCAATAAGCTGTAGTTGTTCTGGTGACAAGCGTCTAGTTCTAGTGTCCCTTTAATTATAAGGTGGCTGTTCATCAAAGATAATTGATAGCTGGTTTGCATTTCGAGATTTGTGTTACTGTATATGTAGTTTCAATCATAGGACAAGCTACGGCAACATATTAATTTCATATGTAGATGCATACCAAAACAGTTAATTTCACAATCATCTGCATACTTACAAAGAAAAATCTTTGAATGCCCACAGCAAGTCCTTCTGTCTTTAGCTCCCAGGTCACAGGATGTGGGGAGTTTAGGAGAAACACTAATGGTTTCTGGTGAACAGCGATGGATAGGATTGGAGATAAATGTAACGTAATCTATATAGAGGAAAATAAAAATAAAGTTTTAGAAAAGATCATAGATTTTTCTTTTTAGTTGTCTCTATCAACTGTTGATTTTCTTGCACAAGTCATTGACTTATTGTAAATTACAAACATGATACTAACATTTAGGTTTGTTATATTCTTACATACCATATAAACTGAGCATTATAATCACACTATAGTATTGACACAGGGTAAATAAATGGATCAGTCGATAAAAATAGATAAGTTCATAGACAGACGTGTTTCTATAGAATTATGTAGCACATATACAGAACAGGACGTGCTTCTATGTGCTACAGATACAGACATTTAAGATAAACATGTAACACACACACACTAAATATATCACTTACTGACAAAACAAAAAATAAATGGAGGGTTCTGCCCATTGACTACCTGCACTCCAACCACTATTCTGAGCTATATATGGTTATGGTTGCTTAAATAACCCCTTTAAAACACAAAATGTACCCAACATGTGTTATACAAAGCAACAAGACTTGCTACAACTATGTATATAAGAGGTTTTAATACATAATTTAAGAACCACAGTAAATGAACACATGAAATAATGCCTGTGGATTTTATATAAATGTCGGCAAAGGCCAAAAGGGATTTATTAAACATGCTTAGTTTTTTGTGATAATAAGAGCGAAGTCAGATATAAACATACTGGCTGAAGCATTTAGGCCAGGCTTCCTGAAACTCCAGCCCTCCAGATGTTGCTGAACTAAAACTCCCATGATTCTCAGCCTATCTATTTCAAATCATGGGAGTTGTAGTTCAGCAACATCTGGAGGGCCGGAGTTTGGGGAAGCCTGATTTAGACCTTGAATTTGACGTATAAACACAGATTCTATCCATGGATGTAACCACTGCAGTTAATTGGCTGAATCAGTTTGCCATCTCTGCCCTTAAGTGTTAAATTACTCATTATAATATCTGTAATAAGTCTTGCATATAGCTGTCTAGAAAGTCAAGATAAGACTCTCACATTACAGAAACAGGTTATAATTCCTAAGTATTTGTATATTCAGATCCATGAGGTTTAGAACGACATATTGGGTTTATCCCCTAAACAGAATTTTGAAGATTAACAGGAAATTGCTAATTTTGGGCAAGAATAGTCAAATGTGAAAAAATGTATGGCTTCTATGATTTTTAAAGTGCCCCTTACATCATCAAACGCACATTCTTCAATTTAGGACAGTTGTTGTGAAATCCCTTATCTAAAGTGCGTAAATGAGAATTACAGTGCTTGACAACTTGTTCCAGTTAAAATGTTGCAATATCATTATTAAATGATACAAGACAAATCACACAGTACCTTGACTAAGACATCTGAAATAACTGCTTTTACCTCTAATGCTCTGAAATAACAGATAATGTGCAGATTACCCTTAATGGATTCTGTGAAGAATGAAGTGGAAAAAAAACATGAAAGTGAGCAGTTTCTGTGAATTTCCTTCAAGTTACAGATTTATGGTTCTAAGGTTCTAAAGGGGCTCCCGCATGAAATCGAATGGTGCAACTATCAGACAGGCTTATCACTTAGCGAGTTACAGAATTAATTTAAAACTGCTACTTCATGATTTTTATTTGCTGAACTATCATCCTTCAACATATATGTATATATTATCTTTAATTGAAAGGAAAAAAAAACATAATTATTCGTATATTGTATCTCAGAAAACTCTGACAGAGGCCGCAAGCAGATATGTATAATGTCAGGGAGGTTAAGACAGCTGCAAATGATTTTGTTCTCCCTGGAGATAATAGTTTTCATGGAAGACTGGACATCTCCACAGCAACGAGACTTGAGAAAACAGTCTATGGACTGCCGATCCATTACTCTGGTAAAGTAATTTGTACTATGAGAAAAGGCTGGGGTACAAATCATGAAAAATTATCAAAATAAACACCGCTGATGATGTACGGTTTTATTTTTGCAGAGTTTCAGGCATAGAACTTTATAGCAAGAGTCTTGTTATGAAATGTTATAATCATACTCTACGTTTTCTCAATACCAGAGGGGGGAAACTCTCGGCTTCTCGCTCGTAAAGTGAATATGGTATCGTAAAAAAAATCAAAAAACTCCCTTGATGTAAATATCACAACTTTTGTATTTTTCCTTCTAGTGGAATTGAAATATTAACGTCTTTGGCTACAGACTCCTTCACGCCATACAAGGATTTATTTGAGGAAAACAAACTTCCATTTTTTCTCTCTTGAAGCTTGAAAGACCACCACCTGAAGTATGCAAAGCCAACACCTTTTCCATTTGTATAAATATCGTAAATAACCTCAGGTATGTGACATGAAAACATAAGCATATTCTCAATACTTGTTTGAGCTCTGTCCTTCAATATAAAATAGGCCAGAAAAATCCAACATGGTCAATTCTTTATCAGCTTCACTTGGAGCACCTTCACAGAAGTACCATGCCAAATTATTAGTGTAAGCCATGAAGTCTACACCCAAATGGTGTCTCTGTGGTTTTCTTCAGAGGTTTACAAAGGTTGGAATGGGCACATCATATTCATCTAGCCTCCGTCAACTGCTCATAGTGTATATTTATCATAGTTGATTATTTTGCTATGTAGTGACACTCCATAAAGGTCCTTAATGGATGAAATGTATCAAGTTTCTTTCACAAGAAGCAGAACTCCACAAGCATTGCTCCTCGTCCTCCTTTATTCTTTAACCCCTTAAGGACACATGACATGTGTGACATGTCATGATTCCCTTTTATTCCAGAAGTTTGGTCCTTAAGGGGTTAATTACACATACAAGCAAATAGAAGAGATAACGGCTCACACAAGAATATATGAGCATCAAGCCTGAGGACCATCGAAGGAACACTATAGTGTTATGAATACATGCAATTGTGGCTGGTTAGGTGACCGGCAGTCCTTAGTTTACCTACCTGTTGTCCAGTGGCTGGCCACACTGGATAAGCTCATCAATGTTCTTGATCTCAGCCAATCCAATGCTTTCCAACAGAAAAGCATTGGGAGGGTATTGCGCTTGCGCAGCAAAATGTCACCTTGTGCCAATCAGCATCACCTCATAGAGATGCATTGAATCTCCATGGATGCAGCTTTATTAGTACGAACAATATCCACATGAGGAACTGCACTACAAGGGGGAGTCAAAGCGTAACGCATTTCACACCGAGAGGACTTTACTCATAGAACCTTTCTTTCTAAAACTCATAAGTCTTTGGTAGAGATACTTAAAGACAGATTGGAGAACTGCTGCTATATTATATGACACTTTAAATTGGCACAAACCCCAAGGCATTTAAAAAAAAAATCAGAAGATTTAAATGACTCTATATCTAATCAAGTTATAATATATCTAGTTATATACCCGCAACACAACGTAAAAAGAGAGAAGGCAGTGCTATGTATATGTAATTTATTTTGCACAAGTGTGTGTATAGAACACATAGGTGTACTTTTACATCTGCTGAATGGAAGGCTGTCATCTGTATTTATTTTAATTAAGATAAAGTAAACCTCTCTGAGGATTTCAACACAAAGACATTTCAGATCGCTTGAGCTTTACAGATTGCAAAATCATGCGGCTTACAGCATGCGATACTTGAGAATTTTAGCAGGACTGATGATATATTTTATCAACAAATAATTCACAGGAAGTCCAGGTTAGTTACTTTTTTAAGCAAGTTAAAACTAAGAACAATGCAGAATATTTAAAAACTATCAACACAACACGCAAAGAGTTTTTAATGTAAAGTGGAAAACATACTTGACTTGTGATAAAAAAGCACTTGAGATCTTTTTGCTAAGAAAGAGTAAAATTTCTGTACTGGTTAATCATGCAGCTTCTACATATGGCAAAAACCTGACAAATATTATAAGTCCATACAAGAAAGGATACCAGGTCAATAAATCTTTTAAAAAGAATGCCTGGAACTTAAACTGGAAAACAAGACCCTTCTGTGAACTTAAAGCTACAATGTATATTTCTAAAAATTCCTCTAAATAACACTAGCTCTCTTTTAGGTCAAAATTGTATATGCTACTTGTTGAGAGCTGTAAGCTACACAGTATGATTATCAAACAATATTAGATACACTGTGCTATTAAATGTCAAACTGCATTTGTTTTCTGGGATCAGTGAAGCAATTCACTGCTCAATCATTTTAAAATGACACTCCAAGGACATAACAATGTACTTCCATTTAATAGTAAATTAAATTGCATGTTCCCTACATATGTTACAATGCAAAGAGCATCAGTGTTCCTATTTCCGTGCAAACAGCAGCTTATATTGAAGACAATCTACAAACACTGATATATGAGCCTACCCCTTGTGTGCCTGACATCAGAGGAAAAAAACTCAACTTCCTCCAAATATTTGTACAGCATGTACAAGGTAAAGTTCTCGCCTCCCTGAAAGATTTTTTTACAGTTTATTGGGCTAGGCTGACAGCTCCACTCACATCAGCTAAGGCATCAATTTCAAATATTGTATGGTCAGATATATACTAGGAGAAAGGGGTGCTTGACTAGTGTTTAAACAACATACACAACAGTCTAAGTATGTTCTGCCTATAGAAAAATATAACTGTATGTGTCCTACTTCACAAGTGTCTTTATTCTCCTGGGGCAATCCCAGTTTGTAAAAGCAGGCATACACCAGTGGGTTTTATTGGTTAGGGGTAGTGATATTAACCAACACATATGTGCGCTTGTTAATGGTTATCTGACATACAGTGCATGATACTGACCATCGTTTGCAAACCGTACCCTGTGTCCCATTGGAATCAGGGTATTTGAACAAGCATTAGTTCTTGAGTAATATTTTGCACCCGAAATCTGTAAACAGAACTTCCATGCCAGGAGACTCAGTGGGAATTATTAGAAGATACTTGAAGTGTCAGTAACGTGTATGTTGACAGCCATTAATTCTGCTATCAATGGGGTATAAACTTCCTGGCCTCACCCATGTAACTTCACAATGGGAATCGAGAGACACAGTTTCACTTTGTCCACGCGTTTCGAGTTACGTCCCTTGTAAAACCATGTTTGGATGAGTGTGTTAAACTCTTCTTTTTTGGTTTGTCCCTCTTATGACACCCTGTTAACCTCTTTATGAAGATTCCTGATTAAAGTGTGCCTGAGTTTCCTGCTTATGTTTTGATTTTGCAGGAAGGAATATTTACTCAGAATTGTTTAGGGTCTGAGAACCGATTCAGAATACTTTTGTTTTTAAAACTTCCAGGATGTAGTTTTATCTGATAAACCCTTGGTGTTCCCAGGCCAGGAAAGGCCATTTGTTGATTATTGCTATGTGCTGATCATCAGGAATTTTACAGCTGTACTATACTTTTCAAAGCTACAGTCACACAATATACATATTCACTTACAGACATCTAGTGTGCTATAGAATCTACACAAAATGCAAGCACTCAAAACGCTTTAGAAGTAGAAGGCTTATACGCCAATTATGCGTGGCAATTAAGCTGTCCCTTCCTAACATTTATCACTTAAATCACAACTTTTCTCAAATTTTCACTTCTTTTTTTTTTTTTTTTTTAATTCTTTATTTTTGTTTGACATATCAGCGAAAAGATAAGACAGTATGCCCCCATTACATAACATACAATCGTGACCTAACGAAGCGAGCTTGCTGGGAGTACAGGCACACCATATGGATGAGCAGTAGAAAAGGCAACAGAATATAACAAATTGCATAGCTAATATATGAGGCTCCCCAATGGGGGTACATACATTAATAAACCATCAAATTGACATTTTACTGTGCACAATCATGAGCTGATAACGGCCAGGGAAGGTGTAGGGCCCCTAGAGATAACCGGTGGTGTCTACTCTACGTCTTGCTAAAGGATACTGCGTATGAGTATGATCGTGTGTTCTTGCAGGAGACCTTTGGAGCTGTGTAGGCCCGGCTGAACAGGGGTAAGGGGCCCGCACGGCCAAACCTAGCAGAATGCCGAGCATCACCTGCGACAAGGTGCTCTGGGCCGGCTCTTAGTGGCGTGCCCGATGCGGCAGTAGCCTTGGGCCGCGAGGAACCCCGTTAGCCCCTGGTGCCTACCTATCTGGCCTGCTAAAACATGGGCGAACGTGCTAACGATAAGCATATGTAGACTATCAGTGCTTTTGGAAGCTGTATGTGTGATAAAAAGGTGAGAAGGCCCTTGTCCAGAGTGGGGGCCAGAATGAGAGAGAGAAAATAGTAGAAAAGTACAGAAAAAAGAAGAGCAAGGGAGCCATAGAGGGGGGTAAGGGTAGACCAGGCGCGGGAGGGGGGGCCCCAGGGGACCCGCCGGGCGGAGGAGAAGGGGGGGGCAAGGAGGAGGGGAGGCGGGAGAGACGGCAGGCAACACCGCACCCGATGCAGCGCCGGTCCCGTCAGTCAAATTTTCACTTCTAATTATTTTTAAAAGTTTATTACAATTAAGTTAACTGAATATTTTTTTTTGTTGCATTATATGTATTAATTATTTTGACAAAATGTAACTTTTAATCTGCTGAAGCAGCCATGTTGGGTCAGACTATACTGTTATCTGGCCTAATGCTGTTCAACTTAACAACTTGCCTGTTGCTGTAGCTTCAATTCAAGTAAGTAAGTTAGGCTATGAAGCACATTGTCAGATAAAAAGTCAAATATTCTCCAAAAAAATCAATATGCATATTTTTTTTAAATGTAATAATGAAATGTGACAGTTGCCCACCTAAGTTTGGTGGATATTTGTCTTTGTGTATAAATAAAAATATGACACTTTGGGACAATTAGATTTTTGGTGTACAATATATGTATGTGTAAGTGGTTTGAAAGGCGTACCCTAATAAATGGTCAAGTGGTGTTTCATGTACCATGTTTGAATGTTTAGTTAGAAATAGAAAAACTAAAAAAAAAAGTTTTTTAAAAATGACTAGTGAATATCAAAATTTTATTTTTACACCTCACTTTATTATTTTTTTTTTTATTTTTAAATTTTTGTTGTGCATAGTGGCAATAACAGACAAAGCTCGTGGTGCCCCAACAGCAGTCCTCAAGCCTTTTTGTCATGCATAACAGTAGGAGCATTTGAGAATACAGGCACATTTTTAAGTATAAGGGAAGAATAACAATAGCAGGTATAAACAATAGACTAAGTGTTTCAAGCTAGAACATCAGATTTGATAAAAACATTATAAGATAAACAAGCGGTTCGATATCTTAGTGCGAGTTTGTATAGGTTATGCGATCTGACGATGAGTTGGAGATTATGGGTATGTGGTGTCTTGTCCCCTGAGTGGTAAGTGTAATTTCCTAGCGTCTGAGGCCTAGTCGGTGTAGGTGCGTGGAGCGGGCTTGGACACGGTCGTTGGACACAGTCATGGATTCGCCAAAATGTGTGGTGATGTGGTGGTCCCCTAAAACTGTGAGTCGTGAGTGCCCATGTGAGAAACTGCTGTCCCAATGTCCATGCAGCTGCCCTTGTATTATGACAGTCAGCCGATGCCCTGCAGGGTCACGGAGTCTTCCTGGTGTGGTGGTGTGCGCCTCGCTTTCAGTGGTCCAGGAGTGTGGGGGAGAATAGTTCCAGTGTGGAAATCTGGCTCGCTTGATAGGTAGTGTATAGTCCCGGTTGTGAGTCCCTCTGCTTGGTGTGGTCGCGGGCTGCTGCTTTTCCAGTGTGGTCGATCTGCAGCTGCCGCCATGTTAGGCCTTGTGCTTTGATGTCTTTTCGGTTGGTCATGGTGGGCTTTGCCCCTCCAGGGCCTGTGCTGGGTCATAGCATGTGGGCCAGGTGGCCTTTGGCGCTTGCTTGCAGGTTTTCCATGGACCTTGATGGCCTTTTTTCGGGCAGTGTCTGCTCTTAGTCGGGTTCCATTCTTCTGCTTTCGGGGCGGCCTGGGGGGCTTGTTGTGTCCCTCTCTCTGTCTTCCCTTGTTGGGCCCTGTGTTGTGCCCTCAGATGGGGTCTCCAGTACCGGAGGCCACATGAGCGCCTCCAGCTTCTCCCAGAAAGCGCCAAAGATGCCATTGGGTCTCTGTTTTCCTTCCGGCTCTGCACATAGCTGTGGTGTGTGAATCATCTGCCATTTTGTAGGCCTCATTAGTGTCTTCCTGACTTCGTGGTTGTGTTGCATGAGTACAGCTTGTCAGGGGGAGTGTGTGGGTTGGTCTGGGATAACCCCCCCCCCCCACCTGGTTATAGAGGGGGAAACGAGGGCTCTGGGTCGAGTTTCTGGTCGTTCTTGGCAGCAGGAGAGCATCTGTCTCTCCTGCACTTGCCATGCTGGTAGGCCTAGCCAGGATGTCGGGTGCGTACTGATTGAAACGTCGCTTGGTGTGGATCTACTTGTGTGCCCCGGTGTCCCCTTGCGCCGGGTAGCCTTTGTGTGCCTTTACAGTAGCTTAATTTAGCTTTTTCTGTCCCCCTTTAACCAGAGTTGCTGAGGCAAGCGTCCTCTCAGCTCTGCAGTCAGGCCCTGCCCCTGCACCTCATTTATAATCAGTTTTTTAAGTAAAATGTTTGGGTGGTACTTTCCTCTGGGTGCAGTAATGCAAAGTTCTGCAAATATCTTTGGATCACTATATTTTCATACATGCAAAGTAGAGGTTTTTAATAAGATGTAGAGCGTACCAACTAATTATTTCCTTGGAGCTACATAAAAGGTTGGGCTCCTGCAACAAGCACCATTTAAAGTCAATATTTTTAGATACTATATATATATATATATATATATATATATATATATATATATATATATATATATATATACGTGACATACAGCAATTCTCACCTTTACTTCCACCCCGGCCACTGGACCCCTAGCAGCAAAGTCACCATCGGGAATCTTTGCAAATTCGGCGAAGGCTAATTTTATATATGTATAAAATTAGCCTTTGCAAAGACTCCCTGCTGCTGGGGGGTCCAGTGGGCGTCGTGGAAGTAAAGGTGAGAATTGCTGTATGTCACGTGATTCAGCTGGCATATTGTATATTGTTTCATTCTTAATATATATTTGTAAATTGTATTATTCAGTTTGATCTAGAAAAAGACCCGGCTGGATTGAAACACCAATATTTATTTTTTTCATATGGATTTATTATATTAAAGCACCAAACACAAGTCCTGAGAGTGCATCCTTTGTTCCTTTACAGATATATATATACATACACACACACACACATACACAAGAGATAACACTGCACATGCATGCACACACACAGTTGTATTATGATCTGAGCAATGTGGCTTGGGAACCCCAAGAATCTATTCTGGCTAATCAAAGCAGGATATCCTTTTAGTTATAAAACACAAAGCTGGGTAGGAGATTGTACGCTTGGGCACCAATGCAAAGCTCTTCCTGGAAGCAAGACTTGAACTAATTATATATGTTTTTATCGTAGCGAAAACCTAGTTTTCCTAGAGTGGGAACAGATGGAAAAATATTCATATCATTTGGTTATGTAACTAATAAATAGCTCAGTTAAAAAAAACAAAAAAAAAACAAAAAACTAGCACATCTTATTAATAGTTTTGTAAAGTAGACTAGAACGCTGAATTAGCTGAAATAAACCAACCCAAAAAAATGACTTGCAAATTGTGAGTGCTCCAGTTATTGTTTTAGACAGAATTTGGCTGCATTTAGAAATCTGCACTTGTAAATATTCTAATGAATTATCGCTAAGTATAATATTCCATGTGATTTATGTAACGTTTCGTTATACCATCACTACAATACAATACAGTACAATACAGTTTCAACATATTGTGCAGATCTGTGCGATGTAAAATATAACAAAAAAAAGTGTGCCTGATATGTAACGAAAACTTAGTTTAATACACTGTGCCGGCAAATATGCTGGCAACTGTATACAGGAAAAAATATATTTTTTACTTTGCTCTTTGATCTTTGACTCTATTGGTATGGGGTTAAAGATTACAAATGTGGAAGCCACAGGCAGTTAGTTTTTCCATTGCAAATGCCCAAAAATGAGTGGCAAACAGGATCCTAGGAATTGTGGGATGCTACACATACTATTTTGGGAGTTGGGGCAGATGTTCACAGAGGATTCCAATGTCTTCCATAGAACCAGGGGAACTGCTATGTCCTGTTTGTATATATGTATGTGTGTATATATATTTATTGGGGTGGGGAGAGGGGTGGTTGTCATGGAAGCAGCACAGCTTCAATAGGAAAGTCCATCCCTTGTGTAAAGTAAGTAGAACTGACAAATGCGCATTTTTGTTAAGAATACAATTGAACCCCCAAATCACGTCAGCTTGCTGAAAGGCTTTATGGGTTAATAGCATGCAGCCTTTGTCATATTAAAGTATCAATTTCAAGAGAACTCCTTACTTTTATCAACCCATTAGAAGTAAATCTCACCTACCCATCAGATAGCCAGGAGGGCTTTCATCCTCACTCACTTTGCGCACTCGCTCATAGCAGAAGTCAGGGCTTCTCTTAGAGAATCATTGGATTCAATGGTCCTCTATAAACATATCACGCTGAATACCAAACATGCACACAAAGGTGCCACGCTGTGCCAATGAAAGGGCCTCTCTGAGTTTTACTGATTGGAAACTCCTCTAGTGGGTGTCTGAGTAACACGCACAAGAGGCATTTTACCTTGTAATATAAACATTGTCATTCTGTAGAACACCGTGTTTTCAGCTGCAGGGTTAAAACAAGTGAGACATGGCACCCACACCACTTCAGTGAGATTAAGTAGTCTGGGTGCTTATACCGTTCTTTTAATTAGTTATATGCAAAAATTTTAATCATTTAACAAAACAAAGTGCTTAATATAATTTGGTCAACTTTACATGTTCCAGAAATATAACATACTTGAAAATATAGTAGATATTTATATGATAATTCTTATCTTCCTGGATATTATTACTACAGCATTGACTAGAGGATTTAGGGATTCTAGAAATGATAGACCTTTAGGACTTGATAAGCCAGTTATAGCTTAATACAAATTCCTCTTCGATCCCCTGTGCTTACACCAGTGACATAATGAGTCGTTTTTAACTGCATTGTTATGGATTTACTTGCAAATTTTCCACTCTATCAAAAAAATAATCTTTGGGAAATGTGACATAAACATTAAATAGCACGGTCCAAATCTCCATCGCCACCCATAACAAACATGCTGAAATATTATACATTTGGCATATTTAATAGGGAAAAGCAAAGGACATCCTGGACAAGTATTGAACCAGGAAGGAAAAAGCAAGGGATATCCTAGAAAAGTATTGCACCAGGCATCACATAAATTCAAGATAACCAGGCCTAGAATGGAGCAAGTCTTCATACTGTAAGAAAGAAAGCCTGGTAGAGGACATTATTATTATTATTATTGTGATATTTATATGGCGCCATCAAATTCTGCAGCGCTTTACAATGGGTGGACGAACTGACATGTAGTTGTAACCAGACAAGTTGGACACACAGGAACAGAGGGGTTGAGGGCCCTGCTCAATGAGCTTACATGCTAGAGGGAGTGGGGTAAAGTGACACAAAAAGGTAAGGATAGTATTAGACTAGTGACAGTTGCAGAAGAGGAATCAGTCAGGAGCTATTAACAGTTTAATGGATAAGCTTTTATGAAGAAGTGGGTTTTTAACGATTTTTTGAAGGAGTGGAGACTGGGTTCAACAGGAATGGTGCAGCCCTCGAGGAATCTTAAAGGCGAGCATCAGAGGTGGGAGTACGGACAGAAGATAGACGTAAGTCTTCAGCAGATCGTAAGGGCCTAGATGGGACATACTTGTGTATAAGGGAGGATAGATAGGTGGGAGCAGCATTATGTAGAGATTTGAAAGCAAGAACCAGAATTTATATATATATATATATTTTATAGGAAGCCAAAGTAGGGACTGACAGTAGGGTGAGGCATGGGAGGTGCGGGCGGACAGGAAGATGAGCCTCGCTGCCGCATTCATTATGGACTGTAACGGCGCAAGTTGGGAGCGCGTAAGATCACTGAGAAGCGGATTACAGTAGTCAAGGCGAGAAAGGACAGTGGAATGGACCGACACCTTAGTCGCATCTGGCGTTAAGTAGGGACGGATGCGCGCAACGTTTTTGAGATGGAAATGACAGGATTTGGCGATAGATTGAACATGAGGCTTGAAGGAGAGTTCGGAGTCAAGGAGAACACCTAGGCAGCGAGCCTGCATGGTGGAGCTGATGGTAGCACCGTTGACTTGGAGGGAGGGAGACACAGGAGTAACAACACTTGAGGGAGGAAAGACCAGAATTTCAGTTTTGGTCAAGTTTAGTTTAAGGAAGTGGGCAGCCATCCAGTTAGAAACAGCAGAGAGGCAGTCAGATACACTAGTCAAGAGGGACAATAATCCACATGCTATGATCAGTAAAAGTATTCACCTTTAAAAATGGATGTTTCCATATTCCGGAATTAAAATTTAATTATTTGGGTTACCTCAAAATACATAATATTTTGAAGATGTAAAACATATTTTATTGTGACACAGAAGTTAAACAATAAAAAAAAGACATTTTGAATGCAAACTAAGCCACGCATAAGATGTTTAAATATAATTTAGATTGTTTTCTAGGAGGTTTGTGAGCTCCACAAACCAGGACAAAGGCAGGCAGAGAGTATAATTATTTTCATTTCTCTGGAAAAACATATAAAATATTCAACGCTCGTTTCCAACTGGCTTGGACATGCTGTCTGCTCTTAGCCCACAACAACCATATAACACTCCAGAAAGCAGAGGTCTTAAAAGTTCATTCTGGGGAGGAGGTGCAGGATCTGTGATATACTCTAGAAGCTAGAGAATTCATATTCAAAATTATATTTCCTGCTAGGGCAAGTATACACTTATTTAGGTGTACTGCCTTTTTTTAAATGTTACACTTCAAGTGAAAATTAACTGAATTAAAAGAGCTACCGAAAAGGAACACTCCAAGCACTATATCAACTTCACGGCAATAAAGCAGGTATGGTGTTAGGAGTTCCCAGGCACTGTCTTACTTGAAGGGGTTAAGCTGAACAGTTTAACCCTAAAGTCTACAAGTTATGTAGAGCGCTATGTCCAGGACCTCCTGGTACCATAATCTCATTGAAATTAAGTTGTTATGGTGCCTGGTGGGGTCCTTTAAATAATCAAATACACAAGATAATCCAACTAGTAATTTAAAATCAAACTGTCTGGCAAACATCATCACACTTCTTACACCTTAATTTAAACAAGACTGAGTAGGTAACATGTGAAGGCAAAAATCATTGCCACCACAAGGATTAACGCAGAACTCATCACAACAAATGCAAACAATAAAAACATTACACGCTAAATATTCAAGTACCTTGAAACTATCCTAAAAAATCATAAACGCCATAAGTGAAACTACAAAAAACATTGTGAAAACATATTGTATAATAATAAAGCACACTAGAAACCACATGATCTTAAAACCATAAGACCATTTCAGCCCTTTCCAGACTGGTCAACCATACTTCATTATTTCTAAACAAGCTAGACCATATTGAAGGAAATTAAAAAATTACAAGGACATTTAAAACTGTTCACACCTGGCTGTAGTCCACAATATGGTATACTTCATCACATAAAAGAGGCAACTCCATTACAAAAACACAGTTCTTGTTAGCATGGAAGGGAAAAAAGAGGTGGACGAATATCCCAAAAATGTAAAGAAAGCAAAATTCTGGAATAAACTCCCCACTGATCTCAGGACCACAGTTGATCCTTGGGATTATCCTCACTATAGCATGGCTGGGCAGCATCGTGGGGTAGACATCAGAGGCAGCTATCCCCTCTGCCTCAGTAACAATGAACTACATTTGGGCAAGCCACTTGAACATTACCAAAAATAGAAGTAAATAATGGTGGTTCAGTTGAAGAGATCCTCACATCTACCAGCCAGTAACAAGATCTAATTTACAAAAATAAAAGTAATGTTAACAGTTTTATTACTGCGTTACAATGTGCAGAAAGCTATATCATTGTTTAAACGTCTCCGGTTCTTCACTCGCAGCTAAATGTCATCTTCACTCGAGAGAAACCTAAAATGGTCCTTCGCAGCGAGTCACAAATTCCACAAAACAGAAACAGTAAAACACTAAAAACAATAGGGTGTAGTGTGATGAACAAAAACACTAATCTGATAAATTTGTGAATGATTAAGGGTCTTATTCTGTAGGATGAGTAAGGCAGGTCTGCTCATCTTCACCAACTAATTATCACTGCTTTCAATAAGAGTTGAAAGAAGAAGACTGCCAGACCATAGAGCATAAGTCCCTTAAATCCTAGTTATCACCGCCAGTATATTATAAAGTGAACAAAATGACGGAGCATAGCTCCGAAAAATAAATAGATTGTTAAACGAAAATTGTAGCTAACATACAAGTTTTTCTTTAATAAAAGCACAATGCAATATAAAGGTTTATGTAAGATACAGTATCTGGCAGACTGCTATATAATAGATTATGCAAATGCTGTTTTCAAGAAGACCAAATAATAGCTATCTTTTTGGCCGATCTTTAGAGAACTCACGAAGTATATGGGTATTGGAAGACTCAAGGGGAAGTGGATAACTGGGCCATGCCACTGTCCACTAGACCACTGAACTGAGACTTAGTAAAAGACCACTTGTGCACAGAAAATGTCCCCCCACCCCAAGAAAAAACCCCTACAAAGCAGAATTATTAAAAGATACACTTGCCTAACTATCAATATTTCCACCTCCAAATTGGCTGCTGGAAATGGAGGAATGTATCCAGCCTGGCCCCAATATGATGTGTAGCATAGAGAGACAGAAACATAGAATGTGACGGCAGATAAGAACCATTTGGCCCATATAGTCTTCCCAATTTTCTAAATACTCTCATTAATCCATGACCTTATCTTATAGTTAGGATAGCCTTATACCTCTCCCACTCATGCTTAAACTCCTTCACTGTGTTAACCTCTACCACTTCAGCTGGAAGGCTATTCCATGCATCCACTACCCTCTTAGTAAAGTACCGTATTTTTCGCTCCATAAGACGCACCTCACCATAAGACGCACCTAGTTTTTGGAGGAGGAAACCCAGAAAAAAAATATTCTGAACAAACTGTTCCATAGTGTTTCTTACTATGGGACAGTTTGTTCAGAATATTTTTTTTTTCTCCCCGTCCCATAATGATCTTTAACCCCCCTTTCCTCTGTCCCATAGTGATTGTTAACCCCTCCTCCCCAGTCCCATAGTGTTCTTTAACCCCTCCTACCCTGTCCCATAGGGTTCTTTAACCCCTCCTCCCCTTGTCCATTAGTGTTCTGATCCCATAGTGTCCCCCCCTCCCATTGTCCCATAGTGCACTTTCCCTCCCATAGTGTCCCCCCCTCCCATAGTGTCCCTCCCCTTCTCCCATAGTGTCTCCCCTTATCCCCCTCTCCCCTCCCCTCCCATAGTGTCCCCCTCCCCATAGTGTCTCCTCCCCTTTGTCCCATAGTGTCCCTCCCCTTTCCCATAGTGTCTCCTCCCCTCCCCTTCTCCCATAGTGTCCCCTCCCCTCCCTGTCCCATAGTGTCTCCCTCCCCTCCCTTCTCCCATAGTGTCCTCCCCTTCTCCCATAGTGTCCCTCCTCCCTCTCCCATAGTGTGTCTCCCTCCCTCTCCCCCATAGTGTCCCCCTCCCCTTCTCCCATAGTGTCCCCCCCCTTCGCTTCTCCCATAGTGTCTCCCCCTCCCTTTCTCCCATAATTACTTACCTGTCTTGGAGCGTGGGCCGGCTTCACAGCGCGCTCCGCGGTGCAGGAACTTCTATTTCAGGTTCCGGTTTCCGGCGGGACTGAAAGGAAGTGTGCACACTTCCTTTCAGTCCCGCCGGAAACCGGAACCTGAAATAGAAGTTCCTGCACCGCGGAGCGCGCTGTGAAGCCGGCCCACGCTCCAAGACAGGTAAGTAACTCTTCACATTCGCTCCATAAGACTGAGTGTGCACACTTCCTTTCAGTCCCGCCGGAAACCGGAACCTGAAATAGAAGTTCCTGCACCGCGGAGCGCGCTGTGAAGCCGGCCCACGCTCCAAGACAGGTAAGTAACTCTTCACATTCGCTCCATAAGACGCACAGACATTATCCCTCACTTTTGAGGGGAAAAAAAGTGCGTCTTATGGAGCGAAAAATACGGTAATACTTTCTGATATTATTTTTAAACTTTTGTCCCACTAATTTAAAGTCTATGTCCTCTTAATACAAGCATCTCTGAATCGTTGGATTTTACTCACAAGCTAAGGGTTTTGGGATAGAGCAATGTAATTTTGGTGTAAGGCTGGCGATTCCATAGGATTGGAAATGGGAGGTCGGTCTAATCTATATCTAGATCTTAATCTATTATGGCATTGTACAAGTTGTACCTATTCAAGACAATGTATCTATAACTGCACAATTGTATATGCCTCCGATAATATATGTAAAAATGTTAGTTCTCTATGCTGCCAAGGACAAACCTGAAAAGTAGAATAATCTCTATGTACCGTTTCTGGTCAAATGTTTTATAAACAAGTGTCCTGTGGTATAGACGTTTACATTATATTACAACTTGATACTCTTATACAACTTTGGAAAATGTGAAATACTGAATTAATCAAGCTAGGAATATGATCTGCGATTATTAAAGTAACTCAGCTACAACAAGTAGAGATATTGTTCCATCTACATACATTTCAGCTATTCCTGAGTTATTGTAAAAGCAGTCATCAATAGGTAGCTTAGCAGTTGATCATCCACACCTAGACTTCAGCCGGTGAAAACACTGGGAGAGAATGGCAAGTATTTCAGTTCCAAGATAACAAATAGGTACTGCTGGCTACTCCGTTTATAGAAACAAAGTTTGACAGGCGATAGACATCTTGCATATAAAAATACAGTGAACAATCTAACGTAGGCGTAGACAGTGGTACAACACCATGAGTGAGAGGACGAAATCTCTTGTGATGGTTTGCCAGCCTTTAAGTACAACAAAATGCATCCACACATCTTAGTGTCAATTAACCCTGCAACGTGAGACAATGCAGAAACTGCAATGTTTACATTGCAACGTTAGAACACGTCTAGTGACTGTCTTCCAGACAGCCACTACAGGGGATATAGCAGCTATATCAGAGTTAAAATTCAGTTATTGATCAAATGACTCTCCTAATCTAGCCTCCCAATGTTTCCATGAGTCTTGATGATCTTAGCCAAAGAGACAGAGCAGCAGGACAGAGACCAACACAGCGAGATCTGAAAGGTAAGTAAAACTTACTATTCAAACCCTCAAAGGCGCGCATGATGAGGGACCTAAAAAGGTATATTAAGACTATCACATTAGGAATACATTTTTGTATTCCTAACACTACAGTGTTCCTTTAAGGTGTGTAGAGATGTAATAGACCTGTCCCTCTGACAAAATGTTTAATGCAGTGAAAACTGCCTGGTTCATTTGCACTTTTGGAAAATAACAATAATTTAAGTATCAAAAGGCTGTGAAGACCAGCTGTGCAGCATCAAGGAAACACTCACAACCTCTCAATCCAGGGTTACTTCAGAGGCCCGTAGAAGAACGTCATTCTCCAAACATTAAGTTCTGCCATTTTGAGAATCAATTCCCTGCAGAAAGGCTTTAGTACGTGTGTTCCCAAAAAAGGGAAGTCTTGAAAATCGTAGCTGGTGCTGTTATTAACTTTTCCAACATTATTGACACTTAGAGACTTAGCAGCTGTGAGCAATGCAGAAAAGCAAATAAAAATTAGAGGCAAGAGTAAAGTGTGTTTATATAGTGCCTTATGTCATTATATCTATTTCATTTGTTAAGAGACTTCGTTTAGACAGAATCTGACAAAGTGTTTTTACGCGTTTACAGCCACATGCATTAATGACACTATCCTTCAGATTTAGGGCAATTATTTCAAAGTGGTTTTAAAAACGTGTATAAAAAAATAATTACGGGACAAATAATACAAAAGAAAAGAAATAAGTCAAAACCATTCTTTTCCTTCTTGACTGCATTTGAAGAACAGTCAATGACCAGAATTTGAAAATTAGTATTAGAAAACTAGGGTTATTAGAAATAAAATTAGAGGGTTTAGATCAGTGGTAGTCAACCTTTTTCTACCTACCACCCACTAATGCATCTTTCTTGATGAAAACATTTCCTTACCGCCCACCAGTTTTTGCGCAAGTGCAGAATATTTTTTATTTCTACTTTATGCATGTTTATAATGTTTTTAACTTTCTGAAGTTTAATGAGAAAACAAAGTAAATGGAAATTACCTTCACTAGTGATTAATGAGATCCTTGAGGCTAATGCTGCGAGACTAAATATTTGGTATCTGGTTCGATTTTCGTAAGGAACAAACAAAGGTCTCCTCTTTCGGTGATATTCAGACAACTTCTCTGTTTGCTCATAATATGATTTCTCATCTGTGCATCAGCTCCCCTCCTCTCCCTCCTCAATTCCCCTCCCCACCTTTTTTTTTTCTTTTTTCTATTTTTTAATCTTCCTTATAGCAATGCCCAGTAGGAAGACTGAGCTAGGTAGCCCACTTACTATTACTTACTATAGCCCACTATAACAGACAGGCACACATACATACATACAGACACATATAGTGATGGCGGGTACCCGGTCGCAGGGGTACCGCTGGCTCGCACCCGCCCGCCCAATTTCTCAAAATGAAGAAATCCATACCGGCCACCTGGAATCCTGAAACACCCACTAGTGGGTGGTAGGGACCAGGTTGATGACCCATGGTTTAGAGTTAGAAAGTAAGAACTTGGGCTGGAGGGGTTTGATCTCTAGAAACTGCAATGTTTACATTGCAAGGTTAGAACACCTCTAGTGACTGTCTTCCAGACAGCCACTACAGGGGATATAGCAGCTATATCAGAGTTAAAATTCAGTTATTGATCAAATGACTCTCCTAATCTAGCCTCCCAATGTTTCCATGAGTCTTGATGATCTTAGCCAAAGAGATGGAGCAGTAGGACAGAGACCAACACAGCAAGATCTGAAAGGTCTAGTGGGTGGTAGGGACCAGGTTGACGACCCATGGTATAGAGTTAGAAAGTAAGAACTTGGGCTGGATGGGTTTGATCTCTAGTAAGAATGTTTGTGTAGATGGTTTTGAGAGAGAATTATGGGTTTTGGGATAGAAGAATTGTTGCGTTGGTAGGAGAGACAGAGGATTAGGAATTGTTAACAAGATTAACTCTTACTGGTGTACTAAAGGGGGGACTGACATAACACCCCGTCTCCACATTGTCACTCAATATAGTGTGGCCAAAATCATGTAGTACAACAGTACATAGGATAGGGGCTATAGAGACACATAAAATATCATATAGAGAGGGGGCTGGGTGCACACCTAATACATATGGGAGTGATGCCCACAAACAATTATGCAAGGTGTTGTATAGCCTTATAAACAATGCCACCTAGACAAGATCTCTTGTGCTGGCCACATGGTCAGAGCTCAAGACAGTAAAGGTTAAATGGATCAAACTTTGAGTTCCTCTACTCTCTCAAACAGACCCTCTACAAGAACAACATGGCTCAGCAGACATTTGTCCAGTTTTGCAATGATAAGTTCGGGACTGCATGAATGGATGGATGGATGAATGGTTTGATGCGAATAAACAGCATACATAACAAGAAATCTCTCTGCCTTTAAAGAATCTCTGTGACCTAAATTTAATGTTACATATATTGGTTAATGGGTGCTGAAGTGCTTTAGGGGTTAACTAAAAGTACATTGTATCATATTTTTTTAAAGTTCAGATTTAAAAAGATTAACATTCATGAGCAAAATCAGATTGGGTTGCATAAAAAAAGATTATCAGTGATGTACAAAAAGGTAAACTTATTTAAATTATATGAATAGGGGACACAAATCTAAACCATAGAAAGAACATCCCAACGTTAAATAATAAATATATATAGATAGAGATATAGAGATAGAGATATAGATACCGATATAGATATATATATAGAGAGAGAGATTTCAAAAGTTGATTTGATCAGCCCCCATAAGTGCCATGTCCAGGGAGGACATGGTTGCAGTGGTGTATTTTGGATTTGTGCTGCCCTAGGCACAACTAAATTCGGGCACTCCCAAAATCTAAATTTGACCCCCCAATTAGTGTCAAGGCCACTTTTTTGACTGACAGACATATACCCTCATTGATACATGTACTGATATACAATCATGTACTGATATACAGTCATAAGCACACACTGTTTAACCAACACACACTTTCACTGACAGACACACACTGACACGCCCACTCACTGACAGGCACACACTCTCAGATACACATAAAATGACATACACACACTGACACACACGCACAGGCACACCCATTCTCACTGAAAGACACACACACTTTCACTCACTCACAGACACACACTGACATCTACACTCACTCGCAGTAAGGTGGACAGCCCCAGAACACAAGGCAAGCAAGGCATTTGTCTGGGAGCTTGGGGTGGCATTTTTTGGCACCTCCCCCCCCAAAAGTGCCACCTTAGGAAAATGCCTTGTTTGCCTTGTGGTAAATACATCCCTGCGTGGGTGTCATAATGAAGTACCAGTTGACTATAAACTATTAAAGTAAAAACTTCAACAATATTTGCTTGTTTTTTTGTGGATTTTGTTTTTGGGGAGGTTCAGGTAAACAATTAGAAAAAGTAATCTGTCCTGCGACACATGGATACATGGTAAAAGATGCTCAGACATTAATCAGAGACTGAGGCAGAATTTTTGTGAAGTACTGTACTTTAGAGGTCACATACACAAAAGGGTACTGTACAAAAAAATGGCAATGTCAAAATAACTGAGCTCAAAGCAGCTGATCAGAAGTGAGCCGCACTGCTCAAACAATCTGTGCTCCTCCCAGGGGATTATACAATAGGGTTGAGCACTAAATGGATTCAGTATAATTAATGCAATACTAGACTTTAAGGCTGCATTTAATGACACTCCTCTGCTGCTGGTAATATTTTTACCAAGATTGGATTGAAAAAAAAAAAAAGGTAATTTTCTCGTCTATTGGTATAAACTAAAGCAATGTAAAAGCATAGCGAAAATTATAAATAAAAATGAAAAATAAAAAGCTGCAATGTGGATTTGACCTCACATACCATTGAAAGCAATTAAAAGCAGATCAAGTTGTAGAAATGATCATGACATAATATGAAAACAATTTGCTTTCTTCTGTGATAATACCACGATTAATGATTACCAGAGTGACTGAAACATCTCTAGGGAGGGAGGGAAAGAAAACTGGACTATATAGAAAGTAACAGTTTGGTCGAAATGTAAGACGCACAATTCACATTTTAACTCTTATTGAGCTTAAAGGCTATCACTCTCCAATGCGTGCATTAATTATATTAATCAGGGGTGCACAAATAATCCCAGAGGGTCTTTAATAAGAAATATGAATTCATTCACGTCCACTAAAAGCACTGATTCAACAATAGCTTCCATTCTCTAAAGACAGTTTCCAATTAATTACTCCAGGTCTTTTCTGTATATTTTCTGTATATTATTAAACAGAGAAAATAGACGTTGCTTCAACATACATGGACATTTTTTACAATTTTAAACACATTTGTAGTTATGAGGAAAGCCTCTGAATTTAATTTTTATAGCAGGCAGAGGGACGCATTATTACTCTTATTAACTCTTTGTCTGTTTCTGTATCTGGGGTTCACTTAGTGTTTCGTATATATTCATGGAGAAAAATGGAGTGAAAAAAAAGCTTATCCAATGGAGGAAAGTCATCAAAGTGTCACTGAGAATTATATGTCTGATGTTTCGGAGAACATTTGTCACAAATGATTAAATGTTGTCTGGAGCCTGTATGTGCAACATTTTGCTATGGAATAAGCAAGTAACCCCTTAGCTGCCAGGGGTGTAACTCCACCTCCAGCAGCATCACTAGCAGCCCCAGAAAAAAAGTTCCAGACTGGCTAATATTAATTCTGTACAAAATTGGTGTCTGAACCTAAGCCAGCAATGCTGATGAGCCTAGAACAGGCAGATCATTTATATATGACTGCCCACTGAATTATACCTTATGGCAGACAAAGCTGTGTTAAAAAAAAATAAAGTCTAGTATGAGAGGAACCTATGGAAAAGTGTGATGCAAATATGGATTTGTGACAATGCTGTACCGGGTATTCTGTAAATTTTGCATTGCAATCTGAAAGTTTACCTTTATTGTGTCTGCAGCAAGTGTTATTTAACTCACCTCCAGTTACACTACGTTTCCACCTTGTTTGGTGGCTGTCATCCTTGCTGCCCTGTTGTGTATTTTTACCCCACCTCCGGTAGACTCTAAGTTAATTTGAGCAGGGCCCTCATCTACCGATTGTTCCTGTGTCACTGTGTAATTGTCTCTTTTATTGTAAATGTCCCCTCCTTTGATAATATTGTAAAGCTCTGTGGAATTAGTTGGCGCTATACAAATACCAATAATAATAAGAAATGTCTCTATTAATTTGTACATTTTACAGACAAGACATTTGATAATTTACTTTCACCTTGAGTGAGTAGAAATTCCAGCCATTTACATATATATATACACATACATATATGGATACGTTGTTAACATTCAATTTTGTATTTTTATATATGCTGGCAACAAAATACCGGCCTTTAGAATGCCAGTAAAATTGCCAGTAAAATTGAAAAATGTTCCAAAAGAACATTTGGCAATTTAAAGGTGATGAAAGAAATACTTGATATTGTAACATCACCGATTTATCATGAGCAATCAAAAGGGAACTTTAGTCTGCAGTCAAAAAGGTTTAGAACTGGGCTCATTATTTATTTGTCATTCAGCCTCTAAATATAATAGTGGGATTTGAGAATACTTTTTATTTTTATTAGAGAATATAAGCACATAAAACGTGTCTTAACTCCGTAATACTTTAAGGTACAATAATAAATACCGCATCAAGACCATAATACACAAATATTTTAAGGATCAAGAGATATACATCGTCAAGAAAAAAGTCTACTAGTGCGTCGTCATTTAAAAAACTGCGAGATCAAGGTCTTCGGTGTTAAAGAGTTATCTTTTCATATGAAACTGTTTTGTTTTACTTCAACCTAGTAAAAAGTACTGAAGATTTAAAGGAACACTTCATTGTTTTTTTTCAACTATTTAGGGAACATACCCCCAAAGAAAACATGGATCTATTCTTCCAATTTTCATTTTTTTTCCCCCAGTTTTCTTTGGGGTATATTGAAAAAAGAAAAACCTACTTGAAAAATCTGCAATCTTTGCAAACACTCATTAACAGCGTGATTGTGCATGCAATTACTGCTTTTCAATAATTCACTGTGAGCTATAATAGAGCCCAATGAGAAGGGGGGGATAGGAGCGCTCAAGCACGGCATGCATGCCACTTCCTTTAGCTCTATGGAGCTATCGGAAGTCGAAGAAAACATCCCTTGCTGTCTGAGTGGCAGTCAGGGTGGTGTTTCTGCCCCCCAATTATACAAGTGTTTATTTCTACTATAAACTAAAGTGCTTGATGTTTCTGGAGTGTTCCTTTAAATGGAGTGAGGAAATCGACCGAATTCAGTGGAAGCAAGCCACAACTCTTTCAACCCCCCTGCATTTCTAGTGGAATGGCACAGCAGTATTCTGAAGATATTATGAACACATTTGTACTGGGCTGCGGTTATAGGAAACTGTGTGCAGGAAATCAGGAAAAGGTCATTTACTCGCACCATATCTTATGCAAGGATCATAAGTTGTTATGGTTCTTGGAATATTTCTTTAAAGTTTGCTAAGCACACAGATAATTATCGCTTCTTATAGGCTGTTTTTCCTTTTCCCACTGTTGTGTAAGACATATGATTCACAGTGTCGATATCATCCAGTGATATAATTAGAACAAGTTGTTGCTGTCTGCTTTTTCCTAAGTAACTATATTTCCATTTAGAAAGATTGATTGTAATCTGTTTATTATTTATTTGATTTTGGGTTTTTTGAGTATTTGTCTTACATGTAAGCATCACTTGATGTCAATTAATATCAAACTTGTAATCATCATTTAAACAAATGTAATCAACCTGTCTGAGTTCAATAGCTCCCTAAGAACCATAATCCCGACAACACAAGCAATTTCGAGTAATTTCCCAATTTTACTTCAACATTAGCATGCTCAACTTTGGGCAGCAATAACAGGCTGAAAGAGCTGGGTTAATGTTGCAATTAGAAACAGACAACGTGGGAACTTGGGTACAGATCTGAGAGCCACATAAGTAATAGATTGTGCAAACATTATCGATGACACAGCCCCTTCCAGTGCACTGTAACACACAAAATAGATAGACAAAGAATAAAACATACACGTAACATGACAATCAAACAAAAGTATTGATTTCTTGTAATAGATGGAAAGCCACTTTCATACTTTATTATTTTTATAGCTCAAATATATTTAGCATTAGTGATGTCCCGAACGGTTCGCCGAACAGCTCATTAAGAATGCAGCTTCACAATTAATGTAAAATGGATGCTGTCCAGGAGGTGGAAGGGTCTGGGAGGGAGGGTCTGCTGTTGATTGGCTGGAATGTGTCTGCTGACTGTGAGGTACAGGGTCAAAGTTTACTCAATGATGACGAATAGGGGGTGGACCGAACAGCGCATATGTTCGCCATCGCCGTCCGCGGCAAACCGTTCGGGACATCACTATTTAGCATATTTAGCAATTAAAAAAAAAACCCTATAAAAAAACAACATAAAATGTCCAATAAAATGTGTGCACTGCTTCAACCATACTATAATTTTGAGACAGTGCTAAAACAGAGTGCCTTGCGCCCAAAGAAAACAGAATATATTTGCAGTCCAGGAATAGATCAAGGTATTCAGCTGTAAACACATCATGTACTGTCCAAACTTGGAGTGCCAGTAGACAATCAGGAAACTACTTATCTGCTTTTAACATGAGTTGGATTGATTTCTTTCCAAACCAAAAGGTCACTGAGTGTGTTAACTTTTGCAATGATGGTAAAGATAACCACTATCTGCTTTGTTTAAAACTCTGTTATTTAGTTGTTGCATTGCTAATCAACAGCTAACCCTTCTCCAGCTTTTAGAATGGTTTGATAATCTTTTTCGAAAGTATTTTGTTACAAGGAAAAGGAGGAGTTTGTGATGCTTAGTGAATGTCTCTGGAGTGCACAAGAACAATACTCTTACTCTGACAAACACAAAAAGAGAGAAATCTGGACATGGGTTGTTTATAACAAAAGACTATTTTTCATGCAAGAAGATTGTACAAAGGGTATATTACTTTATACAGGAAAAAGTGACACAATAATGACAGATCGGGGATTTCTTAAAAAAACAGTTGAATAGAAGAGAAAAAAAGTAATTGTTTTGCCTAAAAGTGCACAAGAATTAAAAAATAAAAGTTTAAATGGCATATTGCCATAGCACTAAAAATAAAAAATGTCTAGCTCGATTATGCACTGGAAAAGAACAATTCACTAAATTAGTGTCCTATAAAGCATTGATGCAAAAATAAAAAATTTAAAAAGTTTGAAATTTTAAATTTGCTTATTAAAAGTGGAGACTTGGGGAAGAAAATGCATTTAACTTTAAATAAAATATAATAGATCCCAATAAACAGATATTTTTCAACAGTGATGACTGCAGGGGCCAGGAAATGGACGTGCTCTCTCAGGAAATCCTGGTCCTCCCACTGAAAGCCTATGGGAGAGCAAAATAGCCTGTTGCCAGCTTTTCAGTCAATAAAACGTATACTTTAGTCTTCGTTAATGTTAAGGAAACATATATTAAAAAAATATAGCAAACTTTGCCTTCTCTCCTCCAGAGTACACATGCTGAAGTTCAAAAAGCAATTCCTGCGCTGATTTTCATATATGCCAGGTAACATTTTAAACATGTTCGGTTAATTCTCTCCCATAACTTTAATTTGACATAGTCTTATCGAAATCAGATAGTAATAGAGCAGGAGTGAAACTTTGAAGAATTTAAATGCATGTTGGATTTTTTTGGTAGTTATTTTTAGGAAGACCCAAATTATAACATTAAAGGATCACTATAGTGTCAGGAAAACAAACTCGTTTTCCTGACACTATGTAACCCTTAGGTCCCCCCCCACCCTCAGGGCCCCCCTCCCACTGGGCTGAAGGGGTTAAAACCCCTTCAGCTACTTACTTTAATCCAGTGCCGGGCTCCCTCGGCGCTGGTGACCTCTTCTCCCACTCCGATGTAAACTCCCGACTGGAGCTGATGCGGATGCACAGCCAGAGCCGTGAGCGCATTAAAAATGCCCACAGGAAAGCATTTCTGAATGCGATTTTCGCATTCAGCATCGCAGAAGCGCCTCTAGCGGAGGAAGGAAGACAGCCACTAGAGGCTGGATTAACCCTGCAATGTAAACATAGCAGTTTCTCTGAAACTGCTATGTTTACATCTGAAGGGTTAAAACCTGGGGCACCTGGCACCCAGACCACTTCATTGAGCTGAAGTGGTCTGGGTGACTATAGTGGTCCTTTAAATGGACATACATCACTTTGAGACAAATGTCTCATTCAAAAACATTAGCTATGAACAGGGTTGAAGTCAGAAATCTTGGGACCCCTTACGCAGCTCAAGGTCTGGGCCCTGGGCCATCACCGAGTCTGCCCACAAGGATGCTGTGTGTGTAGCAGATATAGTATGTGTACAGTGGATGCAGATATTGTGTGTCAGTTGATGCAGTATGTATAGTGTATGCAGTTTGTGTGTGTATAGTGGATAGAAACATAGAATGTGACTACAGATAAGAACCATTCGGCCCATCTAGTCTGCCCAAGTGCAGTGTGTGTGTGTTTATTGCAGATGCAGTGTGTGTTTTGTATAGTGGGTGCAAAGAGTGTGGATAATGGATGCAGTGTGTGTTGTGTAGTGGATGAAGTTTGTGTATAGTGGATGCAGTGGATGTAATGTGTTTGTGTAGTTAATGCAGTGTGTGTTTGTATGGTGGATGCAGTGTGTAGTGGATGCATATTATGTAAATTGGACTAGAGTGCATGCATAGTGGATGCAGTGTGCATAGTAGATGGAGTGTGTGTAGTGGATGCAATGTGTGTAAATTGGATTGGTGTGTGTGTCGTGGATGCACTGTGAGAGGGGGTAGATAATGGCTGCATTCTGAGGGCAAAATGTTTTGTGTTTTTTTAAATTACAAAATAAATTTCATTTTATCAACCACTCCCTGCCTATTATCTGTGTGTAGGGAAGAGGGGGCCCAACAAACACTACCTTCAGCTTCCGGCAGGTCCTCTCCCTCTCTCACGAGCCCAGCATGTGTGGTAACCCGTGACTACATTTTGACAGCCGGGCTTGCAAGAGTTGAAGAGAGGACCTGCCGGAAGCTGAAGGTGGCATTTGCTGGGCCACCTCTTCACTATACATGCAGCCAGTGACAAGGGGGGACCGCAGTGATAATTGCAATATATGTGCATTTTATGAATGTGGGGCCCTCCGGACCTCACGCAGCCATATTGGCTGTACCTCTTTGATGGCAGTCCTGGCTATGAATGAGGAAGTTGCCTCACTCTCCAGGATGAAAAAAGCAGGTAAATATGATTTTTTTTTAATTTTCATATTTACCTGCTTCTTCTTTCTTTTACTTACTTGGATCCGGTGTCACTGGTGTTTCCAATGTGATGGGGAGGTAGTGAAGATGCAGTAAATTGTTCTTGTGGGGTAAATGAATACAATATTTGTGTACAAACCAATGAGGGTTCACTGCAATAGCTTGTATCATAATTCAGGGGTAATTCAAGAACCATGAAGCCAGACATGTATTTTTTTTAAGGAGTCAAGATGAAGTTTTAAAAGAAGGAAAAAAGTAAAGTTCTATAAAATCTCTAAAGGCAAATCATAAACATGTTTAGGAGACGGGGTCTTTTGCCTACAGAGTTTTATCACACACTTAAGTATATCATTAAATTATTAAAGTCTTAAAGCAAATTAACATGCAAAACAGGATTTAATGTATTGCTAGAAATGTTTATAGTTAAATAAACAAGTCTCCCATGAATGATATTAACATGGCAACAGGCTTTTGATGGATACCCACCTTTATAAAAATAGCTCAAAACATTAGCAGTCAATAAAATCTATTTTCTTTTTCTTAAAGTCATAATAAAATTCTTTCCTACCCTCCCTCTGTGAACCTTGTTTAAATGAGTAATTATTCTTCACTTATGAAACTGCTGTAGTCAGCATCATAATGACAGAAAAATGCAATCTCTATAAGATGGAACTTAAATATGCATCGCATGGGTGAAAGAATTTGAACTTAAATATTTGTTTATAACAATTGTGGCCTGAAGCCTGCGGCAGAAATGATAATTTGTACCACATTGTTTTGAATAATGTACTGTTCGAAGATCCATTTATCTTAACCCTACAAGAGCTGAGATCTTGAGTTATGTAGAGTTCTCTAAAAACAATGCAGGATATTCTATCTGTAACCGGGAAAAACATAGCTTATACAGTGGCGTATGAGAACAATGGAAGAAGCCAATAGGTTCGTTACAGGAAACATTGCTGTGCAGATTATATGGTAAATCATACTCACATGTTTTTCATTTTGACAGAGGTCTTCCACTGCACATTTCAGATTTATGATGTGCACCTCTTGCGGATGGCTTTCTGTTCCTTTACTCGCACAACCAGACAAAACCGTAAAACTTTCCAGTAATGCTTGGACTGGGTGAGATTCCGTTACCGGTGACAGCACACATAGCATTTCAGGTATCGGACCTAGCAGAAACACAGGGAAATGATTACATTTACAGTGGCACACTCTCCGATATCTACACTAAGGCAGGGCTGTAAAAAAGGTAGATGCACAGATGTTGTGGAACTACAAATCCCATGATGCTTTGCATCCTTTACAATGCTTTGGAATGGCAAAGCATCATGGAAGATGTAGCTTTAAAATACCAGGGCATCTACCTTTTAGGCACCCCTGCTCTAAGGTGTATGTCAATAGAATAACAATGAGTCTTTCAATACCAACATAGCAAAACTAGTAACCCCTTAAGGACACATGACATGTGTCATGATTCCCTTTTATTCCAGAAGTTTGGTCCTTAAGTGGTTATAGGGCCAGTAGTACTCGTACACAAAAAAAAAGAATACTGACAGAAGTTCAGAGTTTTATGTTAAATGTAGAAAATACTTTTGGAGAAATTAGGTATTAAGCGCAGAAAAAATCCCATATGAATTAATACATAACTGACGCGTTTTAATTCATAGTTTTATTCTGGATGGCTTGTTAGTGTTTTGTAAAAACCACAATGTGTCTACAATTCAAATAATGATCACTAGTCACAAAATGCTCATTCTGATTTGAATATTTTACAACACAATTACTCCACTTTTAGGACTGTAGAACAACATCATTACTCTACATTATGGCCAATTCTACAGACCCCCGGGGATTTGGATTTTCTTTATAATTCTCCTAGTTAACTTTATATGGTGTTCAAATTCTAAGAACTCATAACATAAGTTTTCCTATTAGTGTATAATGCTGCAATTAATTCGCACAACCGCTCTTTTGGAAGTATTCACATTCAAACAATGTTTACAGCTCATACTATAAATAATGAATCTTGTTAAGATCTGTCATCGTCTTCTTGATAATTATGCAGATTTCTGGGAAGACATGTGAACTAGAATGATGTATGGTTGGTTAGAAACCTTTTGCAAAGCATTACACTCTGCTAGATTGCAACATCATAAGATGCTTCGAATATTAAATAAAAAGGTTATGTCACCACAGCTTTAATGTAACTCTATCTCAATTAAAAATTACATTACCAAAGGGACAAAATGTATTGTTTCTCTGTTTCATCTCTTCAAGAAGCTCTGTCACCTCACCAAAAATAGTGTACTTCATAAATATTGCAAATGAATAATGGATTATGGGGCCTCTACATACTGTTTATGAAATACTCACAGTGACTGTGTTAGAATTTCATTGAAATTTCAAGGCAGTCAAAAGATATCATAAGACAAATTAGGGACTATTTTGTGTTGTGGTAAAGCCTGTGGGTTGACAAAACCTGACAAAAGGCAAAGCTTCCATTAAGTTTTGTCAATTCCGAAGCAGTTATGACGGAATTGTTATTCAGTTTACGGAGACAACTATGGTTGCATTCTCACATTTGCAAATGCGCCAAATATAGCACTGACACGACTCCTGGCAGGGGAATTGTCAGAACCTGAAGGAAGAAGATGGTGGGCCTCTTCCCCCCGAGTGGGGATGTCACATTGGGGGTCGTTCCAAAGGGGGAACAGCGCCAGCACCTATTCTAAGAGCAAACACAGCTGAAACAGCAACAGTAAGGGGAATCCTTCTCTAAATAGTCATTGTGCCTTTTGGTTTTTTTTGTGTTTCTCAATTACCATGATGGTGAAATTACATGGTGATTTCAATTGTTGTGTTACCAGATTTCCAATACAAGATCGAGTGTGAAATATTTTTTTTATTATTATAAACATTTATATAGAACTAGCACATTCTGCAGTGCTTTACAGCTATACAGTGGGGATATAGCAGCAAGTGATTGACAGACAAACGTTGACAGATACAAGAGCTGATAATTTCCCTGCTCAAAAAGAGCTTACAATCTAAGATAGATTTCTTTTTTTTTTTTTTTGGACAGATTTCAAAGCAGATGCAAACAATCCGAGGATGCTTTTAGTAAACCTAAAAACCTAGAACTGAAAGAGGAAATAGAAGCTAATAAATGAGATCAGCAATCCCCTAACACTAGGGTGAACAGATGTCCTCTTTAATGCGGGATGGTGATGAAAAATGTATACCAGAGGGCCGTATTAAAATAATGCTTCCCTGGAGAGTTATATAAACCATACCTTAAAGTTAAAGAAAAGCTGGCCACCTTACCTAACACAGCTCGGCACAATACTGCTTTGACTAAAACAGCTGAATGTAATATTACACACACATATACGTCATATACATTTACAATGTAGATGTGAATGGCTGTATTAGTCCAGTAGACAAGATACCAAAATACCAGAGTACTGCAGAATGCAATGATACTTTTTTTTTTTTTTAAAGATTCTTTATTTATGGTTTTTGATAAGACAGTCGTACAGAAAGGAAAAGCAATGAATTATAGATAAAAGGTCATAACTTCAGTCAAGTTGTCTGTTAACTTGACACAATAGATACAGTTTTCATCAGCATGTCAATACCATTGTTGTGTGGTCTGGTGTTCAGTGGGAGTCTCTCAGGTAGTGAGAGAGCTAGGTCCACCTGTCCTGGCTCCTTCATGGGCTGTAGGAGTGGCCAGGGTATTGGACCTTACGTGAAATCGGGTACCAGGTTGGTTCAGGAAGGTAATGCCATCTGACGGTACCGTTTGCAAGGAAAGCGTGCCATCATTTTATTGGTCGATTGACTTTTGACTGTTGAGGGGGTTCGCCTGTTTCAGGGAGTGCGTATGTGTGGGTGTATGTTAGAGGTGGATTCCTCCTGTAGTCTGTCAGTAGGGTGAGATCAGAAGAGAAGGGAGAGAAATAGAAATCGGGGAGAGAGTAAGGCGAATGGAAAGAAAGAAAGGAAGAGGTGGGGAAGAAGGAGAGGAATGGAGAAGAGAGAGGATGAGAAAGGGAGAGAGAAAAAGGGTAGAGAGGGATGGGGAGAGTGTGAAAAAGAGGGGGAGAGACTTGCCCTTAGAGCCCCCAGACCAGGTGGGGAGGTTGGGAAGAGGGGAAGGGAGAGAGAAAAAAAGGCCCTATAAGGGTCGAAACGTTGATCACTGATTTTTTTTTTTTGCATATGTCATTTGCACCAGCGAATAAACTAAACTACTTACTAAGACCTGTGAGTGCACCTTGTACATATTTCTGTCATATATATATATATGCAGCGTGTGCTTGTGCTTTAGGGTGCACACCCTAATGCAATAGGCTGTGCACGCCTATGGATACTTGTATGTGTTTATGTAAGTACAGAACATCCTGGCCCTCACAGTTTGATTATATTTCTAGAGTTACTCTTATTTTGTGTACCAGCTAGAGGGAGAGTAGGAGGTTTTGAAACTGGGCGAGAAAGTGTTTATTTCAACTGCTGGTGATGCTTGCTATTGAAGCCAATGGATATAACTTTATTCTGACATTCAGCAAAACCGCCTTCTAAAACAATATAGACATATATGTGATGCAAATTAATTTGAAGTCCAGAGATAGCTAGAAGTAGGCACCCCTGACTTTAACGAGGACTAACAAGCACACCTCACAGCAGATGTAGTGCCTACCTTGTAAGAACACTGACAGAAAATAAGACTGTGTGAAATATTGTGTAAATTAAGATAAAATTAAGAAGAAGGACATTGAAAATCATCTATAACTCATGTCAATCTTTATGTGATGCTGCGTTTTCTTTCTTTTAAATGTATGTTAAATATTTGGCATTTGACATCAGGGCCAAAGGTCAGTCTTGGTACAGCCAGGGCACACATTACATTGAAGGGAGAGTAACAAGAACATCATTTGTACTTCTATTGCCCTTACTAGTTCAATGACAAAAATGGGCGGAGCTTAAAATCATAATTAACAGGAAGTCAAAAGGGAGTAACACAAAGTACTGCGGATCGCTACACTTAATTTTATTTTTAAAACCTCACAAACACAGATTTGTATGAGCAGACATAATATTAAATGTCCTCAGAAGTGACATTTCCCCTTTAAGTTATTTTTAAACACACTGTGCATAAATTAAAAAAAAACAAAAGGCACCAATGGGACATAGACAAAAATGCAATAAGTAGCAAAGAATGGTTTTTTTTTTATGCAATTAATTTCAATACATCATTGGCACTTTATAGGAAACATACAAGCATCAACCTATAGCACAAACTGAGCCCTCAAGATGGCATGTAAACATGGTGCAATATCCATCTGGATCTCTCTCCTATCGTAGAAAACTTTCATTTAATTCACTTGCAATGGAAGGAGGCTGCTTGAATATGTTGCAATATCCCCCTCCCTCCCCAAAGCAGAAATCTTAAAAACATGTTACAAAAATTCACCTCCCAGGACAAATACCTTTACATTTATACAAATATACTTTGCATTGTTTAAAAAGGAAGATGAAGAAAGAACGACTTCTCTTACAACAGTTTTCCATCTACAGTTATCTATGGGTTAAAACCAGAGAACATGTACCGGGCACCAGGCTGAGTAAGTGTAAAGATCTGTAAGTGTGCAGGTCATTTACAATGAAGGCTGCTTGACAGATACTTGAATAGAGGAGAGGGTGTCTAAGACAAATGTGTCACTGAATTATGAAGTCTGATTAAAAGTCATCAGTACCACAAATACCACATGCCGATTTAAAACAAACCCACAAAAAGAAAAATACAGCAGAGTCCAAAATACTGTCAATTTACATTAGTATAAACCGTTTAACGTAAATTGGTGCTTAAAGCATTTTTTTCTGTTACTTTCATTGTCCATCCATTTCTCAGGATTTTGAAAACAAGTCGGAAGATTGAAGAATAAATGTTCTTTATGCCTCACAACAATTCGCTTGTTTTGTGCTACAGCCTATATACGGAAAAAGCCAAGAGGTTTGCATAATATCAATTTTTAATCATTTCAAAAAGGATTAAAATGGAAAAGCTGAAGAATAGTAACTAAAAGATTTTACCTAGCATAATTCTGGTATATGTATTAATCTGAATATATGCCCACTGTGTATTTTAGAACATTCAATCACCAGTAACATAGAAACATAGAATGTGACGGCAGATAAGAACCATTCAGCCCATCTAGTCTGCCCAATTTTCTAAATACTTTCATTAGTCCCTAGCCTTATCTTATAGTTAGGATAGCCTTATGCCTATCCCACGCATGCTTAAACTCCTTTACTGTGTTAACCTCTACCACTTCAGCTGCAAGGCTATTCCGTGCAGCCACTACCCTCTCAGTAAAGTAATACTGAAATTATGTTTAAACCTTTGCCCCTATATTTTAAGACTATGTCCTTTTGCTGTGGTAGTTTGTCTTCTTTTAAATATAGAGTTGGGAGAATGTCTAAATTTTCAAAGAAAATCTACAATCTAAACATACATAAAATATATATCTGCCATCTTTATAGTAGCCTTTAAGGTAAGAATTATACTATTTTTACCTTCAATGGCACAGGTCTGTTCATTTATAAGTTAATCAGTAACTTAAAGGACCACTCTAGGCACCCAGACCACTTCAGCTTAATGAAGTGGTCTGGGTGCCAGGTCCTTCTAGGGTTAACCCATTTTTTATAAACATAGCAGTTTCAGAGAAACTGCTATGTTTATGAATGGGTTAAGCCTTCCCCCTAATCCTCTAGTGGCTGTCTCATTGACAGCCACTAGAGGCGCTTGCGTGCTTCTCACTGTGATTTTCACAGTGAGAGCACGCAAGCGTCCATAGGAAAGCATTGTAAATGATTTCCTATGCGACGGGCTGAATGCGCGCGCAGCTCTTGCCGTGCGTGCGCATTCAGCCCAGGAGGAGGATCGGAGGAGGAGAGAAGAAGGAGAGCTCTCCGCCCAGCGCTGGAAAAAGGTACGTTTTTAACCCTTTCCCCATTCCAGAGCCGGGCGGGAGGGGGTCCCTGAGGCTCCTTATTGTTCACGTTGGGAGAGCACCCAACTCGGACCTAGACGGACATAACCTTAGGGGACGGACATGCAAGAAGTCCGCTGCCAATACAGCACGAAACAAATCCGACGCATTAGCGAACACATAAGGAGCACAACAGTAAGAACCACTATGAGTGTTACACTGACAACCACAATTACGATGAACCTGCCGGGCGGAATGGTTTATGGTTTCATATGCTACATAAACGTATAGCACATTGTATGGAAAATTTTTTGTTCATGTTTGACATAGGGACCTGAAAGGCCCTAAAAATTGAAAAACAACACCGAGCGGCACATTAAAACCAGTATACCTGATACACCTTCACCTATTCTATGTACAAAGAATTGTATTATATGTTGATGAAAGGCCCCTGCGCGGGCCACTACATGTAATTAAGCTGCACTTGATGTTGAAACAAAAATAAAGAATTAAAAAAAAATAAAGTGTTTCTTATAAGACAAGCACAAGGTCTTTAGGTAGGTAGGATTGTGCTGTTAAAAGTACATCTTAATTTGCAGTGGCTTGACAAAAATTCTGCTGCCGTAAAACACACACATTATTTAGAAAATTGTTACAGTAAATAATTTAAAATCAAAAACAGCGAATTTTCCATAAAATAGGAATTGCACAAGATCTTTAGCGAATAAAAAATTACAGCCATTGAAAAAAAGGAAAGGATCATCATCATGTTATAACTATGCTATCACAAAAGCCGATATACTAATATATCTATTTACCCTTGAAGAGTTTTACCCTTGTTTTATGGACGTTAGGTACCAACTCTGAATTCTCTAGAACTTATCTCCGTGAGCCTGTCAAACAAACGTTATCACTAGTGGAATACATTAGTATAGTAAGTAAATAAGAACTGGTCATGTACTGCTGTGCAAAGTATTAAGAAAAAAAATGCAAATACTTCATTTAAAGGAAATCAGTATAAGCAATCTGTCATTCACTGCACTATTTGTCATCTGCTCTCCTGCAGGCTTCTCTCATAAATCAAAACTGTTATTTTTTTCCTCAGCATACAGCAACAGAAGAGGCCTCTTACATGCAATAAACATAGGATTCCATGACAGGGAGGGAGCCAGTAAGCCCAAAGAGACTCTATGCTGCAATTTTTACACTAGCCTATAAAAAATGTTTGTACCTTCCTAATAAAACTTCTCTACGGCTACAACAATAAAAACAGTATGCAGGCCCCCTTTGGTTATCCTCCTGGGATTTTTTCTTTTTTTACTTCATATACATGTTAATACCCACCCTTTGCGTCTTTCCCTTCCATGACCTTCCCAGTTTCATCATTTTTCTGTTCCTGTGCTCCTTTTACCCTCTTACTAACACTTTGCTGATTTTTATTTTCTTATTATACCTGTACCATCTTTTTCTTTTGGTTTTCCCTCCAAATCTTACATTGTGAGATTTACACAGGGTTTTCTCCTACTGTACCCACTCTATCTATCTGTTGTTGTCCGCCACAGTTTGTATGTCTGCTACTCAACGTTCTATATGACCCTCATACTGTGGATTTCTAAAACTTTGCTTTTGTGTGAGCGCGACAGCAGGAGGCAGCGTGCAAATCCATGTGCATGAACCTGATTAGTGAGACTCCTGTGCTAACATAAGCATGCCACCCCTTTGATAGGGATGACACAGGGAATAATACTGGCATGAGTACAGTTAACATTTGTATATGGAGTTTTATAAATCTAACAGAAATGGAAGTTGAGCACCTGAGTTATATTATTTATTTTTATTTATTTATTATTGCCATTTATATAGCGCCAACAGATTCCGTAGCGCTTTACAATATTATGAGAGGGGATTTAACTATAAATAGGACAATTACAAATAAACTTGCAGGAACAATAGGTTGAAGAGGACCCTGCTCAATCGAGTTTACAGTCTATAGGAGGTGGGGTGTAAAACACATTAGGACAGGAATTTGCAATCAAATAAGGTGGGCTGCCCTTTAGGAGAGGGCAAGAGACGGGTATGTGAGGTAGGGGTTAGTCTTGGAGGCCATAAGCTTTCCTAAAGAGATGGGTTTTAAGGCACTTCTTAAAAGATGCAAGACTAGCGGAGAGTCGGATGGCGGTAGGCAGGCTATTCCATAGGAAGGGAGCCGCCAGCGAGAAGTCCTGCAAGCGCGAGTTGGCCGTACGGGTGCGGACAACGGACAGGAGGTGGTCACGGGCAGAGCGGAGAGACCGAGAAGGGACATACCTGTGGATCAGTGAGGAGATATAAGAGGGGCTAGAGTTGTTCAGTGCTTTATAGGTGTGAGTTAGTGCCTTGAATTGACTCCTATAGCACACAGGAAGCCAATGTAAGGACTGGCAGAGGGGTGAGGTGTGAGAGAACCGACTAGAGAGGAAAATCAGTCTAGCAGCAGCGTTCATTACAGACTGTAGGGGTGCAGTATGGCTTTTGGGAAGACCAATATTAGTAATCTGCAAATAAGTAGGGGATAATTTTTACATTTTAGTTTATTTTTCACACCTCAAAAATACACATTTGTTAAATATAGGGGAAAAATATGTACTATCGTACGTAAATATGATAGTACAAACCCTTGGGATTCTTGGGGTTTAAGGTCCTGTTAAATCATTTTTGCCATCTCAATTTCTGAATATCAGGGAATATCAGCAAATGTGTACCTTGGAGGTGCAGAAACTGTTTATATTGAATATACTGCAATGATGATAACATTCTTATCCTGTATGGCACTGACCTACAGGATTGGCAATTTCAATAAAGTTCCTAAAAAATATTGGCCCTAGGAAAAACAAGAATAAAAACAAAGAGATCACTAAAATGTCAAAGTTCAAGTACAAAGTTATAACAGAATTACAAAATAATTCCATTACAGCGAATGCCAAAACACCACCATGCAGGCTTTGAACGCCAAAACTTGCCTTTAACTGCACGTATAATGATTTGAATTCTGTGCACATAATCTGCAAAGGAGTCTCTTACCATTTGTTTAAACCGATTCAGAAAAATAAATATATGATGGAAATTTTAATTTTGACAACTCCACAACCAGGAGTACAAGTACACAAGATATTTTTATTCCTTTTAAGCTTTTAGGGATCTTATTTTTCCTCCTTAGATAAATTGTTTAGAATTTCTGCCACATCTATGTAACAGATTGTTCTGAATCATGCAACCCTAGCACAACTCGACTCTACATCAACTTGTGTGATAAAGTGTGTGCAGATGTTCAACACATGCACACGCAGCAAAGCAAGGGTTCTAAGAAACAAGGAAAGACACATCATTTTACCATCCAAAGGAAATATAGTGGATTCCTTTCCAAAGCACCTCTGATCTTGGAACCATTTTCTTGTAACAAAATTTCCTTGGGTCCCGTGGAATGCTTAAATTATCTCATGCCTAATATATCCACAATCTTTGTACATGAAGCCTTAGTCAAACCGTGATTTACTGCATAAAACCCTACAAAACCTTAATGTGTGGACATTGCATTGAATAATCAATTTTTTTTTCATTATTTGTATCCTGAAATAGACAGTGCAGTTCCAGTTACACAGTATAAAGAGAATTTATAGGATATATACCTATGTATAGAAATCCTAAACTATATACATATATATCTTGTTGTTTTTCAAGTTCAAGGTGTACTGTTAAGGTATACTATAAGACAGCTTGTAGGCTGTAACTTGGCACAATTTGTAATAATGTGATTTTCCCATCTTAAAAATGAACTCTTGTTTCTAAATAGGTGAACACAGGTTTAAAGGAACACTATAACGTGAGAAACACAGATATGTATTCCTAACACTATAGTGCTGGAGTGGCTGTTTAGGTGACCAGCCCACCTCTCTGTAAATTAAAAAGGTATATCAATTTAGCTTTCCCCCCTCACTACGCTGTCTCACCACGGCTGGTCCTGTCTGCATGGCTAAGATCAGCAATCTTGATGATTTCAGCCAATCCAATGCTTTCCCATACAAAATGCTGGGCTGTGGTAATCAGCACCTCCCCATAGAGATGTATTGAATCTGAAAAAGCAGTGTTACCATTTAAAAGGCTGCATGGACAGGCTATAGACACCATGACCACTACATTAGCAACCTTCTGCACTCTAGATGTTGAGTACTACATCTCCTATAATGCTGGTAAAGCATCAGGGGAGATGTAGCCCACAACATCTGGAGTGCAAAAGGTTGCCTACGCCTGCACTATACTATTAGAATATGCACACACATAAATACATTACATATACAGTTTGTCACTATCCTTGAAAGTCAATGTCATTTTTTGCCTGGGTGCGATACCAGCATATTATAAATATAAAGGTACCTATTGTACAGCGCTACAGAATTTTGCTGACGCTGTATAGATAATAAAATAATAATATTAATAATATCAATGCAATCATGTATCCTTTCTGGAAAGGATTATTTTCTGGAAAAGACATTGTGAGTGACTCCATACTCTTCCTTTGGTAACTATTACTTGTAGAGAGTAAACGCGAAGGACTCATTGGTGAGTCACCAACCAGAGGCTTCCCCTCGTTAAATCATGGAGGCACCATGGAAGACAATAAACAGACATTTATCGTTCAAATTAAACCTAATTTTAGACCAACCTCTACCACACCCAAAATAACAGTAACTTCAAACGAACTTCCAATTAGAGGATATTGTTAAGAATTGGTGTGAATCATCAACCTTTAACAACCTAGCCCTCTTCCCACTTATTAATTCATCACTAGAAGAGAGAAGAATCGTGTTTGCTCATTATGGGTGTGAAAAGTTCAAAAGTTCTTTAAAATATAACTTAAAAATGCATTATAACAAAGCATCGGAGGAAAAGGTCCATAATCGTATTCACTTCACAAAATAATGGCCGCATTGGATTTTGAAAGTCATAAATTGCCCAGTGGCTGAATTATTTCATGACCAGTGTAATAACCCAAAAAAATAAACAATAAAAAAAATAAAAGTTCTTTAACCCCTTAAGGACACATGACATGTGTGACATGTCATGATTCCCTTTTATTCCAGAAGTTTGGTCCTTAAGGGGTCAAGGTCATAACTCAATCCTGACAAAAGTTCAAGCAAGCTAGAATTTGTTGAGGGTCAATAACCAGGAATGACAGGTCGGATAAGAGAAACTATCCAGACAGATAAAAAGCACACAATGAAAAAAAGAATGGAAAGTCAAACGCGGTGGGTAGCTATAAAAGCAAGGCTTAATACAGACAGAAACAGTAAGAGTAGTGTCTGAAACTGGGTGTAAATTTCACAAACTCTATAGAAAGGCTAAAAGTGAGTATTCCATCCCTGCAAGGATGCAATAAATGTTACTTTAAATACCATACATTACTATCGTGTGTTCCATCCACCTGAGAGGGACCAGCTGTGGTTGAAAGGCTTGCTTCCTCTTACATCTACTATACATTATTATTTTGAGAAATAATGTCAGGAAATATTTTCCCAAATAAAATAATAATATTAAAAAAAAAAGATATGATGATTAGCCTGTGTTTTTCCAACATTCCCTTTGGCTTCCTGTAGATAAGTACAATTATTTACCAAAGTATCTGTTTAAAAGAACACGATAAGTTTAAAAATAAACATTTCTTTTTCAACTTAAAGTATTCCTTTACCGGTTTAGATCGTGGGGCGTGCTTTAATATTTAAAAATTGCAGGAGAAAAAAGCTATAATAGTTACTCATAATCCAGCATCAAGGCAGCCTCCTCTAGGTAACTGCTACCCTATCCTTAACAATGTCAATCAAAGCCAAGCTTCTCATATGCATGGAAATAGCCGAGCTCCACCAATTTGATGTTTTTCATAGAGAAGCGCCAACACTAATTCTTCTCTATGAGAAGCATTGGGCGCATTTGGCATCATTGTACTGTGTGTGAGGATGACGGACATGGCAGTGGTTGTCTAAATCCTGCAAGTTAAACATTGCAGTATCTTTAATAGTGATGTCCCGAACGGTTCGCCGAATGGTTCACGAACGGTTCGCCACAAACGGTTCGCCACGGACTCATCATTGAGTAAACTTTGACCCTGTACCTCACAGTCAGCAGACACATTCCAGCCAATCAGCAGCAGACCCTCCCTCCCAGACCCTCCACCTCCTGGACAGCTCACTAAGAATGCAGCTTCACAATGAATGTAAAATGGATGCTGTCCAGGAGGTGGGAGGGTCTGAGAGGGAGGGTCTGCTGCTGATTGGCTGGAATGTGTCTGCTGACTGTGAGGTACAGGGTCAAAGTTTACTCAATGATGAGTCCGCGGCGAACCGTTCGCTGCGAACCGTTCAGGACATCACTAATCTTTAAAACTGCAAATTTCTACATTGCAGGATTAAAGGACCACTATAGTGCCAGGAAAACATATTTGTTCTCCTGGCTCTATAGGCCAGGAATACCTTCCATTTTCAAAAGTCTGAAAGAGGAATTGCCTCTCGAAGCTGTCTATCAGACAAATGTGAACTTTTAAATTTTTCAGAAATCAATGTATTACATTGCCAAAGAAAGGGGACAGCAACTATGTATCAAAACCATTTGATTAAAATGTAGTTGTTTCCCACGTCTGGTGGCAATGCCCAATGATAGTTTCATACTGGAAGAGAATTCACACCATGTCACAATTGATACTCAAAGAAACCATTCCATTCACACCGCTACACTATCTATTCTTAATACCCCCCCCCAAGTATTAGGAGGGAAAAAGCCTCCCTTTTCAGTTTTTTGGCTATGGCAGCCGCCCACCTCATACCTAAGTACTGGAAACATACACAAACTCCCTCGATCAGAGAATGGATAGGAAGGGTGAACGAAATCAGACAAATGGAAGAAATAACATATGCACAAACTAAAAACTTCCAATCCTTCACTCAAATTTGGCAACCGTGGCATTACTTTATGGCAACCAAGCGTACAGCCTACACCGAAGTCCTACCACAGTCTCTGCCTCCCGCCTAGACTCCCACACCCTACCCCCATCCCCCCCTCCTCTTTTTCCTGTCTACCAGCCATACACCCTAGAATACTCCATGGGCCAATCCTTGACAAGACCAAACTTCTAGGATGTACACTTCACCCTGCCCTCCTAGACTCACCACATCACTGTCTCTGTACTAGTGGAAACCACTTTGATCCCACAATGTTTGTCACCCTCTAACATTTAAGCTTAGTGAAATACTTGATTACTTATCCATTTCCTGAACCCACCAGCGATACTGCAATATTCACACTAAGGTGTGTCACCATATTCAAACCTCCTTATTCAACTCCAGCAACATGATTATCACTATTGTTTACTATTATAAACAGTTGTTTGAAAAACTATTCATCTATCCTACATTGTGATTTGACTACTCTGTTAACATAGTTATCTACAGATCTTATGTATATGTGTCAAGAAAACATTGTTGTAATGTATTATCTTTTTGAAAATAAAAATTTGAATAACAAAAAACAATAAAGTAACACTTATATGTGAAAAAAAAAAATGTAGTTGTTTAATCCCTTAAGGACACATGCCATGTGTGACATGTCATGATTCCCTTTTATTCCAGAAGTTTGGTCCTTAAGGGGTTAAAGGACCACTATAGTGCCAGGAAAAAATACTTATTTCCTGGCACTATAGTGCCCTGAGGGTCAGGGGCGTATTAGCCGCGAGGCAAACAAGGCATTTGCCTTGGGCGGCATTTTTCAGGGGGCGGCAAAAAACGCCGCCCCCCAAATGCCCAGGGCAAATGCCTAGTTAGCCTTGCGGCTAACTGACATCCCGAGCGGGCGGGCGGCTCTGGCAGGCGGGCGGCCGGCGAGGGAGCACTTCCTATGAGCTGACTGCTCAGCTCCCTCGCGCGCCGCAGAGTGAGGCTGGGAGCCGGAAGATGACGTCATATTCCGGCTCCCAGCCTCACTCTGCAGCCGGCGCGAGGGAGCTGAGCAGATAGCTCATAGGAAGTGCTCCCTCGCCGGCCGTCCGCCTGCGCCCGACCTGCAGGCAATAGACCACCGGACCACCAGGGAGAGAGACCCCCCCCCCCAGAACTCCCAGAGGTAAGGAGGTTGGGGGGGGGAATTTAAATTTAAAAAAAAGTTAATGTGTGTGTGTGTCTGACTGTGTTTGTGAGTGTGTGTGTGTGTGTGTTTGTGTCTGACTGTGTTTGTGAGTGTGTGTGTTACTGTGTGTGTGTTTGTGTCTGACTGTGTGTGTGTTTGTGTCTGACTGTGTGTGTCTCTGACTGTGTGTGTGTGTGTCTGACTGTGTGTTTGTCTGACTGTGTGTGTTTGTGTCTGACTGTGTGTTTGTCTGACTGTGTGTGTTTGTGTCTGACTGTGTTTGTGAGTGTGTGTGTTTGTGTCTGACTGTGTGTGTGTGTCTGACTGTGTGTGTGTTTGTGTGTGTGTTTGTGTCTGACTGTGTGTGTCTCTGACTGTGTGTGTGTGTGTCTGACTGTGTGTTTGTGAGTGTGTGTGTGTGCGTGTGTCTGACTGTGTATGTGTGTGTGTGTTTGTGTCTGACTGTGTGTCTGACTGTGTGTGTGTGTGTGTCTGACTGTGTGTGTGTTTGTGTCTGACTGTGTGTGTGTTTGTGTCTGACTGTGTGTGTCTCTGACTGTGTGTGTGTGTGTTTGACTGTGTGTATTTAGAAGGTGGGGCGGGGGGAAGGGTTGGGTGGGGGTGGCGCGGGGGGAGGGGGGCGCCTGAGTTTTGTCCTGCCTAGGGCAGCACAAAACCAGGATACACCACTGCTGAGGGTGCCCCCACCCTCAGGGCCCCCCTTCCACCGGGCTCTAGGGGGCGGAAGGGGTTAAATTTACCTCTTTTTCCAGCGCCGGGCAGGGGACTCTCCTCCTTCTCGTCGTCATCGGCTGAATGCGCATGCACGGCACGAGCCGCGCGCGCAGCCAGTCCATAGGAAAGCATTCACAATGCTTTCCTATGGACGCTGGCGTCTTCTCACTGTGAAAATCACAGTGAGAAGCGCGTAAGTGCTTCTAGCGGCTGTCAATGAGAGCCACTAGAGGCTGGATTAACCCTATTATAGACATAGCAGTTTCTCTGAAACTGCTATGTTTATAGAAGAAAGGGTTATTCCTAGCTGGACCTGGCACCCAGACCACTTCATTAAGCTGAAATGGTCTGGGTGCCTATAGTGGTCCTTTAATGTGTGCCTTTAATAGTTAATAAAAGTATGCAACATATTTAATAGTAAGAGTGTAAATGTTATCCAGAAACACATTTAGATGGCCACTTTAATAATATCAAATTTAAATCTGTTATTTACAAAAGTGTGAAATGTCAGGAGTTCAAAGTGTATTTTACATTTTAGGCCAAAATAAACAAAATGAATGCATAGCTGCATAGAGTTTACAATTTGGCTATTTTGCCCCACTCTATAAAATGTATTTTGTAGTCACAACAATTCACAGTAATAGTGCTTTTATGTAATGAGAATAATGAATGAAAAATGTGCATTATTTATTTGCTACCTTCTATTTATTTACATATACAGGTGGTCCTCACTTTGTGACCTGCCTGTTTTACGATGGCTCGCACTTATGACCAGCTCTCTAGCGTGGCGATTCAAGGTATTCCCCACTTCAGAGAGCTGGTCTACATTCGGGGAAATTTCCCTGAACATAGATTAGAGGGATTCCCTGATCTGGTGCATTTTCTATGTTCGGGAAACGTTCTGTTACCATTTCAAATAGAACCGCTAGTTCAGTGGCTTCAAATTTAGCCCTTATGTCCAACTGAAAAAATAATTGAATCCTCACCTAAAAGGAGCAGAGCACTGTTGGCTTGGGGAAGAGTAAGTGGAGAATGCATGGAGCTACAAGCTACATACCACTTACTGAAATTTGATGCACTGCTCTGGGGGGAGAAGGGACATTGAAATGAGCTGTCAAAACTCCAATCTCTAGGGGAAACACACTAAACTCCCAAACAATTACTATTATAGTGATGTCTCATCAAATACAGACATTATAAAGAACATGTTGAAAAAAAAGACCTTTTAGCAAACACCTATCCCCTTTGAGATGAGAATAACTAAAGAATGGTTCGAAATATGTCTTAATGTAGTTTTAATTAATACAATCTGTAAGCGTATTGTTGGATTCGATTTTTTCCTCTGGAGTTAAAGTTTCTAGGCTCATGTTTCCAAAGCAAATAACTGAAACTCTAATTACAGTTTGATAATATTTTCTAAAAGAGGCCTACTGACGACATAAGGAGAATATAAAATGTTAACACAGAGTACCACAAATATGTGTATGGGGTCTAACAGGTGTTTTTAATCAGTATGTGGCAAAAACATATACATAAAATGAAGGAGGGGACGGAGCCCAGGAATTATAGTTGAAGCTTGAGCAATGGGTATGGTGCTTGCAAAAATAATAATAAAAAGACCCTCTCAAATAAATAGTTATAAAACAAAAGACCATCCAAAAAAACTTCTAGTCACAGGGGACCAAAGAAACTTTAGAAATCTAAGTAGAAAGTAAAACATAAAAATAACCCACCCCCAATGTCGGCTATGTATATACAAAATCAAATCATACGCATCAAAACAGTTATAGTTATGCATTGGGTGTAGCAGCACAGGATATGTGACCTAAGTACAATTAGTATTCTATAAGAAGAAAAGGGGGTTCTAGGCAGGGCCACAATAAGATTGCCTAATTACAGAATCTTATCGACAGAAAACACTAACAGTCATACCTCCCAAGCATCATGTATCTGGTGGAGGAGGTGCTGGAGGGAATCTCACAAGATGGGATAGAGGCTGTCTATCAGAAAGGCACTAGAGGGACTTCCGGCTTCTTAAAACACGAAAAGTGTTTTAAACAACGCTGGACGTAATGCGAGCGCGGCTGACGTCGGTGGGGGAGGAGAGTGGACGGAGCCTGACCCAGCAACGAGGGACATCGGCGCTGGATTCAGGTAAGTCACTGAATGGGTTTTAACCCTTTCAGCAACATGGGATGGGGGTAGAGGGGGGGGGGCACTGCAAGATTCTGTCCATTTGATTCTGTTTGGTCCCTTTAAGCAAGAGAAAACAGGAACAGTTTTATTAATTCCCCTTTAAAATGAGTATACATAACACAAAGGGACCAAGAAGACAAAATGTGTATATTTCTGTCACTTTTCAAAATGCTAATTTTTAATTTAGTAAGCAAACAATCCATCTTGTTATTTTACTATTACAGGTTTTGAAGACATCAGGGTCCAAGTCACCCATGATGGAGAATGTGCATATGTCCTCTCTAGAGTTTTGCCTTTTTTATTTCAAATATTTTTGGGGAAATTTTGCTTAAATTATTGGAGTTTCACCTTTTTCTAAATACAACTGATAATACCAATCAGAATACACACAGTGTTATTGTGACAAACTCCCCTTTTTACAGCCTGCTTGCCAGCATCCTGCCCACAGACTATGGACCTGGTGAAATATAATGTTAAAGTGTCTGTTCGTGCCTTTTTGGATTTATATGGCAACACTTCAAACTTTCAAAGCCGCACTTCGAACTCCTGAACGGTTGAAGTGGTTCGAAGCGGCATTCGAACACATGGCAGCAGCCATCTTAAGCCGCGAGAACAATGAGCAGTGTTTGGTCGTTCGAGCTTATGGAACTCAAATCGGACATTCGACAACACAAACTCTGCTAACTATTTACCGTCCATGTTCGGCTATTCAAACGGGAGTCGAACAGCGTTCTGTATTTTGTGTGCACTTTGAATCCCCGAAGTAGACAGACTGCACAGCCTAATTCTCTGGAACTGTTTTGGGCATGGAACCATGCATGCGGTCAGTCAAAATGTGACTTCCAGGAAAATCCTGAACCCCTGAACTGATCTGAGTGATTTTTGGATATGTTGGTCACCCAGATCAGGGCTATCAGTGGATGTAACATTTGTGTGGATATTATGTTTTTTGGGGTACTTTTGAGACTTAACAGAAATGTGTGTTTTTTCTGCCTGGAGATAATTGGGTTAATACAGTATCTGACTCAATTATCTCCCAGGCAGAGGGGAGGGATTGTGTGCTGTGTGTGGGAGTGTCATGCATTGTAACTATATTGTCATTGATTTGTGACTTTTGTGGTGCAGTCCCCCACAAGGTCCAGGGTGGAGTGCCCCTTGCATGGGGACATGCAAATAAGGCCAGTTGTGGCTGCCATTACAGCATTCCAGCTTGCACTCCAAAACTGTGTGTTGTCCTGTTATTGGAGGGAATGAAGATTTACTCCTGTGTCTGCTTTTCCAGCTTGCAAGGGATTCAACTGGGAAAGTCCTTGTAAGGACTAGAGCTCCCAGAACTGAGTGTCGTCCAGTGCCTGGGGGTGTCTAGAGTGAATTCCCCATTCGGCTCCAGGAAGGAGCGGTTCCAGGGCCCCAGTCAAGCCACAACGACTGTGGTGCTGCAGTTTGTCCCCTGTTCCAGCTAGGAAGCGATCCTTGGCGTTAGGTACCCAGCTGGGGTACAGGGAACTCAGTCACAGTTATAATAAAAGAGAATTGAGGCACTGATGTTATGATATGGTTCTAATTTACTTTTTAATATATTGATATGATTTTAAAAAAATGTGTCCCTAAAATATACATAATTACTATTTATGTATTATTCGTCAATTTACTATATGTAAACTAATTAAATGTTTTTATCTAAAAGTGTCAAATTCAATTCATATTCAGTAAGACATGGATTAAAAATCTCCTTGTTTTTCCTTCGCCAACACCTAATATTTGTAAGTGGTACAATTCTCTGATAACAATACATGAAGCAGAAGTATTTGTCTAACCCACACTCCTTGGACATTTAATATGCATATTGTTTGTATTTTGTAGTGGTCTAGGGGATTCCACTCAAGAGGTTTTTGAGCTTATTATCCATTTCTCCATATTGTGCACTTGTTTTATGATTTAATAATGCCTACAATGTTTATTTTCTATTGATCTCAAAAGTCTATCATTTTGTAAAGCAACATTTCATTATAAAAGTCCAAAGAAGCAATAAAATGTCCTATTTCCTATTTAGCTAGATTAATGGGATTCTATTGTGCCAGGAAAACAAACCTATTTTTCTGGCACCAAAGGTCCCTATAGTGGCTCCCTCCCGCGGTGCTGAAGGGTGTTAAAATCTGACGCTTGAGGTCCGTGAGGACGTCCAGCGTCAGATAACGGACAGCCAGCCACTAGAGGAGAAGTTAACCCTCAGAGGAAATTATTACAGTTTCTCAGGTTAAGGGGCATGGTACATTGCACCCAGACCACTTCAATTAGCTGAAGTGGTCTGGGTGCCTACAGTGTCCCTTTAAATAAAAGCTAAAATAAATTTTTAAAAAATTTAAAAAATGAAGACAAGACATTTTCACAGATTTTAAGAGCAAAATAGATTTTAGAATAAAACTTTCATTTGTCCAATGATGGTATATATCTCTAATGTGCATTTTTCTTTTGTCTGTCTGCAAGAGCAGAAAGTCTGCGTAAATGCATATAAAATCAATAATCAATCATTGGGACAGTTCTAACTAGATAATTATGTATGGGTATTGATGTTAGCTCACTATTAGCCCTTTCTATTGAAATGATGCACAATAAATTTACAACTAAACAAATTCTCCAAGCACAATACATTTGCCACTAGATGGCAGTGCTACTATCCACTGGAGGATTGGAGCAAGTTTACAGGACAGAGCTATTTTGCAATGACTAAAGTGTGTTTGCGAAAGCAGAGTTTTAAGCCGTTCAGATAATGTAGGCACAGACAGCCTGCACCTCTTACTGGCATTCTGTTATACACAATTCTTTTTACTATAGCGATGACTAGATTCAACGTGTTTCCAGTCTAGCTCCTAGGCATGTGCATGGGGAAAATGTTCGGTTCGGCTCGGCATTCCGAAATTCGGGACTTCCGCAATTCGGCACTTCAACACTTCGGAACTTCGGCACTTCGGAAATTCGGCCACTTCGGAATTTCGGAACTTCGGCATTTCAGAATTTCGGGACTTCTCTTGCAGCCGCTTAGTAGATAACTCCCTAATTCCCACGGTATTATTATTATTATTATTGCCATTTATATAGCGCCAACAGATTCCGTAGCGCTTTACAATATTTTAGGGAGTTATCTACCAAAAGGCTGAAAGACCTTAATTGGTCTTTCAGCCAAATTTTCTAATACTAAGCAAAAGTGGGGGGGAGGGCAAAAAAAAGCACGTCGCGGGTGGGGGCTCAGGAGGGGGGGCCTTTTTTTTTTCTTTTTTCTGCTCACTGTTTAATAGACATGCCCCTACTCATGATATAGCAAGTAGGGGCATAATTTACTAATACTAAGTAATCTTTACTTAGTATTAGTAAATTTGGCTGAAAGACCAATTCAGGTCTTTCAGTCTTTTAGTAGATAGCTCCCTAATACCATGGGAATTAGGGAGTTATCTACTTATTCATTCCTGTCATTACATGACTGGCTAGGTAACTTACATGTTATATGAATGTGTGTTACTTGATTGTTGTAAGTGTTGCAAACGCTTACAGCTGAATCCTGGCTATGTTTGTATACTTTTTATTTAAAATTGTAACATTCTTCTTCTTTCACTTGGTAAGTATATTAGTACAGTACTGTGCTTCGGAACTTAGGCACTTTGACACCTCGGAACTTCGGCACTACTACACTTCATGAATGCGGTAATTTCGGCACTTCGGGACTTCGACAATTCGGCAATTCAGCTATTCAGACATTCGGAAGAACCCGAATGTCCGAATTGCCCGAAATTCGGCTGAATTTTAATTCGGACCGAAACAAATTGCACATGTCTACTAGCTCCCCCTTTTCTGTAATACAATTGTTATTTCTTGTGGCTCATACATATTTATTACTGGCAGGTTATAAAATCAGCATTACGTAACCCAAAATGTCAGCTAAAAGGAAATGTGAATTAAGTTTATAACCTAATAACTGTTTACATCTGACACTCCAAAAATTAAAAGCAGCCTTAAGGCAATATGTTTTGCTGGTGTAGATGGGTGTTAACATTTGTATACTTATATGTATATTGTGTTAACATATTTTGTCAGTGCTGTGCTTATATATTTTTTATTTGCTATGCTTTACTCAATAAATAACTCTTGGCCGTTTTTTAAACATTTTAGTCAGCAGATGTTTATGACAAGAGATCAGACAAAGTAATACTGACATCGTAAAAGTGAAGCTGACAAAATTTATACCCCAGAGAGGTGATTTTTAAAAACACAATTTTAACACAGTTTTAAATACAGTCCAAGCATAGCCAAGTCACTTTGATGGTGACTGGATAAAATGGCATGAAGAAAAATAAGTCTTGGTATTCTTCATTTTATTATGAAACTTTTTTTAAGGATAGCTTCACGTATACATGTGAGCCTTTACTTCCTTCACTAGAATCTTCTATCAGGGACATTTGTTCCCTTTACTGCGGACAAAAGTATTCCTTCAAGCTTCACAGTCCTGGGTGTTTTGTTTTTTCCTTTACAATATGTTGGACACCAGATGAAAATCCTCAAATAGCAAAACATAGTGCAGCATTAAATACACTCGCACATTGTGAGGCCAATACAGGGAATATGAGTTCATGCAGGCCTGGATAGGGAGCATCTAGTCTCTGGCAATCCTTAACGCTTCCGCACGCTCTCAAGTCCTGATTCTATGTCCTCAAACCATGTTAATATTATTCCATTTATATTTTATAAAAACTCTCCCTTCTTCAACAGTATTTAGTCCTTTGAAAATAATCCTTTGATGTTGTCTACTCTATACTTTCTCTGCCAAGGTGTATATACAGTATCTATATACTTATTTTTAAAGCTATTAATCTCCATTTAGAGCATATTATATGAGGTCTGATTAGTTATTAATACAATAGCATAGGTTTGCTTGTTCAGCTTTTTCTACTCTTCTTTCTGTTTTACTACCGTTCTCTGTTTTGCTGTTTAACAATAAAATATATGCATTATGTGTAATATATTCTGAAGACACTTTACACAAGGTAGGCTTGACTCGACACGTGACAATACATTTTCCAGCCTAATCTATTAATCATTTCTACAATGCAGACGTATAATTAGATGGAGGTTCATGGCCAATTTTCCAGTTCCGGGAAAAATTTGCACAACCTGTGCTGAAGAACGTGAAAAAGTAGTGGCATCGCCTGTTGGCACTGCTGAAGTACATATGCCTGTCTGTTTCAGGGGAAAAACATTTCGGATCAACTCACCCCAGGGGTGAAATATGTCTCAGCCAGTTTTAAGATTTTATTACACTAAGACATGGAAATATGCCATCAGCACACACGGCACATAAAAGTTTCAAAAGATAACGATGTTCACTGAAATTAAATTAAAAAATAATAATAATGTGACAGTCAGCCAGATATCTAAAGGCGTCAACTGAGGAAGGGTTTTTGAAATCAATTACCGGATACGTTTTGACAACACCACATAAAGAAACATCCTGAGGGTCAGCATCCTTATCTAGAAATAACAAGGCATAAAGAAATAAAAACGATATAAAAATGTGTTAAAAGTAAATGTACTCTAGGTAAAGGGGTCCCCCAGTGCCTGAGCATGGATCTAAAACAAGTACCAAAATAAAACCATACTTCTAGATCTAACAAACATTGGAACGGTACAGGAAGATGTTCCATTTAAGTAGATGTAGATAAAAAGAAAAGGCATATGCCAATAGCATAATTTGCTTAAAGGGACACCCCAGGCTCCTAAAGCACTTTAGCTTGCTCTTTGAAGAGCTTTATGTGTGATGAGTGGGTCCTTTTTTCATTTTGCAAAACAGTGCAGATTTTAATAGAAAATGACACTTGTATAACCTGGTTACACCCCCTGGCTTTCAAGCAGAGAACACACCCTGTTATTTCCTAGTTTGGTTAGCTCAGTGGAGCTAAACTCAAGAGGCAGCAATTTCCCAGAGTACTTGCCTTGCATTCTGCTGCATTGGGAAGTCTGTGATTCGACAGTCACAGAAAGTCTGAGTTATAAGGGGAAGGTTTGCAAAGGTTTTGCCGTCTGCTTTTAGATATAACCCCATGCAAGGTTTTTTTTGAGGCATATATACTAATCTGTATTTTGTTAAGTTTGTTTTTATTTGGGCAGTGGAGTGTCCCTTTAATTACTGCAAAATATGTATTAAATTGCTCATTACCTCTCAGAAAACTGGTGGAATCACAAGTCCCTGAATATGTCTCAAAGGAGAGGTCTCTCTGACCGCAATGGATGCATATAAAGCTCTTGACTTTCAGTGTGATATAACCAAATGGTCCTGGCAGCATTTAAGCTCAGAATTCCAATTAGTTGGAACTGAATGGAGCTAGCAATCTTCTCATTTCCAGGTTTTAGATTGCATATAATGCCTTTACAGACAATTAGCCATGCTCTAGCCATTTAATTAATAATCCAACGATACTTAAAAAAATGAAGAGAATATTTTAGTAATTAAAACGTTAAATACCTGGAGTTATAGGTACCATCCTCGGGAGATGTGATAATCCACCTAACCTCTAAAACTGTTCAAACCACACTTCTGAGAGGATTATGGGATAACACCACCTCTCATTTTGAGAATGCTACACCTAATATTACGAGGGACACGTTAAGATGGCAGTAGTCTATGAAGACCCATACAGTTTTATTGCATCTTCATCCATATCATACCAATGGGAACTCACCCACTGCTTATTAATTACCATGGAGAATGGCATACTTCAGATTAAAGACCTAATGGAAATACCTCGTATAATTGCCACCTCACTCCTAAGAAAGCAGCCGGGGAACCTTCATGAGATGTCATCAAAGTCCAGCCCTTTCAACCAACAAAAAGATTGTGTCCAGACCTAGAATTGAGGTTCTGTGTTGACTTCCATAGACTATTTAGCAGTTTCTGTTTCTTTTCTTCTTCTTTTTAATTTTCTTTCTGATTCTGACAAGTTTTAGTCTATTGGTAATGAACCAGCCCTGTTTGAATTTGATCACATGCCTCCCACCGCTGGTCTAGTTTTCATAACCAGTCTTTTATATTCTAGAGATTTTCTTTCCTCTCTGGATCTCCCTTATTCTCCCTCGATTTTATATGCATACGTTTATCAACAGTTTTGATACTTATTAAGAGACCTGGGGGGGGGCGCAATTAGCTAGGAACAAGGAGTTTATAGGGTTCGGTATACAGATTTCTATTCCTAACGCTAGAGTGTTCCTTATGCCATTGACTTGGTTTTCACAGTTGAACCGGGAATTACAGACTAAAGAGCCTTCACTGATTTGCGTACAGAAATACTGAGCATGCACATAGATTACTTCATACAAATACATAATACATATGCTAAGTAATTATCCCTTACACACATTTTCTGCATCTTTCCTGGCAAAACAATTTATAAATACATTCTTGGTGCAGCAGTTGCTTCTATGTGAATAATTCTCTGTACCATCTTCACCACCAGTAAAGGAGGTGTAACATGTCCTGTCATTCCTTTAAAATAGCAGGGGTCTTAAAAAATGTAGTAAAATGAACAGAGTGAGAGGCATTTAGTGCACAGCTAATTATGATGTTTGGAGTGTCCCTTTAATTTACATAAAAATATTTAAAATGTATTAAAAACTCTAAATTTAATGTGGAAAAGAATTCTGAAAGAAAAGCATTCTGAAAGGAAAAAAAAAACAAAAAACTTTGCAAATAAACAGACAGTAAATGTAGATTTTAACAAGTATTTCAATTCTGAAAACAGCTTCATTATCATTCCATTCTCCTTAGACAATAGGCAAGGGCTGATGCTGTCCAATAACTAAACTCACTCCAGACTGATGCTTGACAGATTTTGAATTACAATGGCATACAGTAACTGTAACTACACAACTTTTATATTGTTTTAAAGCAACAGCACATATTGTGGTTTCGGCCCAGTACCTTTTAGTGAGTTCCTTGTAACTTGTATTATATTCTGGTATTGACCTTGACTTTGTTACTGACTCTGTGTTTATCTTTAACCCTTTCCTGCGTTGTTTGCCTGTCTGACTGATTACCGTGTACATGACTCTGGCTAGTTCTCATTTTTGCTGTCTTTGTGTTACACTGACCTCGGCTCATTACTGACTACGATTTTTCTCTGTCTAACATTAAGTTCGGCCATTCTAAGGCCCGGCAATATGCTATTTCCTTGTTTTGTCCCATGCTGTCCTGAACACTGCGTGTTGAGATTTTACATTGTGACAGGCAATTACCTTGTCTGGCAGATCATGTTGCAAGATAAAACATGAAACAAGAAGGACCCTAACCATAACATCCAATCCATGGTGTGAAACTTACCATATCATGACCCGCTGAGGACCCTTGGAGTTTTTAGAATCAGAGGAGCAGGTTCTTTAGGTGCTGTGATACCTCTGGATCACAGGTAAGAGATGGATGAGGCTGAAAATGGAAGTTTCATATTGAGGTATGAAGTCATCATGTCCATCAATGATTACTCCCATCTGGTAACTATGTGTGGGGAACACATTGTTTAAGTGCCTATTTCCTATCATGAGTTAGAGAATTGGGAAGCACATATCCCAGATCTCCACCCTTAGAATAGGTTTGTGAACTGGAAAGAGGCTGACATCATGATTCTTTGCCCAACAAAGAAACATAAAGTACCTCCACCATAATGTCAGCACTTGACAGTCTTCCCTGGTGATATATTTTTGCTATTGGATTGCCTGACTGAAGAACATGCTGGACAGCAGGCCTGGAGAGACAAGGAGAGATTAACCAAAACTTGGACGTGGATTGGCAATATCCCAAACTAGCGTCTATTGTCACTACGCAATTGGGTCTGGAGATTAAGCAACCCTGTATAAGAGATGGGATGCAAACCTGCCTCCACAATAGGCTGTAGCCCAGCTGGTTCGAAATTACTAGCTGAAAATATAATTTTGATCTTATTTCTACAGACTGAGTAAGACAATATGGAACACTGTAAGTGAAATGCATCCGAGGAGGCCTCCCTCACAGGGCGCAGAATATCCCTTTTTGTTTCAAAAAAATTCAGCTATACATGATGTCATAACTTGTGTTCAGTACAAAGCTTTATATAGTAGAAAGTTGACAATTTGAACTAAACCCCCAGAAACTGTTGCTGTGCACAAAAAGCATGACTTATAATAGTTTAATAAAACTTTTGTCAGTACCATGAGCCACTTAGTGGTTTAAAAGAGGAAACACTACCACAACAAGAGGGCATAGTCTTAAATTAGAGGGGCAAAGGTTTAAAAATATCAGGAAGTATTACTTTACTGAGAGGGTAGTGGATGCATGGAATAGCCTTCCAGCTGAAGTGCTATATTAAGCATGCATGGGATAGGCATAAGGCTATCCTAACTATAAGATAAGTCCAGGGACTAATGAAAGTATTTAGAAAATCGGGCAGACTAGATGGGCCGAATGGTTCTTATCTGCCGTCACATTCTATGTTTCTATGTTAGTGAGAAATCACTTCAGAAGATGCTAACCTGTTAAGTTTCACCAAAAACAATATGTTTAAATGTAAGAACTTGATTAATTGTTATAATTTTTTTTATCTCTCCCCCCCCCCCCCACTTACCTCCCACATTATTACCAAAACATTATACAATCAGCTGCAGCTTGGAGAATCCCTTCAAGAACTAAGCTGTTTTAACTGCATATCACAAGCAATTATTTTTCAAATTCTTAAAAGTTGTACATTTTCCTGCTTATTACCTTTAAACACTTTATCGTAATGAATGACACAACACTCAACTTATGTCATTTTCACAGAGTTTAAATAGCAAGCACGGCTTGATTTTTTTTATTGCTCATAAAACTAGTATTAAGCATATAGGAAAGTGACTTAAAAAGTAATCTGTGGCAAATCCTTAAAACTATATTAGAGATTCAAAAGCAGAATTGAACCATCTTGACGACTTTTAGGATAGGACTAACATTTATTTTTATTGGGGGGGGAGGGAGGTTGGACTTGCAAATCCTGCCCGTCAGAATGTGTATTTTGTATACTTTCAGTGCAATACCAAAATGTATTAAAAGAACATGCGTTTAGACTGGAAGAAAGAAGATTTCGTCTAAGGCAAAGGAAAGGTTTTTTCACTGTAAGAACAATAAGGATGTGGAATTCTCTGCCTGAAGAAGTGGTTTTATCAGAGTCCATACAGATGTTCAAACAGTTACTAGATGCATACTTGCAAAAGCAGAATATTCAAGGATATAATCTTTCAATGTAGGGTAATAACTGCTTGATCCAATGATAAACCTGACTGCCATTCTGGGGTCAAGAAGGATTTTCTTTCCTAGCTTGTTGCAAAATTGGAAGTTCTTCAAACTGGGTTTTTTGCCTTCTTTTGGATCAACAGCAAAAAACAAATGTGAGGAAGGCTGAACTTGATGGACACAAGTCTCCTTTCAGCTATGTAACTATGTAACGGCCGTTATTGGTTAATTGACTTCATAATTAGTGTACTATCAAGCTTTGCCATACAGGATAAATAAACTCCTAAATGTCCTAAAAATGGGGCATCTGCTTGCAAACTTCCTTTTTTTAACACCTATAAACACACTATCATGTCTATCATGTCTTATAACACAATATAAGCTAAAGAAACATGTGGAGTACGTAAATAAAAAGGGTGAACTGCTTAAAATATAGTCTGTAAAATAGCTTAAAATAACTTGATACAGTGAGAAGTACTTTAAGGACATCAGTTCTCACCCATTTAAGCGCTGTGCTTTCACTGAGCATACAGAAAGATACAGTGTATCAGGAAGATCAAACCGCACTGCTTAAAGCCTCAGAAAGGATTTTGTGCGTAATATGGCCATAGGCATTGTTTTAGAAAGAAAAAAACAAGCCTGCTATTGGCTTCTGTCCAGTTGGGATGGTTAACATCCACCTAAAGTCCCTACACAAACCTTTGACAATTTGCTCAAACACACAATAGATCAGCTGTTCAGTTATACACTGAAACAATTTAAAGCTCAATTTAATTTATTACCTTGGCACAACGCACTTGGCAAGCTCCAGCAGAATAATTGAATCCAGTTTCTATTTAATTAACTTCTTAAGAGGTGTAGGGAGGGTAAAAAATTATAACAAAACCCATTTAAAAATTAACCCTAAATAAAAAGATATGTAACTATTTTATATTCAGACTTTTAAATGATGGGGTGAAGAAAGAAAGAAAGGAAGAAAAATAGAGACGGCAGATATGAAAGTATAATTTCAGCTTTTTGTGTGTTGTTAATTTGGTGTGACAGGGTAAATTGCTCCAGAAAATGCTACCATAACTGTATGACAGATGTAGGTGCTATCTAGGAAACTACAATTTGATTTATAATATTCATTTCATTTTCATTTTCGAAGCATTTTGCTCATTATTTCCCCATTTTTGTGTATTATTTAGGGTGGTATTTATCCCAGAAAGAGGATGTATATAAATATTTTTTTTTTTACACAAAAGTTTGGCAGGAGTTTCTGAGTAAATCACAATGTCAGATTAAACACAATGACATCACGCTGATAAATTTATTAATTATTGTCTTCAAGCTTGTCAAAGAGGAGCATACCTCCCCCACCTAAAATTAACAGCAGCCTTAAATAGAATGACTGACAGTTTACCTTGCTCTGAGCTATATGAACACATAGGACAACAAGGCTGTCAAAGCTGCAGCCTAAAAATGGACAGGAAATAACTCACATTGACACTAAAGGTTGTTGCAGGGGATATACTTAAATTCTTAAGTGTTAGTGAGGGCAGAAGCCATGGAATGCTTAGCAGGCCTTCAGGATATGAAAACAGAGTGTATATTATTTAAGAGTTTATTCAATAAATACAAAATTTAGTGAAGTGAAAACAGAATTGCAAACTTCAGGATTTTGCTTACAATTCATCACCATTTACTCCTTGAGCAATTGGTAGGGCATCCTTTAAAGTAGATATCTGCTTGCAAACTTCCTTTCTCTACTATAATCACAGTAACATTTTTTTAAAAGTGTTGGTTATTTTATTAGTGAAAACCCATCAAAAATAGAAGAAAATAGACTTTTGAAACTCCTGCAATCAAATATATGATTCACTTTCACGCAGTCACCACTCATTCAAAAAATAATTGAACACTCACTTCTTCAAGAAAGCATATCAATTAAACTGTTAGCAGGTTTTTATCCCCCACCCTCCATGACTCCTCCTTCTAAGCCCTTAGTGAATACTTTTCTAACAACCTACTTCGTACCCCTACTTTTACCCTTTGTGTCACTATACCCCACTCCCTCTAGAATGTAAGCTCATTGAGCAGGGTCCTCCACTTCTCTGTTCCTGTGCGTCCAGTTGTCTGGTTACAATTACATGTCTATTAGTCCTCCCATTGTACAGCGCTACGGATTCTGATGGCGCTATATAAATAATAAAATAATAATAATAATTTAAAATAATGATAATCCAAATGCATAATCACCAGACACATGTCAATCTGTTATAATGAAGAAAGGTTGAGATAGTAAAAAAAATTTAAATTATATTGTCCCACAAAAGTCCATCTTTCAGAGGAACTCTACTTAACCTTGGCTAATATGGTCCTGACCAATGCTGGATTAACAGCCTTTTGGGCCTGATGCTGGTAATAATGATGGGTCTAATTACAAAATTGAATAGATGAAAACACTAAAACAGTCATACCTCCTAAGTGATTTGCATCTGGTGGAGGTGGTACTGCATTTCAAGACTACACATACCATACGTTAATTTGTATCTTCTGCATTTCCGTCAATCTGCCCATTTTACAAGCCCAATGGCTCTCATCTCCTCTCTTGCTAACCTCAAACTATTTATATTGGACTGTGAGAGACAGAAACACCAAGAGTATTTGGAAAGCACACAAAGTCAGTTTTAGGCTAATTATTTTATAGCCAGTCCACAAAAGTTTTGTTCTTAGAGCAAGAGCACGTAATGAAACAACAACAATGTAGAATTAGTAGGACTACTTATTTTGCATGGGCCTAGAGCTGAATCTCCATTAGCCCCTATGTTAATTAAGACCTACCTCAGCCTACTTCTTATCGATCACAATGTCCCTCTCTTACAAGGATCCTACATTTTTGGTGTTTGAGTCTCTAACAGAGAATCACAGAAGAACAAGTTTGTAAACAGTAAATGTGTTTAGAAATGAGTCTGCGTGGATAAGATTGGTGTTGTTCTAAAATACATTTATCTAAATGGTTACCAGTAGGTCACTGAGAATGTCTACAGGCCACCTCCAGCTACACCGGCTCTACACTTAAAAATAATAATCCCGCGCACTGGCTAGCTAAATTATATTGATTCACTTAAAGGGTTATTACCTATAGTGTGATGTGCAAGAATTTTCTAATTTTAGACCAACACAGTAAAACTGAAAACATTACAGACTTAGGGATTTTCTTTACTCAGTGAAACTATTGTGACCTAAATTCACTTTGAATTCCCAACAATTCACACATTAGTGAATAACCTTGACAATCATTTGGCTTGAAGTGGCCTTGTCAGCTTTAACTATGGCTGATGAAAAACCCTTTTAGGTAAATCAGTACCAAATAGGTAGATTAAAATCTATACGTACATTGCCGCCAGGTCTGTTCAATGACATTCGCACATTGCACCATGCTCAAGACTCAATCCCAGAAAGCGAAATAGCACATATTAACCTGGGACTGAATCACTGGCACTGTGAGAACTGGCACGGGTGAACGTCAGTCTCACTAATTGTTATACCTGGTATATAATGTTATAGTTATCCTAAAATTTCACATTTTAACAATGTTAGGCACATTACTATAGTATGGAAAAGAAAAAATATGATATATTAATTTATTATTTATTCATTTATTGTAACTAGGATTTTAATAGATTTTTAACCTGTTTTAAGCAAAATTAAGTGGATTTTGCAAAAGCACAAAATTGAGATCAGACGTGTATTGTAAGACGGCAAAAGGAACATAAAAACCTCAACTTAGATTTAATGTCCTAATATCCTAATATAAATTATGAAGTAAAATAAAAAATGTAGTAAAATACATGAAGTGGTGAAAAAAAAATATGTTCTAAAACGAACAATTACCCTTGTTTTTCCAACTTGAAGTTACTGTAGTTTGGAAAATAATTATGGCCTCTCAAGGGCAAAATGAGATAGAAAGGGGTAATTTCTAAAATATGTAATGTAGTCAGGAAATGGAAGAGCCCCAGGAAGCAATTAGGCAGAGTGAATACAAAAACCTTTCTTTACTACGGTTCATGATCTGAAAACATTTTTTTAATTTTCACCCTTTACCCTTTTGCAGTTTAAGGGGTGGTACAGGAATGCAAGAAGAAATCAAGAGTGAATTTGTTTTCTGTCTTCAGGGCACAAAAAAATAGAACAGAAAAAATGCAAGCTCGACATAATTACATGGATACCGCCATTCAAAGGATTAAGTATTGAGTATTAAGTGAGCGCTTGAAGGCTGAATAATTTGTATATTACGTGATATTAGCAGATGTCACATTAGGGCTTTTGTATTCAAGTTCAGACTTGTGAAAGCTTCTCAGTGCATAAACTGATCTGGTCTGCAAAAATGAATAAATAGAAATGAATGAAGATAAAATATAAGGAGACGACAGTAAGATTGTGTTTTAAATCATGGGTGTGCCTTTCGGTCCCTATGTGAGGCTGTATATTAGAATCGTCTGGCAAGAACTGGAGTCAAAACAGCATGAAGCACAAACATAAGAACATTTCTTGTCATGGTATGTCTTGGAATCGATTCACATTTAAGGGTGAAAAGAGGTAATATCGTATTGTATGTCAATGGGTGTCGAATACTAGAAATATGAAACACTATGAAAAAATAGATCCAAATGAGAACTGAACAGCACTGTTTTGCTGTAAACAAGAAATATTATAGTTAATTTAAAAACAAAAAACACTCTGGTGACCATAACAACTTCATCTCAATGTGCCTGTAGTCCCTGGGCACCATCTTATTTAAGGGTTTAGACTGTTTATGAATGGTTTAACCCAAAAGAGGTCCATACCGTGCCCATAAGGCACCAGGTCCCTTTCCAGGGACTTTTCTCGTGAATTTTTCTCAAAGGTTCAATGGGAAGCCAGTAATAACAGTAATAACCTATCACAGCACTCAGTTCGAAGCTTCTGCATTGAACTTGGGGTAAGGCGGAAACAGACACCTGGAGGACAGGCACCATCTGGATCATATTGGTGTTAAATCATCTGTAAATAGTTTAACTCCAAAAGGTAAAACGGCACCTAGAACCTCTAGACACCATAACAATTTCATTGAGATGAAGTTGGCATTGTGCCTGGAGTGTTCATTTAAAGAAAAAACCCTGATGAGCTTTGTACATAAGATAATAGTGCTGGCTGAACATTGTGTATGTTAGTGGAAAGGTTTACAAGGAAACAGAATTGAAGAATCCATAATGAGGTCATCTACAATTATTTTTACTTTACAAGCTGATGGATGCTACAATGCTGAACACACGGAACAATCATTTTTTCCTGACAAACTATAACAAAAAAAGTATGTGCTATTTCACGTGATGCACATTTGTATCACTTTTTGACATTTTTGTGCCTGGATACTAATTAAAAACAGTTTTTAGAGCGCGAAATGCATGAATGTAAGCAGGAAAAGTCATTATTCAAGAACTAAAATCAACAAACCTAAACAACGCCAACTTGCTTATTGAAATAGGAAAAAAACATGTTTATTTCTGTTTGTCATTGAGGTGTGGCAAAGTATGTTATAAACAACATTACCTCTTCAAAGGGGTACTCTAGGCAACATAACCACCACAGCTAAGAATGGTGGTTATACTGCCAAGAGTCTATAGGAGCTTGTAGAACTGGTACTCTTAGCCTATCAACCTATTAATATTGACAATGCGTGACAAAGTGCGTAAAAGTCACATTATGAAGTAACCTGGAGAGTTGGTTATATCTGGGTGCCATGGAGACTGCCCTGAACAGTTTGACAAAAAAAAAACTGGATACGTCACCAATATAGTTTTAGCAGCATAACCTTTATAATGAGCTGTAGTGGTTATGATACTTAGACTGCCTCTTTAAATAACTATGTTGTTTCAGGGAATTCTATATTTTGTATGTTAACTGCAGGCTTTGCAAAGCAAGATAACCATCACATTCTAACAATTACTATATATCCAACTTCCTTTGTTCCTAAATAGAAAATTCAGTTTGCTTAGAAACCAAAACAGACAGATTGTAAGAGAATACTAAGATTGACAGCTTACAAGCTTGTTCTCCAGAGGGTCCTCACTAGTTTCAGCTCACTTGTGCCACTACAGACAACCCAAAGTGTGTTTGCTGGCACTTTCATCCAATCAGTGGCTCTTTGTTCATAAAAACAGCGTGAGAAGGGGGGCGGGGCTTACCAAGCGTCCTGACCAGACGCCATTTCTGAAGCTCCCAAAACTGCAAATCGAATCCAGACGATATCTGCTAAACCGATTCCAATCCGGCTTCCACACAATCCCAGCTGTGATCAGAGGAACGTATAGCATCGATAGATGCCTTTTTTCCAACCGCCAAAGCCAGCCCGACGGAAACCCAAAACCGGGGCCTACAACACGCTGCAAGGCCTGGGGAGTTTCCTGGGAGAAATCGCAACATCAAGAGCGGAACAACCCTACACCCACACGGTACAGGCTTCATCCCAGAGCTTGCCAAGCATGGGTAGGCGTTCTCAGAGGACGCACACCTCGGCAGAAACTAGGGACATAGGAACTATGTTCCAGAAGCCACCGCCACCTAGGCCTCCCGCCGTGGAAGAAAGAGAGCAGGCCCCGGCGCCACACCAAACTGGGCCCGAGGGATCACCGCACCCACCACCACAACGAGATGGGCCTCCAGACCCACCCGATGACTCAGCTCCTACTACGAAAAAGGACCTAAAACTCCTACTAACCGAAATACATAAGCTACTCGCGGCCGACTCGGCCATTCTCAAAACGGAGGTCCGTGCAGTGTCGGAGAGGGTTGGAACCAACGAAAAGGCCATAACAGAGGTACAATCTCACCTTTCCGAAGTACAGGGTTCCATACAGACACTGTACACGCAGCAGCACTTTCTGTCGCTTAAGCTCACCTCACTAGAAGATCGCCAGAGGCGAACCCATGTTAAAATCAGGGGCATCCCCACAGAGATTACGGCTGAAGAGCTACCCCACTACATCAGGAGACTGCTGGCCGCAATCCTGCCACATGCAAAGGCAAAGAGAGTAGCTATCGACAGTGTTTATCGCCTCCCAAGCCCTTCTCACTTTAAGTCCACAGCGATACGAGATGTCATCCTCCGCTGCACCTCACTACCGGACAAGATACAGATTATGTCAGCTATGAAGGGCAATACCCCCTTCACTTTTGAAACCGCAAGTCTCACTTTTTTCCAGGACTTAACAAGGGCCACTCTCCTACACCGCAAATCATACAGCACGGTGACAGCACAACTGCGAGCTGCGGGGCTACAATACAGATGGGGACTGAATGGGTCCCTGACTACGACCCAAGGCGGGACGACACACACCCTGACATCCATGACGGATACACCGACCTTCCTGGAAACTTTGGGACTATCGCAAGCTGATGTGCCCTCCACCTCGGCATCAGAGGTGGCAATGAGGGACCCTGCGTCCATACCACCGTTCGTCCCACGATCGATGAACACACAGGGCGCAGACAGCCCTGAATGAACACTTGTCTACACATGTGTTAATACATTATTTAAGTTCACTCTTATTTCTATGTTCATAGTTAATATCTGTCATATATCTCTAGCTGCTGCCCTATTGCTACCCTCTAATAGGACAAACTAATTTAAGAAATAGCCGGCCTGGTCGGATGACGTAGAGACCACACTACATGGCGGACCGAACACCCCCCCCCCGCCCCCGCAACCCCCTTGGTCAAGGGCTCTTAACCCGCACACGCACGACAGAGAACGCATAATTCACATCTCGGGCCTCCCGGCTCAGACCTCACACAGCGTGACAATTTTCTCTTAACCACATACACACATGATGTCTTAATCAATAGAGAAACTGACAGGTCACCATTACAAACCCATTGCATATCCCAGACACACTGACCCCATATAAGAGTGTAATGTTGCACCTTGACAAAGCCTGATATATGTTACATGCCGTAAATTTTCATGAGAGCCTGCATGAGAGATCCAGGCCTATGGGTCGCAGGCCTGTAGAACTGTAGGCCACTAAGTATACGAAGCAATAACCGTTGTCACATATACACTGCATATTATCCTAATACGTTGTTAACTGATTGTACCCAATACCTGCAATGTTGTGTTATACTTGTTACAAAAAGAAAAATGGAGGCTACTTTTTACGGAAGCTCGTTCCCCCTGACTGCGTTCAGGGCCGAGCAACTTTCCATTGTCATTCTTTATACTGTTTTGCGTAAATGCCTCACTAAAATAAAGATTTAAAAAAAAAAAAAAAACAGCGTGAGAAAAATACATATATTTTTCAAGCCATTTTGTAAATAAGGAGCTACCAACTGGCTTATGGCTTAGCCAATCAGTGGTGTCAATGTCTGCGGCAGTTTTAGTCTGTTTGAAGAATCTGAGAGCAGCAGAAGAACTGTGGGTGCGCTAAATGTTGCTGGAGAGAAGCCTTTGGGGTTAAACCATTCATGAAAAATCTGGTACGTTAGTGAGCTTACCGCAAAAATGAAGCTGGTGCCAGGGACTTCGAATAAAGTTGTTATGATGTCTGGAAGATTGCTTTAAGTTTTTTTGGGGGGCGGGGGGTGTGAATATATTTTTAGTTTGTTCTCTTCGGTCATGCAAGAAAAACATGTAAACATGCAAGAAACATTGTAAACAATAAGTACACAATTGGACTCATAGGTGCATCATGTATTTTTGAGCCATTGAGTGCCAGATTCGCAGTGTAGTCTGTACAAATGGGCTTACACCATCAATCTACCACACTGTGATGGCGCGAACCACAATAGAATAGACATTGGGGTTCCCAGCATCCATTCATCAATTGTCTTCCATAGTTTAACAACATCTGCCTTGGCCCATTAAATCACTCGAACTAAATGGTAGGCTGTGTAATATGTTTTAAAGTTTGATAGTGCCACTCCACCTCATGCTTAGTCATAGTCAACAGGTAAAATTTTTGGCGTGAACTTCATTCCCGCCAGACATAATCCACCAGCATAGATTGTAATGTGCTAGGATTAGACCATGGTATTCCAATGTGGATGGGTTGGAAGAGGTAAAGAAGGAGTGGAAGAAGATTCATCTTGATTACCTGGATCCGGACGAACCAAGTGATGTGTGGGTAGGACCACTCCCATAGGTCCCTTTGGAAGGAACCCAGGGGAGGGGAAAAGTTATCCTAGAACAGGTTGAAGAATCTTACTAAGAGACATTTCCCCAGGTGCTTAAAATCTTATCTGACCACTGAAAGGGAAACTCCATCGGTGCACCCGTTTGTCAGGGAGGGTAATGTTTAAGGCATTGATTCCTTTTAGTTTTTGCCCTTCTCAGTATTCTCATAAACTATGTTCAAATGCTCACTACGAACTCTCAAATCTACACTACTGGGCAACTGATCAATAGATCCTAACCCATCACAATGGTATAAGGTACGTTTTTATTTCATTGCTTGGAAATACGTTCATCATCTTCTAGAAGCATCTCGGAAACTGGAATACTACTGCACTGAATCTGTCTGGATTACATTAAATGACCCCTCACATTTAAGTTTTCTTCCCTAGCTAGTCTATAATTTAAATGGCAGATGCCCTAGAATGTGTGGTCGAAAGGTTTAAATTAAATTAAATTAAATAAAAAATAAATAAAAAAAGAATAAGAAAAAAAAACCAGAAAAGAATAAAATAAAATGCCAGCTCATTGATAAAGATCCTTCACTATCACCACAGTGTTAACGTTGTGAAACACAAATGTCATTTGTTAGGCTCATGAATGAGCCCAGTATTTTATGTTTTTTCGCACAAGTATTCTTTTGGCAAACTGTGTAACATTAGATACATTGTTGAAATCACACAATACTGTTATACACACTACCGGACGTACCAGTCACTGGAGTAGATAAATGCTAACATTTTACATTATTACATAATTTCAGAAGAAACAAAAAAAAAAAAAAAACACACACATGCCTTAAATTTGATAAGAAAAATGAGCTACAAAAGTCAAAAAGCAAAATAATTAAGTCACACATACTGATTTTGTTTCTGTCAATTCAGGGGGATCTAGGACAGTCATCAATGAAAGATCTTTACTCTGCATATTTTGTGTAAACTGGGGCTGTCATTCAACAAAACCTTTATAACTTGCCAAATATAAAAATTAAAAAACAAACAAACAGAAAACAAAAGTGAGTTGTGTACTTCTGAAAATAAAAAATACTTATTTTCATGGATTAGAGTTTTCTTAGTCTTCAACTGGCTCCAATACTGCAACTTCATCTTTAAAATGGAAAGGTTATTCCACACAGTTAAAATTACAACTCAATGTAGTGAGCTTACATGAAATGTCTCACTAAATAGCAGAAAATTAAATGGATCCAGGGTCCTCTGGACATCTTCATGGAGACCTTTAGACTGCTACTGAAATCCAGGGCCGGATTAACATAGGGGCTGATGGAGGTGCAACTCCAGGCCCAGGCTCATGGAATAGGCCCATTTTAAAAAAAAAAATCCTATTTTTTTTTTTTTTTACCCACTACTCTTAGGTTTGCCACCTGACTGGTATTTTACTTGCACAGACGGTATTTGAGGCTGCCTGGCCATTCCAGTATTGCAGTAAAACCCGGCAATACAATTGCAGGTATTTTTCTCAGTATAAACGGAGATTACTCTGCAATACCAGCACCGGCCAGTAGGGGTCACTGTGTGTGGAAAGAGTCAGGGATAGGAAGTTACAGCATATTCCTACCTCTCTCCACTACTCATTGATCTGCACGGGGGAGCAGCTACACAGCACAGAGAGTCCAGACAGCAGCTCTACAGATAAGGTAAGTGAGGGATGGGGGAAAAGGCAGCAGGGAGACATGGGGATACTGAGACAAAAGGGGACACATGGGGACACTGAGACACTAGGGGACACATGGGGACCCAGACACTAGGGGACACTGGGAGACCTGGGGACACTGAGACACTTGGGGACACTGGAAAACATGGGGACACTGTGAGACATGGGGACGCTGAGACACATGGGGATGCTGTGAGACATAGGGACATTGGAAGACACTGAGATATTGGGACACAGAGACACTAGGGACACAGTGTCCCCATGTCTCCCAGTGTCCCCATGTCCCCCAACCAGTGTCCCTAGTGTCCCCATGTCTCCCAGTGTCCCCAAGTCTGCCAGTGTCTGTGTCCCCATGTCTCTCAGTGTGCCTAGTGTCCCCATATCTCCCAGTGTCCCCAAATGTCTCAGTGTTCCCATGTCTCCCAGTGTCTCCATGTCTATGTCCACAAGTGTCCCCATGTCTCCCAGTGTCTCCAAGTGTCTGTCTCCCAGCCACTGTCCCTAGTCTCCCAGTGTCCCCATGTCTCCCAGTGTCCCCTAGTCTCCCAGTGTCCCCTAGTCTCCCAGTGTCCCCTAGTCTCCCAGTGTCAATGTTTTGATGTCTCTCAGTGTCCCTAGTGTCTCAGTGTCCTCATTTCTCCCAGTGTCCCCAAATGTCTCAGTGTCTCCATGTCTCCCACTGTCCCTATGTCTGTATCCACAAGTGCCCCCTTGTCTCCCAGTGCCCCCATGTCTCCCAGTATCCCCAAGGGTCTCAGTGTCTCCGGGTCTCTTAGTGTCCCCATGTCTCACTGTGTCCCCTAGTATCCTAGTGACATGGGGACACACTGAGACATGGGGACACTGGGAGAAATTCGGACACAGACACTGGGAGACTAGGGTACTGGGCGACATCGGGACACTGACACTGATACATAGGGACACTGAGACACTGGGTGACTTGGGAGACTGAGGTAGGGAGACACTGGTAGGAATCCATCCATACAGCATAATCAAACTGAGTAGTTTGTTGGTGATTTTACAGAATTTTCTCTTATGTCAGTCCTTGTGATTTACATCATGTGATGTCATGCATAACTAATTAATTATACAAATGATTAAGGCTGGTATTTTTTTCCAAGAAAGGTGGCAACCTTACCCCTAACTACTCTTCACATACTCTCGCTTAAAGGAACACTATAGGGTCAGGAACACAATCATGTATTTCTGACCCTATTATGTTAAAACCACCCTCTAGCCCCCCTGGCCCCTCTTGGCTCCCTTAATATAGTAAAATCTTACTTGTATTCAAGTCTGCAGCTGCTGGCTCTGCCTCTGAACTGACTCTGTCTGCTGACATCATCAGAAGTGGTGGTCTGAGCAAATTACAATGCTTCCCCATAGGATTGGCTGAGACTGTCAATTAGGCAGATCAGGGCCAGAGCCAACAAAAGTCAAACATAGCCCTGGCCAATCAGCATTTCCTCATAAAGATAAATTGAATCAAAGTTCAGTGTCTGCATGCAGAGGGTGGAGAAACTGAATGGCAGTACTGCCCCAGGAAGCACCTCTAGCCGCCATCTAAGGAGTAGCCAGTGGAGTTATTTTCTCTGAAAAGACAGTGTTTACTGCAAAAAGCCTGAAGGTAATGATTCTACTTACCAGAACAAAAACAATAAGCTGTAGTTGTTCTGGTGACTATAATGTCCCTTTAAGTGTGGAAGCTTAAGAGGGATGTATAGGAAAAAACTTGTGTGGACTGGCTGACAATAAAATTAGTTAAGGTAATGCAGACTTTGGTCTCTCTAACACTGTGGCATGTCCCCTTTCTTCTACACTCACTACCTACACCTTTTCTCTGTCCCAGACTATATACCAGGAACTTCTGCCTGCTAGTAAGGAGGTAAGGAGACAAGTGGACATGTGAGTGCTAGGGGACAGTCCTTAGAAAGCTTGGAGTAGGCGCATAATTTTATGCATTTATGTGATGCCTGCATAGTATGCCCTTAGTTGGACAGCCTGCATGATTGTCAGGTAGCCTGACATGCATTCATGCCAGGATGGCCTTCCAATTCATTAGACAGACTGCCCCCTTTTTGGGCATGTTCACCCCTTTTGGCAGGTCTGGTCACCAGATTCACGCCCGTGGCACACACTTTTACCCTGCCCATTGACTGCCTGCTTCACTGGACACAAATGAAAGCATAAATTAGAGAGAGCTTAGCAAAGAGTATGTGTTTTCGTATAGTTGCATCCTTTGAGTTTCCCTCCAACACCATCTCCATCAGATACATGACGCTTGGGAGGCATGACTGTTTTAGTGTTTTTGGTCGATAAGCTTCTGTAATTAGGCCCATCATAATTGTCAGCACCAGGCCCACAGGGCTCTTAATCTGGCCTTGCTCAAATCATATACACTTCAATTGACCTACATCTTAATTATGCATTTCAGCCACTGAGCAAACAGTTTTTATCTAAAACTGCTCCTCTTGTTGGTCATTTAAGGGTTACTCCTCACTCCCCATCATAATTAAACCCTGTGTAATTATAAAAAAGCTGTTTTACTTAACTTGTAGCACTCACACCCTATACTGCTCCAATCAGCACCTTCATATAGATGCATTTATTGAATGCATTTTTATGGGGACCATAAGGTATCTCCCATGCACAGCAACCATGCAGGACTCAACCCAGAAAATCCCTTTAGTTTGCCATCCAAGTGGCCATAGAGGTGGACTTAGGAATCAGTGTGAACATTGTCTGACCATGCAAGGACAGGTTACATGCACCAAAACTTTAGCTTAACAAAGCGGTTTTGGTGTATAGATCATGCCCATGCAGTTTCAATGCTTAATCTCTGCCATTTAGGAGTTAAATCACTATTGTTTCTGTCCATGCACTTCTGCCACACCTCCCTTGGTTGTGACTAACACAGACTATATGGAAAAAAATTTAATTTCAATCAGATGTTCACTTGCGATAGAAGTTTTTATCTCATACCAGAAGCTCCTGCAGGGTCTATAACGTTATTAACAGAGCAGGAGATACAAGATTCTAAATTAAACAGAATGCTCAATAAAGGAAGTTTAAACAAGTGTTTAGGAAGGTTGTGTAAGTCACATGCAGAAGGTGAGACAAGGGATGTATAAACAAAGTGATTAAATTTAAAAATGGCATCAAATTTAACAGGGAAACTGCAGGGGCATGATCTATACACCAAAAATTGCTTTATTAAGCTAAAGTTGTGTTGGGGCCTATAGTGTACCTTTAAGCTGTAGGAGTTCTGATGACTATAGTGTACCTATAAACTACTTACTAATGTTACCTTCAAGGCTCAATCATTGTGTCACATTAAAAGATATAATGTAGTAAAAAGGGTTAAAAAGTTCTAATTTTCACTACATGAAATAGTATGACTAAATAAAATGATGAAGTCAAATTAAAAAGCACACCAACTACGCCAATGAGAAATCATTAATATGTAGCTCCATTTTATTTTGTATTCTACTTACATACACTTTACGATGCTTGGGACTTATTTACCAAACTGTAATTTAAGTGTGCCGGCAACGGAGTATCAGAATTTTGGTCAGAATAGCAGAAATAAAAAAAATAAAATAAACTCCACATCCAAGAACGCTAAATTCTCATAATCTTGCCCATCTGTGTTTGGCCTAAATATTGCAATTTTGATTAGCAATACACTGTTACAGAACAAACCCTTTTAGATAAAGGGTGGAGTTCACGTAAAATTCTATTACGGACCCTACGGGTTTTGTAATAGTATATCAGGCAACAGTCATGTTAACATAGTTTAGAAAAACAGCAAACTTGGTATCCGAGGAATCTGGTGTTGAAGAAAAATAGGTAGTTAATATGTGTACCCCTTTAAAAAGTGTAAATCATAAAAGATAAGCAGTAGTAACTGCAATATTGAGTTGGGATTGCTACCATCGCTTTAAGACGTTTTCCCAGGAGCCCTTTGGTAACAAGCAAGCTAAAGACAAACATGACAAGTGGCAATGCTGATATCCACAAACCTCCTGTAATGACACCTGAAGATATGCAGCTGTTTCCTTTTCCTTGCATTCATCTTTGTTCATCTAGCACAAAGCTTTCCTCGTAAATCAAATTGCAAGAGAATCCAGCTAAAAGAATACTATTTCCACTGGTTTTCTTATTTGTTTCATAATTCTTAAAGCTGAATTAATTATATTGTATGAAACATAAGTAATTTTACCCGTTCCTTAACAAACATAAACAACATTGTTATATTTTTTTTAGAGACATATTTCTGTTCCTGTGGAGTTGCCATTCAAAAAAACTGAATAGTGAAAGGATACATTTGGGGCGGGTAAGGCGGAGGGGTTGCAGTGTGTATCGTACTTAAAGGGGAATGGCCACTCCCCAAGATTCCCATGTGTTCACTATTAAGGGGTAATAAGCATGTAGGGGTTAATAAAAAATACCCTCTCTGTCTCATTAGAGATATCTTTGCCAGAAGCTCAAAGAGGCAAGGAGAATAGTCAGTGTAGGACCCACCCAAGAGGTTTGCCTTGACGTGGCAGGTGGACATTGCCTCTTATGGCCATTGGAGTAACTAAATAACCTCCATTTGTTTAAATATGCATAGGGATGTGGAAAGAGCCAGGTAACTTTTTTTCCCCTTACTGTATGTATTGGGGCTGATGTGTACTATGGTCGTTGCTGCCGCCCAAGAGTATTGGGAGTTTGAGCGCAGGACTTGTTTTTGCGTATTTAACTATTATGTTTGTTTATCCATATATTTATATGTTTTTGTGAGGTGTGAAAAATAAAAGCCATACCTATTTATCCTGAAACTGAGCTCCTCCATCTTAGCTCCCACTCATTTATGGTTATATGCTCAGTTCTTAGCATCTAACAGTTAGCATACAGAAAGTATACAGAAAAAAAAGAGAAATTAAACAATTTTTATATTTCTCCTCTTCATTTGCAAAATTTAGATTTTAAAGAAACACTTTAAACAGCATCCATGCATATCAACTGTTGCAGTAAAGTAAGCTATTCAGCTTAGCATGTACGCTGAACGTTAGATTTTGTTTAAAAAATAAGTAAAATTCTAACTGTACAACATGCAGAATTTAGCTCCAATTTCATCAGGAAATGGAATACTGAAAGGGCGCTGCATATATGGTGTTCACACGCATGTAGAATCATAAATAATCATTTAAAAAAATCACTATATTTATGAAAATGTTCACTCACAGCCTGCAAAATAAGGAATTCTGTAGGCCTAAGAGGGGGTCTCTGATGGCTATCGTTCTTTATATATTTTTGGGGTTGTCTATGTACATCAGCAAATATTTTGTGTATTTGTGCTGGTAATGTGCACTTGCCTCACGGTATCTACATCAGACTTTCTGTATTTTGGTGTAGTCCTCTTTTATACAACATATCCCTTTTCCCGTGAGGGTTTCTTTCCCAAGCCAGAGAAATGCCTCTTTCTTGTTCTTTCCTTCAAAGGAAAGGTGTATTAAAACACGAAGCTCATGCCAGATGCATGGTTTTTGGAAGTACTACAAAATCCACTTGTACCTGATTTCCAGCCTCTGTTTTCCCATTCTCCAAAGTAAATGGTGAGACCCTTACAGGAAGATGTAAAGCTTTTAACGTTTCTTATTAAAACATGTGTAAAGCTCACTTATTTAATTCGATGCAGGATAGATCTGCTTACGCTTTCTCACTGGGTAAGAGAAAACTGAATGAAATCGGACAGATTTTCGAATGAAAGTATGTGAGCATTTTAAAAAGGTACTTATTTACTTTAAACACCTATGCAGCAAAAAACCACATCTCTTTCATAGACACGGACAATAGTTCCAGCATTAGAAACCCTGACTATTTCAGAATTAATGGGACATCGCTGGAGTCTGACTATATTTTGCAAAAGAGAGAAATGTAGAGATCTTTTCTAAAGGAAAACATCATTATTATTATTATAATTATTATTATTATTATTATTAATTAAAATAAAATATTAAATAATTAGTAATGTGTACATATATACATACATACACATTTCAGTGGATATCCTAACTTGCCCTGTTCCAAGAAGTGGTCATCTTTAGGACCATTTTGCTTGGGAAAACCACTTATCCTATTGTAGGTCATGTGCAATGACCAACTGAAATCATATCAGAGTGCATTTTGTAGATGCCCAGGGCTTCCACACGATTTTGTTAACAATCACTAGCTATCGGTTACCAACCTGGTCTTTAGTAGGAAAAGCGGTGCTTCTGACCAAAGAGAACTTTAAGATGGCTGCCCCCATGGAGCAAGGGTCAAGCAGAAAATGTGCTAAAAATTGTATTCAATTATTTGTACTCATTTACAAACTATATGCAGATTTGTTATAATACATTTATCTTTTCACTTTAAATTTTAAGTAATAATAAAAAATTAGAACGGTTTATTTTTTATAAGTTAAAGGACCACTCTAGGCATGTTGACATTAGATCTTAAAAAGGTACTTTTATATAGAATTCCACAGGGTGAACCCAAATGAGGGTGCTCCCAAGACATGCCTACCCCCTCTGACCACCTGACCTGCAACAAGATACTGCAGCCTATTTTTGTACTCCTGGGAGAGGACATTTTGACCTTACCCAATTCATTATCACCAACTTTCTAACCGCCTTACTAATAGCTCTGCACCGGTACCCCCCTTTGAGTCCATCTGAGTCTTCAATCTAGGCAACTATCACTTCCACATTATTGAACAACTGCCGCTATTTTTTTTTTTTTCAATTTGAAATTTTATTTTCATAAAGACAAGGAAATGGGGTACAGAAAAGAAGGGGAATCTTCAAATGTACATAGTGGGGTCGTACAATTGCTATACATTTTTCGATATACATTTGTAATTAAGGGGGGGGAACAAATAGGAGGAAGGGGGTAGCTCCCTGACACATTGGCCTTCCTTACTTAGTATTACCCTGATGTCATGGTGTTACAGTAGATGATGCTCATGGGGGGGGTCTCTGTCGGATGGGGAGTTCGCTCATTTAGTGCGTGAATTGTCGTTATACTAAGTTTTGCGAGTATGGTTTATTTCGTTGTTGTTCGAGGTCCCTTGTCTCCAGGGGGGGAAGGGTGTCGTTGTGGGCAGGGTGCCTGCGGTGTGTCGAGGGTGTAAGGTGAGAGTGGGGGGTCCCCGTGAATTGGGGGCGAGTAACAGGTGGAGGGGAGTAGCAGCGTGGTACCGGTTTGCGGCTGTTGGTGGGTCCTAGGATCGTGACCTCCATGTCACAGGGTGGGTTGGTAAGTGTGTAGGGTGGTCGGTATTGGTTTAAAGGGTGGTGTCGTTTCGGTAGCCAGTACTGTGGCCTCTTTGCGGGCTCGTTAATGACTGTGTTGGTGTTGTGTGAGCTGTTGTGTGTAGTTTCGCCATATTGTGGCGGTGTAGGGGCTCAGCTTCCCGATTTTTGCCTGCTTCCACATGATGAGTTCGTACTCCATTGCTTGTGTTACTTCTGTTACAACTTCTCGGATGGAGGGCAAGTCCGTTGTTTTCCATTTCCTGGCTATTAGTATGGACACCGTGCCCAGTATGATGTATATCAATTTCTTGATCGGTTTTGGAAAGTCGTCTGGGAGCAATCGGAGCAGGATTGTTTTAGGGTCGAGAGCTAAGTGGAGATTCGTGACACTTCTCACAAGTCGGACTGTAGCTTTCCAAAGATCTTGCACACTATCGCATGTCCACCACATATGCATCATAGTTCCTTTAGTTGCATGGCAACGCCAGCATAGGTCTGAAGTGTTGGGAAATATGGTGTGCAGACGGGTCGGTACCATATACCATCGGTATAGGATTTTCCTGGATGCTTCCAGGTGTGCTGTACTTGTTGTGAGCCCTATATGAGAAGTGAAAATCTTTTCCCATTCGTTTGGGGGTATTGTCACCTGGAGGTCTGTCTGCCAATCCTGCATAAACTTCCATGTGTCGCTGTTTTTAGGGTTGGCAAGGTGGTCGTAACAGATGGAAACTGTTTTCTTTGGAGGGTCTAGGGAGAGGCATTGTGCTTCAAATTTCGTTATGGACGATCTCAGTGAGTGTTCCATGCCTTTGATTACGTTGTGGGTTATTAGCGCTTTGATTTGTAGATAGGCAAATGTGTAGCTTGGAGGGAGGGCAAATTCTTTCTGCAGGTCTGGGAACGGTTTAAGACCTGCCTTGGTGCACAGTTGGTAGACATGTGTAATTCCTTTTTCTGCCCATTTATGATGTGGAAATAGGCCATTGCATTGGTACAGGGTCCGAATTGGAGTTGCCAGGGCCCACGGGTGTGCGGAGCACAGTTGGTCCCTGTAGGTGTCCCATATTGTGAGGAGGTGTTTGGTGGTGTTCAGCATGGTTGTAGGTTGCTGTCGCAGGTGCCGGGGTATCCAGAGCATTGTAGGCAGGTTCTGGTTCTTACTGTGCATATTCTCTACCTCTACCCATTGGGGGATGTACTTGGCCGAGTGAACACTAACTACATTCGCAAGGATGGCTGAGTGATAATACGCTTTGAGATTAGGGAGGCCCATGCCTCCATGTTTCGTATTTCTCAACAGAAGTGATTTGGGGACTCGAGGGTGTTTGCCGTCCCAGCTGAATCTGAGGAGGGTAGCCTGTAATTTTGTGAGGTAGCTTTGTGGGATCTTGATTTGTAGTGTCCGGAAGAGGTAGAGAATTTTAGGTAGAATTGTCATTTTTAGTGCTGCTATTCTTCCGACCCACGATAGGTACAGGCCCCTCCACGTTTGCAGCTGGGTGTCTATATCTTTGTGCAGCTTTACGTAGTTGGTAGGGAATAGTTCTTTTTCTCTGTGAGTTATCTTGATCCCTAGGTACACCAAGTAGTCTTCTCTCCAATCAAAGCAATGGCCGGATCTCAGGAGTGTTTCTATGTGTTTTGGTGTGTTGAGGCACATTGCCTGTGTCTTAGCCACGTTGAGCTTGTAATAAGATTGTTGACTGTATGCATGTATTTCTTTGTGTAGGGAGGGGAGTGTTATGAGTGGTTGTGTGAGTGTGAGAAGAATGTCATCGGCAAATAGGCTTAGTTTATATTCTGTTTGGCCCACTAGTACCCCTCGGATGGAATCGTTAGATCGAATTGCTATTGCCAGGGGTTCTAAGGCTAACACATAAAGGAGAGGGGACAGTGGGCAACCTTGTCTGGTTCCGTTGGTAATGGGGAAGGCCTGTGAACTAAATCCTGAGGTGAGTACCGTCGCTCTGGGATCGCTGTATAGGGCACTGACTGCTGAGAGGAAGGGTGCTGGGAATCCATAGGCTTGTAGGGTTTCCTGGAGGAATTGCCAGTTCAGGCGATCGAACGCCTTCTCGGCATCTAGGGATAGCATGACGCTCGTTTGTTTGGTGTTTTTCAATATGTTGTATATGTCTAGTACTTTCCTGGTGTTATCCGACCCTTGCCTTCCTGCTACAAATCCCACCTGGTCTGTATGAATTAGTGTTGGTAGTATGGACTTGAGTCGTTCTGCGTAGATTTTGGCATATAGCTTTGCGTCTGCATTCAGGAGAGAGATTGGCCTGAAGTTTTGGCATGTGGTCGCGGGTTTCCCCGGTTTGGGGATAGTGATAACATGTGCCGCTAAGAACTCGGTGGGGAAGGTACCCAGTCGGGTGGCTTCATTGAAGAAGCGTGTGAGGTCTGGGGCAATTTCTGCCTTGAAGGCCATGTAATAAGCGTTAGTGTAGCCGTCCGGTCCTGGGGCTTTATTTTTCGGCATTTTGTCTATCAGGGTGAGCACTTCGTCTGTGGTGATTGGTGCTGATAGTTGTGCTGCGTGCTGTTCAAGGAGTTTGGGGAGGGCAATCTGTGCCAGGTAGTTGCGAATTGATGTGGATGTAGGTTGGGCCAGGGAGTGCTGATCTTTCAGGTTGTATAAGGTGGTGTAATAATGTGCGAACTCATTGCAGATTTGTGCGGGTTGTATTATCTTAGTCCCGGTGTGTGAGTTTATGAATGGGATGCGGGCTTGTGCCTGCTTCATCCGGAGTCTCTGTGCCAATACTTTCGTTGCTTTGTTTCCCATTGAGTAGGAAGTTGCTTTGAGTTTTTTTAATGCTATGTTGGCTTTCTTGAGAAGAATTGCTTTAACTTCGTCTTGCGCTGTTTGCAATTTCTGTTGGAGGGTCTTGGAGGGGTGCAGTTGGTTTTCTCTATGGAGGTCTTGGATCCGTTTGAGAAGGTTCAGCAATGCAGTATGTGTTGTTTTCTTGAGGTAGGACGCTCGGCTGAGTAATAGCCCTCTGATGACCGGCTTGTGCGCGAGCCACAGTGTGGCGGGGTTGATCTCGTCGTTGCCATTGGTTTGAAAGTATTGTTGTATTTCTTCTCGTATTTTGTTGGTAAAGTCTGAGTCACTTAGCAAGTGTTCGTTCAGCCTCCAGGGGCTGCGATGTTGGTATTGGTAGGAATCGGCTAGGGTGAGAGACACTGGGTTGTGGTCTGAGATTGTAGAGGCGTCTATCTCACAGGATTTGATCTGTTGTAGTTGTGAGCTGTGCATTAGGTAGCCGTCTATGCGGGAATAAGTGTTGTGCACCTGTGAGTGATGGGTGTATTCCCTATCCATTGGGTGGAGGGTTCTCCAAGCGTCGTAAAGCCCATATGATGCTAGTGTTTTGTGCAGGGAGATGCAGTGTTTGCGTAGGGCCTTTTTCCTCTTGTGTGTGTGTGTGGCTGTGGAGTCTGCAACAGGGTCGAGGATATGGTTAAAGTCCCCACAGAGGACTAGGGTGCCCATCTGTACTTTCTCGATCTTATCTAGTAGCGTGGTCATATATTGGGGTTGGTTCTCGTTTGGGAAGTAGGAGTTAACTATTGTGTATGTGTTGTTGTTTAGCGTGCAGATGAGAATGATATACCTTCCTTGCGGATCTATCTGGATTGTTACTAGGTCAAAGGCCAAGGTGTGGCTCACCATGATCGACACTCCCCTGCTTTTAGATGGGGACGTGGCATGGTATTGGTAGGGAAAATGTTTAAGCCCAAGGATGGGTTTAGAGCCATGTTTGAAGTGGGTTTCTTGCAGGCATATGATGTCTGCTTGTGAAGTTCGGATCTCTTTGAGGAGATTGTATCTCTTATGGGGCGCGTTTAGGCCTCTCACATTATGGGTATATATTTTCATTGTCGTAATCAGTGGTAGGTCACTTGGGTTGGTGCAGAGATGTAGGTTCTGAGTTGGGGGTCGGTGCTTTGTTTGTATCTCAGGAAGACCCTTTCGTATAATTTGTGAGGTCTAGGTTGGGTTGGATGTCGGTACCAGGGGTGGGGGCTAACAGTAGGGGTAGGGTATTAATACCTGGGGGTGTATAGTTAAACAGTGAACTTTACAAAAAGAAAAAAAATTGAATGTACAGAGGGTACTTTCGGGGGTATGTGCCGGTATGGCACTTCTCAAGCGGGGGTAGTGTAGTCGGGTCGAATCCAGCTGACAGCTAACTAGGGCCTATCTTGTGCAGGCCCCACCCGTAAATATGTTAGTTTAGCAAGTGTATGGGTGCGCTTGGTTCTCGCCCTGTCTTAGGTTGCCGCTGCAGGGGGGGGTTGTTGGGTGAACGCCCCGGTACAGACATATAGGGTGGCGCATATGGCTTGAGTCGTAGTGGGCAACCCGGGGGGGTTTTGCTCATAGGGCCCTCTAATCTGCATGTCGTATCGGCATGGTGGTCTATCTGTCAGGGTGGGGGGCGGTACTTTGCTAACATTTTGGTGGTTTTGTCCCCGCCATTAGGGTTGCTGTGGGAGTAGTTGCGGCCTTTTTGAGTGTGTCTAGGCGCGCTCTGGGTGCGTCGGACAGGTGCATGGAAACAGTAAAACATAATCAAACATATATACAGGTTGCAGTTGTTACATCGCTTCCTCCATTCTGGCAAAGGTGGGCTATGAGAGATTGACACTACTTAATCTTACATGGTGGTCCAGCAAGCTGAATCGCATGTAGTCTAATACAATCATATACTCGGGAGGGCTCTCTAAGGAAATAGAGAGGGAGTAGGCGTTAGGGAGATTAGCATTGGGGCGTCAGCAGGCCTCTAAAGCCTTTAATCGGTGCACGAAAGCCCATACATTATGGGCTATATACGTGGTCTCTAGGGGTCGTCTTAAGTCAAATGCCACGGGGAGGTTAAGTGTGGCTGATCCTGTGGATCATTAGTCTTGTCGCTTAGTTTGTATCTTACTCTGTTCCTGCAATATATAAGGAAAAACTTTTTTTTTTTTTTTTGTATATGTTTTACAGTAATTAGAGGTCGCCTGCAATTTGTCAACCCTTTTGGGATGTAGTTATTCTAGTCAGCAATTATTTTTAACATCAATCTATAGCTAAACATGTTTTAGGTTTTAAAGAAAGTAGAAAACACTTGCTATTCCAGGTATGGCTAGTGGTCATCGTCCCTGAAGGTAGTTCGCCGTTGTCGCTGAGGGCGGCCGTCGATATTCTGTGTCTTGCGCGGGCCTGGTGTTTGTAGATTTGGGGCTATGTCCCATTTGTGCAGCAGCTCCAGGCCTTCTTTCGGTGAGGCGGCTATGAGTTGCTTCCCTCCTTTGGTGATGAGGAGTTTCGCTGGGTAGCCCCATCTGTAGGGAATGCGGTGGTGTCTTAGAGCCTCTGCTACTGGTTTGAAGGATCTTCTCCGCCGGAGTGTCTCCGCCGACAGGTCCGTAAAGAGGAGGATAGGTTTAAATTTATCAGGCAGGTCTTTCCTAGTTCTATGTGCACGGAGGATTTGGTCTTTTGTGTGGTAATAGTGGAGCCGCATGAGCACGTCTCGTGGCACGGTTGGTGGTAAGTGTTGCGGTCTCGGGATTCTGTGGATGCGGTCTAGTAAGAGCATGTCTGCGGGTATGTCTGGCAGGACCGCGCGGAACAGCTCCATGGTGAAGGCCGTTAGGTCCTGGGCTTCCACATCTTCTGGGACCCCTCTGAGCCTGATATTGTTGCGGCGAGACCTGTCTTCTGCATCTGTGATTTTGGTTTCATGCAGAGACAGTTTCCTTTCGATATCCTCTAGTCTGTCTTCGATAGCTGCATGGGCTGTGGCATTTACTTCCATTTTTTCCTCTAGTTGGGAGGCTCGTGCGTCCAGGTCGGTGATCTCGTTATTAATTTTAGCCAGGCCGATGTGAATGATGCTTGCATTTTCAGGACCGCTGCGTCTAACATCTTTTGTAGTAAATTCGGGGTCAGCGGGGTGTCCGCGCTTGCCTCGTGTGTGTCGGCAAAGTCCGCGTGGAGTTCAGCCTCGGCGCCATCTTGGGCCTATATTTCAGCCTGCTTGAGGTGTGGAGTTCGGGCTGCAAAGAAGGCTGCCTTGTCCTTCGTGTCCACACATTTCTTTGCGCGGTGTTGGGACATCGTGACCCGGGTCGGGGAGTCGGGTGCGAGCCAGTAATAGTGGGTTTTAGCCGCGTTTAGGAGCCCTTAGCTGCGGAGCTCTTTCAGTGTGCTGCCAGCTTCATTCAGCGTCCGGCCACGCCCCCCCAACTGCCGCTATTTTGCGTGGTTATGGGAATTCAAACTTATTTGCTGGTATGGGGCAATTTGAAGCAGGATCAGTGCGCACAGCATCATATGCCCTAATGTAAATAGAAGACTATGTCTATAACAGACAGGCTATTCATTGCCCAATGTTCCAAACAAGTGGCGCTGGTGCAAGTCCCATCACATTATGTTTCTGTATATTTGGGTGGAATACCAGCTAGTGCAACTGTACAAGAGAAGAACTTTGTTAGTGATACACAAAGATTGCGGTGGGAACCTGAGCAAATCCATTGGTACAATCCTACTCTATCACACTTCACCAATACATTGCTCAAGGTGAAAAATTCCTCCTTAAATAAAAAACCTTAAATGGTAAATCTAAGCACTGTGGCCAAACATCTGCCCATCTGGCCCAATGACATTGGCTCGATTTTAGTATCCATTAGACTGCAATTAAAATAAATATTTAAATTATTTATTAACATGCCAAATGTAAAATAATACAATTTGCAATGGCAAGCTTTCGGGAGAACCTCCCTTTCTCAAGTCTAAAGCATTTCTGAGCAAAGAGGACACATAGAATTCAAAGTTGAGCGATGATACAGGGTTAAAGATAATGCAGATATGACACAGGTTTGATAGAAAATAGACACCAATCTGGCAGACAATGAATCTCTACTTAAACATGTATCTGCTTATAAGGCGATCCTGAATGTTTTACACTTCCTCAAGCTTGAAAGTCTGTTTATCTGCTTGTAGATGTATGTTATCAGCCTATATTATCTTTCACAACTTAATGGTTAACTTTACAAAACCAAAACCCTTTGATGACAAGGCAATGCCACACAGTAAGTTAATGGCTTTTAGGCTCCAATCGGCTTGAAGCACTTTATTTAACAGGCTGACGTTTTAATGGTCATTGTGTCTGAGTTCTACTGTTCCCCCAGATCAATGATTAACATTTCCTACACTTTAAAGGATTTGATGAACACAATGAAACCACTTGCAATTTACTCCACACCTTCTGCTTTTTTATAATGGCTTATTCTAGCATTGATTCTGTGCCAATAGCTTGCAAACCTGTCAGAACACGGAGAGGAAATCAGAAAAAGACGATGATCTGTTTTAGATAGCATATTATATAAATCTTCCATATGTGTGTACAAAATTAAAAAAAATAAAATTAAAATAAAAAACACACCTCACTGTACTTTGTACTCTTAATAGAAAAACTGATTCCTGATTTAATTTTGAAAAGGGCAAACTATAAACATAATACTTTTTGGATATTAACATCAGATACGGTCACAGCTTACTACGACAAATCAGCGGACCATTTCACAGGATACTACTACAACCCTACTTAAAAATACAGCAACCATTAACTTCCATAATTGCAATTCTATTCATCCAACGTGCAAAAAGTGTAGGACAATTGCTTTATAACCATACAAGAATAAATAGGACAAGTAATTGTACAGTGCTGCGGAATATGTTGGCGCTTTATAAATGCTAGCAATAAATAAATAAGTCTCCTGGAATTCAAAATTAATTTAAAACATTGCAGAGGTACTGATGGACAGAATGAAGAACGCACTCTATATTGGGAGGGATGAATTTCACAGGGTACAATGATGTACCCCATGTACAACTGCAAACAGCACTATAACATAGTTGGGAATATTCACCATTATATCATCCTGAGGATATGGCGTGTTACATTCACAAGTAAAATATTTTTTTAAGTAAATTAGATTTTTGCTGTAAAGCATCGAAAAATATTCGTCCTAGTGTTCTTCATGAAATAATGACAGTACAACCAAATTGTGTGTCACTACGATTCTACTAGTGATATATTTGGCCATCCTATTTAAGGAAGTGAAAAGGTCAGAATGTAGAACCCCACAGTGAATTTGCAATGGAAAAAAGTATATATTTACAACAGCTGAGAAACGGAAGCAAAAGAAAGCCACCTTTTACCCTGACAGAAAACTTCCTGCAAAGTTCTAGTTATAGAAATAATTTAACAGCAGACTAAAGGTGCCCTAGCTTAGCTATAGAGTTCTGTGGCGAGATGGCTAATAGGCTAACTGTGAGAGGACGAATTCCTAATATATACATCCCAGCCAACAAATACCTTTAATAGGGAATTCACCTACCAGTTGCTGTTACTCCCCTTCTTGAGTTCTATGTCTAATAAAGAGTATAGCCTGAACAGAGACACTCTTCACAAAGTTTAAAGTATTTTGCTTCCTCTGGAAATATCAGTGAATAAAACACTGTGTAACGTGTGCTAGGCTAGTTTTTCATGGCATGCTCTGTCTTCATTTAAAATGTATATTAAAAGGAAAACTAAAAGCACCATAGCCGCTTTGGTGCGCTGTAATGGTTATGGGGTTATGTGTGCCCTGGACCCCCCTCACCCAATGTAAAATGTCAAACTATTTGCAAACCTGTGATCTGACGGGCAACTGTACAAGCCTCCTCTAGCAAGAAGCTCTCTACAATGTGGTAGGCCCAGTGGTGCAGGGCTTAGCTTATTGGTTTAGTGATCAGCCAACAAGCTGGCCCCCCATGCCAGGGATTAGATGAGGAGAGGTAACGGAAGCTCTTCCTCCTTTCGGCTTTCCATGAACACTAGGGCTAGCGCCCGCAAAAGTAGTTATCCAGCTGTTTTTTTAATAAGTCCCATGGATGCTGTGCCAGCTTATACCCTTTTTGATAATACAGGTAGGGATAGCCTATCTTGTTACCTCAGATATTTCTGAAGAACATTTCCCACAATGCTCGGTTCATAGTTGGACTGGCTAAGCATACTGAGAAACTTCACAAAAACCTGGATTGAAAAACCTGATATCACTGCCATAGGCTCTCAAGTTGGGACCTTATTGCAATATATGCCATGCTATAGTGTACAGTATGTTGACTTTTTACTCTCTTCTCTTTATAGTTATTTGGAAAATGTATGGGCTTAGTAAATAGCAAATATTATTACACACGTGTATCACTATCTTTTCTCATAAGACAACAAGAAGTTTGCGTTATTATTCCTCAGTCTGTGTCTTTGCTCCTGTCTTAGGCTTGAAGAAGTTGTGATTAAGTTGTTATGGTTCCTAGGGAGTCCCTCTAAACATACCCTCAATGACCATGTTGCATCTCACAGTTGTTTTTTTTTTTTTATCTTAAAAACAGCATAAACGGTTAAACTGTTGCACCTTCTCGGTTATGCTATCATGGGAATCTGCCTAAATTGAGGGTGTCAAATGCACCCACAGAGACTGTTAACCTACCAGTACCTTATAGGATATCTCTAATTAACACATTAACACTTAAAGGACCACCCTCAGGGACCCCCTCCCGCCCGGCTCTGGAAAGGGGGTAGGGGTAAAACTTACCTTTTTCCAGCGCTGGGCGGGGAGCTCTCCTCCTCCGATCCTCCTCTTCTCCTCCCCGTCGGCTGAATGCGCATGCGCGGCAAGAGCTGCGCACGCATTCAGCCGGTCACATAGGAAAGCATTCATAATGCTTTCCTATGGACGCTGGCGTGCTCTCACTGTGAAAACCACAGTGAGAAGCACGCTAGCGCCTCTAGTGGCTGTCAATGAGACAGCCACTAGAGGAAATAGGGGAAGGCTTAACCCATTCATAAACATAGCAGTTTCTCTGAAACTGCTATGTTTATAAAAAAATGGGTTAACCCTAGCTGGACCTGGCACCCAGACCTCTTCATTAAGCTGAAGTGGTCTGGGTGCCTAGAGTGGTCCTTTAATCACACAATTATGATTAAAGGGACAATGTGCGCATCATACCCGCTACAGCAAGCTGTAGTGTCCCTTTCATCACTGTGCAAAACAATCTGAATATTCAGGATGTGCAAATCGCAAGAACTTCAGCCCCATGTCATCTACATCACCCACTAGTGGCTATAAAAAGCTGCAACAATCTTTGCCTTTCCTTCTAACAAAATGGGATATCAAACTAATTTACCAATAGCTGTTCTGTTTAAGGCTGCAACTGTAAATATAGAAACATTGAATTGTAGGTCACAAGATTGCGGCATACTTTAAAGTCACTGGCTCTTAATGGGTTAAAATTAGTTGTGCTTTACAAATGTACAAAGAAAAGTTTTTGGTTAAAAAAAACCCACACAATTTAGTGAGGTCTAAATTGCAGTTTTCTCTAGAGTTTAAATCTCCGTTTTCCAGAGGTTAAGATTCTGCATGCTAAACATTAATGAGCACTTGTAGGAAATTCTTTATTTTGACTGGATACCAATACCAGCTTCCTGGAAAAAGCACAAGTATTGGCAAGACAAGAAGCTGAGAGAAGGAAACTCTTAAAAATCTGTTTAGACACATACACACTGTCTGTCACCTCAACTTAAAAACAGTCACACTCACACTTGGTACTGACATTCAAAACAAGACACGCAAACCTACTGCACTGATTTGCAATTTTGAGAAGCTAGAATAGATTATATATAAGGCTTCATTCCGTGCTCAGGATGAACTAGTTCTGATTTATACTCAGGATTTTAACTCTTTAAAGGGGCGTTGTAATAAAAGGTATTTATTTTTTCATTTGCACTGCATGCGCAACTGTCTTGGCTGAGCCAAAGCATACCACGCAAATTAATTTAACCCTAGTGGTGTTATGTGAGTAAAGACATCTGTATGGCAATTTGGAAAACTGATCGAGTGCAATGGCACTCATACATCATTTGAGCACACTTGGAGTATTACAGGGTGATGATGTTGCCCTGGACACAAAACTGCTGCTGAGGTAAGTTTGTCTCTTACTTACCTCTCCTCTGCACTTCTCACACCAGTAAGTACTTTATTAGCATTTACTGGGATGACAAATGTGGGAATGAGAAGCTGTAATTTCAGACAATTGACAGGTTGTTTTTAAAGCAACACAACAACATAATTGCAGCTCGTTGTAGCGTTTATGTTGCCTAGAGTTTCTGGGTGCAATAGCAATATACAGCACTTTAGCTTGCTGAAATGCCTTGTGTGTGAAGAATGTGCCCTCTTTTGAAAGAAATTGGCAATATTATTAATTAACCTTGTTACACCCCCCCCCCCCTGATTGTCAATCAGACAACCAGGCCCCGTTACTTCCTGATTTGGTTAGCTCAGTGGAGCTAAACTCAAGTGACAGACAATTGCTCAGAGCACCTGCCTTGCAAATATTTATCTTTGAGCTGCATTGGGAAGTTTGATTGGATAGCAAAAGAAAGGATTTGAAGGGGAGGGCTTGCAAAGGCATCAACCAAGAAAACTGCATTATTTTAATATTATTATTATTATTGCCATTTATATAGCGCCAACAGATTCCGTAGCGCTTTACAATATTATGAGAGGGGGGATTTAACTATAAATAGGACAATTACAAGAAAACTTACAGGAACGATAGGTTGAAGAGGACCCTGCTCAAACGAGCTTACAGACTATAGGATATAACCCAAAAATGAATGCACAATTAAATGCATGCATGCCTTTATTTAAGGTAAATATACTAAACAGTGACTTATTTTTTATTTATTTTGTTTGTATTTGGGTCATGCAGTGTACCTTTAAAGCAGGCAAACGAGTAAAGGTATGAGAAAAACATTTTATTTGTTCTCACATCCAAAAATCTGATAAATATTCTGTGGCTCCTTATAATTTAAATGCTGGTATATATAATTCTTTGGATGTCCTGTAAAGATTTTAATTGTCACTTTCCATATTTCACAGGAAATATTTGGAGCCATAGGATATAGAAGAGAAAAATATGTTTCCCAATATCACATGCATCTAACTCATCATTACATGGATACAAAGCCAACACATTCAACAGACCTATTAAAGAGGGGTTCATTAAATACAAAATGGCAAGTTAGGCAACAACGGTCATGTTTATTGAAAGTCTTTATATTTATCTCCTGGCATTTCAAAAGTCTAGAATGCTTATTCGATAAACAAGAAACAGATTTAAATCCAAATGGACACATTCAGGTAAACATAGCAGATTTGGAGGAATTCTTGACCTCTATTGTCATAGCTTGGGTTTTAGCGTACATCCAGCTATTTAGAGTTTAGTTAGCTATGATCTGAAGTTTAGTGAATAATCCTGCATGCTAATTAAAAAGACTTGATATATATATATATATATTCCCTTAAATGTATTGTGCAGTCTTTTTGGGGGGTTATTCACAAGAAGAATTTACAAGGGAACTGAATATTTGAGCCTCAAATAGAAAAACATTTACATTTCGCTAATCCAGCTTTTTTTTCCGGCTCAGTTATTTTGGACAAAAATTTTGCATTTCTTTCAAGTCAATTATCCACAATTTGCAATTTAGTGAAACATTCCATATGACATTTAAACCGTACAGTGTACAAAACTAACATCTTAGCTTGATGACCTCTACATAGCCTAGTAGAGAGTAACATAGAAATGACATGCATTAATTATCGAAGGTCCAACATGTTATTGAAAACTTAACAGTACGGTAATTTGTCATATAATAAAATCACATATATTCCATTATTTTATTAACCGTACACTTTTCAGATTTTTTTTTCATTTAAATTTGGAGATTATTTTCTGTCTTCACATTTTACTTTTTAGTGTAAACAGCCAATATCAAAAGTCGGTTTAAGTAACTCAATTGCCAACAACATCTTTAACCCCTTAAGGACCAAACTTCTGGAATAAAAGGGAATCATGACATGTCACACATGTCATGTGTCCTTAAGGGGTTAAAGACAATGAATAAAAACAGAATCAAAAACAAAAAAAATAAACAAATCTTGAATATATCAGATCAATTTTCATAGATCCGAGATGTTTAGTTTGCATTCTTAACATATTTAAAAAAAATAAAAATAAAAACCCTCGCTTAACAAGTTGAAAACAAAAACAAGCAGAGTTTCTAATTACCATACCAATGGCAACATGACATGGATTAAAATACACAGTTTAACCTTGTCATAATACCCACTAGCAGGCACTGCGGTGAGTGAACGCAGCTTGATAACAGCCACAAGTCTCAGTTTACATTCTTTAGAAACAGTACCAAATCACTTTATAATGCACTGACAGCAGTCACCAAAACTGAGCCATTTAACGCCATTTACTGGTTCACTCTTAACTCCATGAGCTGACATTCCATCGTGTGACCAGATACTCAGCATCAGGTATGTCACACCCCGGTCCCTGGACTTTGGGATGGAGCATAATGACTTAAATCACACGCAGTAATTCAACTGGATGTAAAGCAGAAATGACATTCTCGAACATAATCCTAGTTAGAAACAGCTGTGGATGACCAGGGTAAACAGACGAAAATTACAGAGGAGAATGCCGTACATACTACATAACATTGAGCAGACGTGGGTATTAGCAAGAATGCACACAATTTTATTTGAAACAGGTGAGCAGGCAGATTTAATACACTCAGAAAGAATTGATCATTCCCATTAAAAAAAGCACAAAATGGAGCGTGCCAATTATTTTATTATGACAAACCAAAAAGGAATACCACCAATGTATCTAATACTTGTCGAGCATAAATAAAGAAATTATGAATATTAATCATAATAATAATAATCATAAATATAAAAAAGAGCACTGAGAGGGAAATAATGTAGCATTGTACAAGCTTTGTGGTTAACTGTAATTAAAATACAATGATTTGTACGTACATGACAGCAATGATGAATAAGTTAAACACTTTCAAACTATAGTGGTCACGCACTGATTTATAATTGTATGTGTTGCTTTTCCTTTCACCGTTTTGAAAAGTTAAAGCACGTTAGGATGGTCATAAGTATTTCTGTTGCAGAAATGGAAAAGCCACACACGTCTGTTAGTTACAATCACAGTGACAAGAAGATGACAGTCGAAAAAGTTACCTGTAAACGCTGACCGCAGGAGGAGACACCAAGTCAGAATCCACCGCAAGATCATATTGTCTCAAGGAGTATTCTTTTCGAAAACTTGCAATTTTGTATCTTATTCCTTTAATTCGTTGATTCGGTTATCAGTTTTTCCACCAAACCCTTTAGCTGCCTGATAAGGAAAGAGTAGAAACTTCAGTCTGTAAGCTGATGAAAACATCCTGCTGACACTTCCCACCCCCAATCCCATGAAGGACGAAGCAGAGTACGAGAGACTTACATGAACACAGACTGGATACAGAAGGAAATGACACTGTGTGTGGATCATACTATACACAGAGCATTAAGGTTTGCCATATGCAGAAGACACAGAACTTGCAACGTAACAATCCATCAGACATAGCAAACATGGTTAAATAAACATTTCATCCAGCTGCAAAGCCATTTTCATATGCACAGCGCGGCCAGATGTTTGTACATGCCTCAGAGGGCAGTCAAACCTTTCTGATATCCAGGGATCACTGTTACACAAATAGGATTTGTCAGTTGTTAACTTACCCTAAGGTATCAGGGAGACAAAAATGAGCCCTTGCCCGTTGTCAGTTCCCACTGGGCTGAAGTTCCATGCATCTCCGCCTGTGGGACATTCTAGGCTCACGAAGAGGGAAAGAAGAGGGTGGCAGCTAAGTCCAGATGGGAGGAGTAACTTGTGATGAGGCAGATCCCTAATTTTTACTTACTTCTTCCGTTTGTATGTTGAAACTAGATGAGATGTGTCCTGAAGACTATTTGCGCCATCTACTGGACAAAAAGAAAATATGCTGTTAGTCCCTACACGTTTGTTTGTTTATTTATTTATTCAGAAAGAGTTTGAGCAGAAAAAAAATACAATGAGACTTGTTGTGTTTTGAAATATGTCCTGAAACAAATTGTGATACTGTTACACATTAAAAGAACACTATAGTCACCAACACAACTTTAGCTTAATGAAGCAGTTTTAGAGTATATATCATGGTTCTGAAGTTTCATTGCACCATTCTATGCCATTTAGGATTTAAATCACTTTTGTTTCTGTTTATGCAGCCACATCCACACCTCCCCCTGGCTGTGACTGAGACAACCTGCATTAAAACAAAATGGTTTCATTTTCAATTAGATCTTACCTTAAAGGCTTGAGTTGAACTCTAATTACATACAGGAGGACCTGCAGGGTCTAGACAGCTATTAACATAACAGGAGATAAGACATTCTAAGCTATTTACAGGAAGTGTTTAGAAAGGATGTGCTAGTCACAAGCAGGGAGGTGTGACTAGGATTGCATAAACAAAGTGATTTAACTCCTAAATGGCAGAGAATTGAGCAGTGAAATTGCAGGGGCATGATTTATACACCAAACCAGCTACATTACGCTATTGTTGTTTTGGTGACTATAGTGTCCCTTTAAACATTCACAGAACATAGATAACCAGTAATAGTTATTACAGCTTTGGTTTAATAGAAGACTGAGTGAGAGATTTGTTTTTAGAGATTGCAGGTTTGTAGAAAATGTGATGATTTATGAAAGGTTATTCCACATTTGCAGTTCTTTCTGTGCTAAACTAGTGTTGGAAATAATAATTAAAAACAACTGTTGGGGATAGGATGTGTGAAACATTTATATTGTGCAACTAATGTATTTCTTTAAAAAGTATGATATTGCTTCACTTGTCTGGACTTGTCTGTATTATAAATCATATCTAACTTTGTGGTATGACATTATAAAACAACAAAATAAAACAAGATAAGAGATTTCACATCTTATAAGTACATTTTCAACAGACATAGGAATAACAATGCACATTCACTTCTATTTTGGATTATTAAGTAGTTCAAGCATGTATATAGGCAAACAGTGGCATTAAAACATATCAAAGAGTGTTTCTTTACGTTCTAATATTGTAATGTTGTAACTATGTAACCCACTTGCTCGTAAATGTATAGATTACCAAAGCAATAATGGTGTTTCACTGAATGCACCCAGGCGAGTGGAGGAGGCTCTCTCAGGCTAGTACTCCCCTTTATGGGGCAATAAAACAAAAAAATTGAGAGCCAAAAAGGCACCCATCAGATGTCGGCAACTTCCTGAGACTCTTGCAGCTGACCGCATGGCCCAATATGACGCAGCGGAAAGATGGTTCAACCTACTCATCAGACGACTTTACTGCAGACGTGGCTGAAGGTGCCTCTTGCAGTTCAGTTCCAGGGGTAAAGTCTGTTCCTCCTGAGGATAGAAAGCCAATCACTGCAGCTATCCTGAAAGCTATGCTGAGGGAGTTAGGAGCTAACATCACTGCAGACATCTCACAATTTAAAGATGCCTTTGCATGTGCCACCATGGGAATTACCCTTCTTGAGGCCACAACTAGTACCCAGGAAACCAGGTTGGCTACTGTGGAGCAGAAACTTGGGAAGCTCCAGAGAAAGCAACAGGACATGGAAGCCCGGGTAGAAAGTCTAAAAGACCAGAAGAGACGCTATAACTTGAAGGTTAGAGGCATCCCTGAAGCTGGCACTGATGAAATGTTGCATTATATCAGGCGGCTCTTTGCAGTCATGATATCACCCAAACACGCAAAACTGACGAAAATGGATGGCATGTTCTGGTTACCTAAGCCACTAAATGCCCCGAGCACTGCCACAGCTGATCTCATCAATTGCTTCAAAACCACACACAATAGATTGCTTTTCCTCATGGCAGTAAAGGGTAAGACCCCCATCCCATTTGAGGGCTAATAACTCTCCATCTTTCTAGACCTCAAAAGGAACCCCTTGTTATGGCAAAAGTCGCTGAAACAGTTGCTACAGGTTCTTTGAGGCAGGGAAGTCGCATACTGGATCCCTCAAAGATCCATGTATTTCAGCCTCGGCCTCCTCTCGGACACTCATCTCCTGCGGCGGTTACCTGACTAACACCCTGTATGCTGTCCTCAGGTGGCAAGAGGGTACCTTGCCAAGCTCTGAATGCCATCTGCAGCCTGTGTAGCTTCTGTTTAGTTATTCCACATTAAACACCATTTTCCATTTCCTTTTTTTTAACGTTAAAACCCTTTCGCTTGTGAAATCTATCTTTACAGTGGATGCTCTCTTGACATTAGTCCCTTTAGGCTATCTCTTAGTTACCTCTACAGGACCACTCAAGGGAATGCCCTGTCAACCAGTCATGTCCATATCTTTACAACTTAGAGGGTATGATCTCACCCCCTTCCCACATTTATTTTGGGTAAACCTGCTTAGTGTCCTACATAATTCGGGTAGGGGCAGTTTCTCCGGGTAGTAAGTAGCTACCCAATGGAGTCCTTTTATTAACCAATGTTTGTTTATTGCTTGAAAGTTATAACTCATGAAAAAACAACCTTCTCTCCACCTACCACTTATGCATCATTTTTGCTTATTAATGATATGTTCACTATGTTATATCCAAGCATTGTCACTTTTGCTATCATACCCACGAATGGAGTGAAGCACAAATAAAGAATTAAATATATATATATATATCAGAGAATTATGTATTTTGTAAAAGAATCAAATTACACCTACACAGGTGTAAAATCGCAGCATAGAAAATGTATTCACAATAATAAGATTTACATGAAATGTAGTGCTTATTACATAGAGGATCTTTTAAAAATTAGAAAATCAAATTTATTCTGTGCGTGTTATACGAGCCACTGCAATCATTTAAGAAAACAACAGCAAATAAAACGTGAATCCTTTATCAGTGGAATGTAGTGACAGGTCAGAAATACCACAATGAATGCATCTGTCAATTAAATCAATAACTCTTAGATAATGGCACAATTAGCAGAGAAAAATACAGAAAAAAAAATTAAAAAGAAAATGAAATGAATCTAAACAAAGAAGGATGGTGGGAGGAAAAGGGTGATTATAAAAATAAGAACATGTCCTGAGCCTTTAAGCATTTTAAAACCACTGCTTATTTTATATTGGCAGATACAGCAAACAAGATAAAATTATAAAGTACATGGATTCAATGGGGAAAAGCAAGTCATTTTGCTAAAGGAAAAGTAATGCAAACAAGGTAAATGCAATAAAATTTTTTAGCTTTTGTTAGTTTTTTACATATTATCTTTAGTCTTTGAAATCCTACCACTCCTGCGAGTTATGCAGCTGATCTGACCCAATCCCTGTTTTACTCAGCACTAACTTCTTTGTTAAAGTGTGAAAAAGTATTGTGGACACAGAAACCTCATTAGGAAGCTATAAAAACATAGATTAAAATAGATATTAGTAAAAAACTATTTTTTAAAATTATATATATATATAAAAATATATATATTTGTAGTCGGGACAAAAGCTGTATTTGCGAGAAATTAGATGCATGATCAAGTTGGTTGTGGTGTGCTGAAAACGACGTATCGGGTAGGCCTGTAATAAAAAGAGGGCCCACCTGGTAAAGTAATATACAGTTGCAAGAAAAAGTATGTGATCCCTTTGGAATGATATGGATTTCTGCACAAATTTGTCATAAAATGTGATCTGATCATCATCTAAGTCACAACAATAGACAATCACAGTCTGCTTAAACTAATAACACACAAAGAATGAAATGAATGCCTTGTTTTTATTGAACACACCATGTAAACATTCACAGTGCAGGTGGGAAAAGTATGTGAACCCCTAGACTAATACCATCTCCAAGAGCTAATTGGAGTGAGATGTCAGCCAACTGGAGTCCAATCAATGAGATGAGATTGGAGGTGTTGGTTACAGCTGCCCTGCCCTATAAAAAACACACACCAGTTCTGGGTTTGCTTTTCACAAGAAGCATTGCCTGATGTGAATGATGCCTTGCACAAAAGAGCTCTCAGAAGACCTACGATTAAGAATTGTTGACTCGCATAAAGCTGGAAAGGGTTATAAAAGTATCTCCAAAAGCCTTGCTGGTCATCAGTCCACGGTATATAGGTTATTGATTATTTTACTTGTATCCTTTACAGATCTAGATGATGTGGTTCTATGAAGATATAGGGTATAGCCACTTAACAGGCTATATAAATTATTCAATATTTTATAATTTATTTGTAATTTTAGCTTGTTATTATGTACATATGCATAATGTCTGTAGTTTGTTATGGTGTAATTCCAAAGTTTTTTGTGTCTCTTCACACTAAGGTTGACAGATACCTGAAAGTTTCCACCTTATTCCTGTATAGGACAAATTAATATTGTACAAAATATGTCTATTCCAGTTTAAAAGTCCCTTCCAAATTGGACATGTCCGTTTTTTATACACTTGTGAATATCGTGTATTAAGGTGTTTATTACCTTCTTGTAAATATACTTATAATTGTATATCTTCCATTTGTGAATATCGAATATTAAGGTGTTTATTACCTTCTTTTAGTTAATTCATAATGAAGTTGTTATTGTATTATGCATTTTTATACTAAGGGTTAATAACCCTTATTATACATTAAGTTATATCTTACTTCTATTATCTAAGTCTAAGTTGTCCACTGTTTAATAATAATTTTAGGGTAATTTGTTGATTATAAATTTGTAATAATACACTAAGGGTTAACAACTCCAGATGAGAACCAGACCGGGAGGCTTAAAAACCGAAGAGAACCGAAGTGATGCCATCCTCTGATGAAGTGATCAGCTGATCACGAAACACGTAAGACAGGTATCCTACACGAGCTCCCAGGGTACAGTGAAGTGGAACGCATCCAGACCCGCAGTGGAACGCACGCGGCAGGTATCCAGTGTTCACACAGCACAGAGAGATCCAGACTCACTCTTATCCGGCTGGCGAGAGTAAGATAAGAAAATCTTTGGATCCTCAGTTCGTTAACCTGGTCCGTTAAACTCTTGCTTTTCATTGCGACAGTTTTTAAAGTGTATGTCTTTTATATGTGTATTGTTTTGGACAGTGTCTATCTGTAATAAATATTCAATAGAAAGCACCCTGTCTGCTGCAATATATGCTTTATTGAATGGCACGGACTTAAAGGACCACTATAGTGCCAGGAAAACAGGCTCTGGAAGGGGGAAAGGGGTTAAAACTTACCTTTTTCCAGCGCTGGGCGGGGAGCTCTCCTCCTCCGATCCTCCTTCTCTCCTCCCCGTCGGCTGAATGCGCATGCACAGCAAGAGCTGCGCGCGCATTCAGCCGGTCGCATAGGAAAGCATTATCGATGCTTTCCTATGGACGCTGGCGTGCTCTCACTGTGAAAATCAGTGAGAAGCACGCAAGCGCCTCTAGTGGCTGTCAATGAGACAGCCACTAGAGGGAATGGGGGAAGGCTTAACCCGTTCATAAACATAGCAGTTTCTTTGAAACTGCTATGTTTATAAAAAAAAATGGGTTAACCCTAGCTGGACCTGGCACCCAGACCACTTCATTAAGCTGAAGTGGTCTGGGTGCCTAGAGTGGTCCTTTAAACAGTTATAGAACCGATACTATATAATTATTTGCAGCTTTACCAGATCTTTCCTGCCTATTTCGTGGGAGGTAAACAGTCTGAAAACAAGCTAATACAATCTTTTGCAATTGGATACAATTATCACATTTGTATCTAATTTGAATTCCTACAGCTATAAGCATTCTGTTTCTATACATGTAATTTTTGGCAAGTTTTCTATTAGCCTATCCTATTCCAATTCCACTGTAGTCCTGATTCTACTATTGATTAAGTTCACTAGTTACATATAACAAAGTTTTTTCTCATAATAGCCTAAGGTGGTGTCTATTTTTTCAGTTAGACGGTGGTTATGGTTGTCTAATTTAGATCTCTCTATCTAGCTTTAGCAGGGTATTTCATCATCAGTTTAGCTGTGCTATCCTGCCTATAAGTTGTTTTCACTTATTCAGTCCAGGATTAGGTCTTGGAACGAGGGAGTTATGACTGGAACTTTGTGTGATAATAAGTGGAGCAATGTTCCATACAATCATAATTATGAAAATATTTTTAACAACTGTTGTTGGATTTAGTTATCCCTTCCAAGGGTTAGTTGAGGAATATATTAAAAAAAATACAAAAGATACAATAATAGTGCAGATTGCTACCATTAAAGGACCACTATAGGCACCCAGACCACTTCAGCTTAATGAAGTGGTCTGGGTGCCAGGTCCAGCTAGGTTTAACCCTGCCTGCTGTAAACATAGCAGTTTCTCGCAGTTTCAGAGAAACTGATAGGTTTACATATGGGTTAATCCAGCCTCTAGTGGCTGTCACATTGACAGCCGCTAGAGGCGCTTCTGCGCCTCTCACTGGGATTTTCACAGTGAGAAGACGCCAGCGTCCATAGGAAAGCATTGAGAATGGTTTCCTATGGACTGGCTGAATGCGCGCGCAGCTCTTGCCGCCCATACGCATTCAGCCAGGGACGTCAGAAGAGGGAGGAGAGTCCCAGCGCCGCTAGACAGCCGCTAGAGGCGCTTCTGCGCCTCTCACTGGGATTTTCACAGTGAGAAGACGCCAGCGTCCATAGGAAAGCATTGAGAATGGTTTCCTATGGACTGGCTGAATGCGCGCGCAGCTCTTGCCGCCCATACGCATTCAGCCAGGGACGTCAGAAGAGGGAGGAGAGTCCCAGCGCCGAGGGAGCCCGGCGCTGGAAAAAAGGTAACGGGTTTAACCCCTTCCTCCCCCTTCCATGACACGGGAGTGGGACCCTGAGGGTGGGGGCACCCTCAGGGCACTATAGTGCCAGGAAAACGAGTATGTTTTCCTGGCACTATAGTGGTCCTTTAATTAAATAGCCATATT